CTCTAACCATGCACGAGCACGGTAGTAAAGAACAGGTGGGATTTATCATCACCGATTACTTACGTGTGTGCGTACGACCGGTGTCCGCACGTTTGATAAATATGGATTTTTTTGTACTTACGCACATTCTACATTTCATTCCTACGCCAGAATTTAGAACCTTTTCAACGCACGTTTGATAAATAAGGCCCCTGATGTCTGGAAAACAATAACAAGGAGAGACTCCACAAAGGTGCTGTACAGAGGAGACAGGACCTTATCCATGGATTCTGATGTAAAATATAATTTTAGAAAGTGCTCTTGCTATTGAATTAGTGATAAAAATCCAATAGAAATCCATAAAAATGTGCCTCAGGGGCAGCAACACACCGTTTGGTGAGGTTAATAATTATTTTTGTTCAGCCTCTGTCAGACTCTCCAGTCTGCTCTACATTACAAAGACGCAACAAATTAAAAATAAACACTTTCAATGATAGGAGCAACGTACCCTATGTCATGGCGATAAACAAATATGAGGCATGTATGAGATATTAATTTATCATCATGAGCAACTTATTGACTAATGATTTATTCAAACTTCAGCCAGTGTCTGCTACTCCGCGGCAGCGCTGTTCACCTCCCTCATAATCCTGCTCCAAACAGGAGTTTTCTGGACTGCTTTTATACAAGTTTTCGCGTTTGACCTCAGTAGGCAAGGCTTCTGAATCACGAATATTTAAGGGCATAAACATGTTAATGACGATCGATTTCAGCCGCCGCATTTATCAAGACCTGATCATACGTGCGCTGGGATTGGTCAGATACGAACCCTTTCATAAATCTCACGTGTGTCCCATCGTACGATGAATCATGCGCTCAGATCTGCGCTCAGTTCTTCGTAAGATTGATAAATGAGGGCGTATAGGTGAGGGGCTGGAGATGTGACATGAAGTGCTTTAGTAGGACAAATACCTAAACATTCATTTATAACAGTGTGAAAATTACTGAAAAGATGAACGCAATTTCCCTACATTCTGTAGTACCGTTGTGTTAGTTCATTGTGCCTGTCTTTCCGATCGGTGGGGCTCAGTCGTGATGGCGAACGGCTGCGCCTGTGCAGCGCACACTTAAGTTTCCACAGTTGGACCTTAAGTTCAGAGCCCCAGAACGCTTCTCATTGACAGATAAGAAGAAAGATCGGAATCTGCACAGGTTTTGCGAGCTCGGCTACCATAGTAACGCAACATGGCAAAGTGAACTCGTCCATGGACTGTTGGATTTTAACAGCAAGGTCAGAGAAAAGTTTGCGCACATGAAGGACCGCAGAGCGTCATTCCTCTTCAAAAAGTCTTTTACATCAGTGACGCTATAATTCTACGTGGAATTTGCAATATAGTTTACATATTGTTTAAAAAAAGTGGAATTTATGTAATGCGTAACTGGCGATACCTGTGTGGGTGTGTGTGGTGAACACACGTGGGCTTCCCAAGGGAGCTGTTCACCTGTCTTTGGTGCTAAAATGGCGTTTTATCTGTGGTGTATTGAGTGTGCGCCGTTCAGGCCATTGTGTTTTTATTATTGTCACGTTGTGTCGATCTTGAGTATTTGATATTGTGAGCTCTTGAACACTGCCATTTGGTGGCGCTATTTGTGTGATAATATATGTTGCCAGATTGACATTGTGTGATGACATTATTCAGCTGCAGTTTTGTCGTCAAAGGCACTGTGGTCCCCTCTCTCTCTGCTGTGTTTTTGTTGTGAGAGTATGAGAGTAATATCTGGTATTTCTGGACTGCATTATAAGATTTTGCATGACCCTGTCACCCTTGCCTTCTATGCAGTCAAAAAAAAAGGAAAATCAAAATCTAAGTTGACACGGTCCCTTGTCTAAATCTACACAAGCAGGGCTCAATGACTAGGATTCGTAAGGAGATTGGCAATGGTAACTCTGTTGAGTGAAAAGAAACCTCCAACCACAATAAGATTCTGACAATTAATTTTGTGAGAGAGTAGAACATGTATTTGGCAAGATTTTAACCAGACTTACTAAGAGACTTCATCATAAGTACAAAAAAACATAGGTATCCCAAGAAACAGGCACGAACAGAATAAAAGGAGCAAAGAGAAAAAACATACAATCACTTGAATAACTTGAATAACCCTTGTTGGGATTCAATGGTCCCTTTGACCATCAGTTTCTTATGTGCGTGTGTATGAATATATGTGTTTGTCAACGTACGTCAGGCCTGACGAAAAAATGAAAAAAAGGTCTGAGATCTCAGATAACATTAAAAAAAAATGTAAATCTCCAAAGGGATGGGAAATCCGTTTGTTTGTCCTACCACCCTTTTTGCAACCGGGTGGTCATCAGATCCAGAATGTCCTTTGCAGACTCTTCAGGCGAAATCCAGTCCATACACCCACAGCTCATTCTGTCAGTGAATCTATCAACAAAAAAACCAGCCTGCACAAAACATGCAGAGCAGTTACTCCATGTGCAAAATAAAATGTATAATCAACCTAATATGAAATACATGCACTTGGATTTCAAGAATAATAAACAGGTTTTGCCACAAGTTATCCTCGTTACTGGCCAATACAGTTTCTTATATACAAAAAACAAACAAAAACATCAATAAATGAATCATGAGACATGCACATTAGCCTTGTAGCAGGCTCACATTAAATCCACACCACGTGCGTCAACTCCTGTGCAGTGCTCCATCAAAAAACACAGTGTGCTAGCGAAGTTTTCTTCCCTGCTCACACAGTTAACAACTCCATTGCAGCAAAAACAATCACTCCCACACAAGACATAACATATCCTGACTGGTTTTATAGTTTAAAGTGCACGCAGATTCTCCCTATTTGTTAATATGTTTGCGAACAGACTGCTAAATGCATACATTTACACTCACCAGGATATTCTTCATCAACTGTCCCTCTCCTCGGATTAACCCATCACAGGACTCGACCATATCAGTTTACTACACAAGAAAAAAATATGTTTCTTAGTGATAAAACTAGGTGTTTTCTCTACCTTTACCGATTTGTTTCCTCATCAGACTCAGAACGAAAAATTGAGAAAGTTACCTCTCCCTCTCACCGGAGCTGCCATGTGCACTCTGGCGGTGCATTCAAATGCAATTGGAAAAAACAGAACTTCACGAGAGACTGCCATTCGTGGAATTATGATGCATTCATTGTGCATAGGAAAACAAAACTCATCAAAACAACTCAAACTCACTTAAGAAATGAATGTAAAATAAAAGCTGAAAATAATACTGGGTTACAACCCCACCAGAATTTCCAGACCAAAAATCGCCACTGATGATATTTTATCATGTTCCCAAAGACATTAGTGTCCTAGATCCGAATATTTCTATTTACTTTTATTTATTTATTTATTTATTTTTTCATATATTTATTTATTCATTCATTCATTTATCTATTTGATTCCACATTTATTCATTTATTTCCACACTTTTTTATTTATGTATCAGTGTCAGACGTGTCACACTTCAATGTAAATATGCAAATAAGGTAACCTAGGTAACCCATAAAGCACATATCAATTCTACTAACCTTTTATCAGCTGTTTTTCTGTTTGCCGAAATATGCATCCACTTGTTAATTAGTTATTGTGACAACAACAAGACATATTTTTGGAAATATTACACCTCGAAAGTCCGCCTATTCTTTGGGAAGGTCCCAGAGAATCAATCTTTATGGGTGGATGCATTTCTCGGCAATACTGATGTCTGTAAGTATGTCTTACTAGATTTCTCATCCGAATAAGTCTAAGTAAAGCTGCATACTTTTTGTTTTGTTTTAACAATTAAAAATTGTAATAAAAATAATAGCTACGATAAGCCTTGAACATATTCAGTCAAAAAATACAGGTGTTAAAGTCCTCATATGTTTGACGTGCTCTCCCATATGAGTCTCTCTGAACTGTGTTCACGGACACATAAATAAATAAATGTGGAAATAAATTAATAAATGTGGAATTAAATAAATAAATGAATGAATGAATAAATTAATTAATTAAGTAATAAATATATGTAAAAAAAATAAATAAATAAAAGTAAAAATAATTATAAAAGTAAAAATAAGAGAATAAATAGAAGTAAAAATAAAAAAATGTGACAATACATAAATAAATAAAATTAAATATAAAAGAATATAAAATATAGTAAGGCAAAAAATTTAAAAATAACCTTTTATTTTTCAAAAAATATTTTATTTATTTATTTATTTATTCGTGTATTTAATTTTTTGTTTATCCATTTATTTATTCATTTATTTATTTTTACTTATGTCATTTTTGGTCCTCCATACTTGATGAGCTTGAGGAAGTGTCGAGGTCCTCACTCCACATCAGTTGGAGGCGCTAATTTGGCATCAAGTTGTTTTTTTGCCGACCACCAAAATAAACCAGTGAAGAAGAAAGAGACCATTGCGCATGCAGTCCGCGCAGGCCATTTCATCGACTGCAGAGGTGACAGGACAACTGCTGCGTCCGAATTGCCCACTCGGATACTACATGCTACTGCTACATACTACTGCTAGATCCTACTCCTACATACTAAACACGTTGGTCACTACACTGCTTTGAAGGCTAATTATAATGTAGCACTTTGCAGAAATGATTAAAAAATGTTCTCAAAAAATATATTTCTGTAGCAAACCACTTTATTTTTTAACATTCAATTTTAAACAATTAAGCAAATTCAAGAACAGTGTGTGGGTGTGTGCGTGTGTGAGAGAGAGACATATAAACTATTTACAGTATTTAAATTCATTACAAACAAACAAAAAAAAGACTACATAGCTGAACTAATTTCTGTGTGTGTGTGTGTGTGTGTGTGTGTTTGTGTGTGTGTGTGTGTGACAAAAACTGTTTATGGTATGTGAATTCATTACGATAAAAAAAAAAAAAAGATTACATAGCTTAACTTATTTCTGTGTGTGTGTGTCTGAAATATTTAACTATTTACAAAAAAGTGATTAACATTGATTTATTTAATTTTTATAGCAGTTATGGTTTTCCCTGTCACTGATGCTTCCACTTTCAGTGGGCCCTGGCTGATTGCATCATCAAAGGGGGCCTCCCACAAAGCCTCCTCAATGTACATAGTCTCCCCACTTTGAAGCAGCACCTCAAAAACGGCATCTGGAGGGTTGCTGGTTGATGTTGCCCCTCCCTCCTTGAGGACACCAATTATGTCCAATGTTTGGCTTGACTGCTGCTTCTGTTTACAAATTAAACAAACACAGGTAAGGAATTAGATTATTAGGATATATATATATATTTTTGGTAACAATGGCCCAATAACTATTAATATTGTGAGTATTATTGTCCTGAAGCCCTGCCTATCCTGGCACTTGAGGAAGTGGGTCAGATGTGAGACCGGTACAAAAGTGTCAATACAAAACACCCACAGAAATCTTCCCTGTCATTAATTTAGTGCCCCTCAAATAGATGTCGATGTCTATACACAGACAGACAAAGTTGTTGGTACCTTTCTTTAAAAAAAAAACTAAACCAATAAAGCTCACAAAAATGACTTGAAACTAACAGAAGTAAGAATGAAACATAATAAACAGAAAATTAACTAATGAAATTGTGACATTGGATTTGAATTTTGGTCTGACAGAACTATTTTTAAAAAGTAAATGTATGAAACTGACACATTTAAACACACTTTAAATCAAACAAATTTTAACAAAACTGGCCTGGAAAAAATTGATGGTACCTTTTAACTTTATACTATGTTGCACAACCTTTTTAGGCAATAACTTCCATCAAGTGATTTCTATAATGCTCAGAGAGACCTGTGCACCCGTCCACAGGTGTTTTGGCCCACCCCTAGTGAGCAAACTGTTCCAGTGGTGTCAGATTTGAAGGGTGTTATCTCCAGACTGCATGTTTCAGCTCCTTCCACAGATGTTCAATAGTATTGAGATCAGAACTTGGGAGACCACTTAAGAATAGTCCAGTATTTTGTCCTTCATAGTCCTCAGAAAGGACAATGACCAAAATTATAGCTAAAAACTCTCAAGAATTACATGTATTGAAGATGTCATTAATTTTTTTTTCATTTGCTCTTGAATTTTTTCTTTAGACCATGACATATTGTGCTTCTTTTTGACATCTTTTACACTCCTCTAGTTAAGACAGGTTCTGTTAAATTGATTTCTTGATTCATCAGGTCTAGCAGTAATCAGGTCTGGGTATTAATATAGACATTTCACTCGTTTTTAAAGAAAAAAAAATATTTAATTTGTGATTTGAGAAGAGGGGGTAATTACTTTTTCACATAGGGTCAGGTAGGTATGGATAACTTTCTTTTCTCCTTAAATAAAAACATTTGTAAACTGCATGTTAAATTTACTGTAGTTATCTTTGACTTTAATGTACATAAATAAAAGAAATCAGACAGAGGCAAATACTTTTCTGTGTGACTGTATGTGGGTTTGTCTGTCTTAAACATAAGGTTGCCAACAATTTTGTATGTGTGTATTTCTTTATATCATTTTTAAATTAATTAAATAGTTATCAAACCTAGTTCTTTTTTGTGATTCTGTAAACTACCAATTGTAGAGGAAAATGGAAGTTATATTTTTCAAAAAATGCGTTAACCTGAAAACAATGACAACAAATTACCTCAACTTTCGTAAAATTGGTCGTGTTGACCTGTATCCCATATTCTGTCCTAAGTGACTTAACATGGGTCAGTTTGATTGTCTCCCCGACGATGATGGGCTCGACTGCTGCCTCCCTCCACAGGGAGAGCTTAATGGTAGTTGTATCCTGTAAAACATAAGGGAACACCTTATTGTCTGTAGTCCCAATACATGTAACACTAAAAATACCACAGGCTCTTGTCTCATTTAAACCTGAAGGGCTGAGCAGATGCATGATGCTAAACTAAGCATTAATTCATGAGAAGATAAGAAAAACTTTATGAATCCCCAAGGGGAAATTTGATATCAAGCTGATGTAGTCACATCAATGCATGTATGAATTTACTGTAAATCAGCATCATTCAATGATCTGTTGAGTGTGAACTAATCACGTGAATTCAAAGTGACAGGCTCATTAGTGTGAAGTAAGAAAAAGGCAGAATGACACATCTGCATTAATTCAAGTGTTATTTCATCATGATCCATACATTATGTAAATGTTAACTGTGCAGTATCTCACAAAAGCGAGTAGACCCCTCACATTTCTGCAAATATTATATATTTTCATGGGACAAAACTAAAGAGATGACACTTTGACACAATGGACATTAGTCAGAGTACAGCTTGTGTAACAGTGTAGAATTACTGTGCCCTCAAAATAACTCAACACAGAGCCATTAATGTGTACACCCCTGGCAACAAAAGTCAGTACACCACTCAGTGAAAATATCCAAACTGGGCCCAATCAGCCATTTTCCCTCCCCGGTGTCATGTCACTTGTTAGTATTATGAGCTCTCAGGTGTGAATGGGGTGCAGCTGTGTTAAATTTGGTATTATCTGTCCTACACCCTCTCATACTGGTCACTGGAAGTATACCATGGCACCTCATGGCAAAGAACTCTCAGAGGATCTAAAAACTGAATTGTGGCTCTACATGAAGTTGGCCTAGGCTATAAGAAGATTGCCAACACCCTGAAACTGAGCTGCAGCACAGTGGCCAAGACCACACAGCTGTTAAATGGGACAGGTTCCACCCAGAACCGCACCATGGTCGACCTAAGAGGTTGAGTGCATGTGCTCAGCGTCATATCCAGAAATTGTCTTTGGAAAACGGACGTTTGAGTGCTGCTAGCATTGCTGCAGGGGTTAGATGGTGTCTAGCATGTCTGGCGGCAACCAGTTGAGGAGTACTAAGACAAGTGTCTCCTGCCTACAGTCAAGCATGGTGGTGGGAGTGTCATAGTCTGGGGCTGCATGACACTAAACGGAAGGCAGCAGTTTATCGAGAGGAACCACGAATGCCAACATGTGTGACATACTGAATACTGTATTCCAACATGAATACTGTATTCCAACATGATAACGAGGATCATTCACTCCTCCACAGTGATGTCATCACAGAAAATGAGGAAAGTGTGAAAAAGGATTTCAGTGGCAACCTGTGAAGCTCTGATGAACTCCATTCCCAAGAGGGTTAAGGCAGTGCTGGTGGCCACACAAAATATTGACACTTTGGGTCTGATTTGGACATTTTTACTTAACGATATTCTCACTTTTGTTGCCAGGGGTGTACACATTAATGGCTCTGTGTTGAGTTATTTTGAGGGCACAGTAAATTTACACTGTTACACAAGCTGTACACTGACGACGATACATGGTATCAAAGTGTCATTTCTTTAGTTATATCCCATTAAAAGATCTAATTAAATGAGGCGTGTACTCACTCGTGTGAGATACCGTATATACATACACCAACATTTTTATTGATTTTTTTATTTACTATTGCCTTCCTCATTTTCAGGTTCTTTTAGTGACTTATAAGACTTTTTCTTTCTTGAACAGAAGTGTACCAAAAATTTTCACAGCTGCAGTTACCTGCTGCAGGACAAGCTTTCTCAGAGGCACAGCCTCTTTCCCCGACTCCACTTTTCTCACTGCAGAGAGCTAAACAGAAGGAAATTCTGTATTAGTAATTTATATATTTTAGAATGCAGTCTTTTTTTATTGTTATTTGTGATGTTGTTAATTTCCCAGATCCATGGCTGTACCATAGAAGCTCACCTCTACAACCACTCCCTCTAGGGACATCAGGCCCTGCTGCGCCCAGCAATTACGGAGCTCAACCAGAGGTGAGGCAGGGTGCAGCAGGGCCTCGGCTCTTGAGTGGAGTTCTGCGGGGCAGTCAATCTTGCTGCCCTGGAAAAATTGGGTCCCGCTCCCAACATTGATAGTAAAGGGGGGGGACCTTCCAAGCAGGGTGTGGCCCTTCATAAAATAGGCCCCCCCCTCTGCCACTCTCCCTGACACCGCTTCGAACAGGGTAATTTTCGTGAGGGAATGTCCATCACTGATTACAGCGGTCTTATTATTCTTTATGCAGGTTGGGCTTGCACAAGACTCCTCAAAGTTCCAGGCCACCACTCTTGGGGAGTCTTCAATTTTTAAAAAAATTATGTGGATGGGCGGGAGCTTGGCGTAGGGGGAGTCTGGTGGGGAGTCCAAGAGTTTTCTCAGTGCCATTCTGCAACAAAAAAGGTTAAACATGTTCAGTATTTCCTGTCATTTTATTTGTCCATCTGCCCCCCCTCCCTCTCTCTTCCCCTCCCTCTCTGTCCCCCTCTCCTTTCCCTCTCTCACCCCCCTTCCCTCTCTCTCCCCTTCTCCCATCCCTCTCTCTCCCCCTCTTCCCTCTCTCTCCCCTTCTCCCATCCCCCTCTCTTCCCCCTTCCCACTCTCTCTCTACCACTTCCTCCCTCACTCTCTCCCCATCCCTCCCTTTCCTATGTATGTAGGCATGTATTTATTTATTTATTTATTTATTTCATAGTTGAAATACGTTTCGTATTTATGTACAATACGTGAAAAAATAATAGAAATAGAACCATTAAATAAGATGTTGCTGAGCAAAATTTGTTTTTGTGTCCTCTACTCCTGGCGAGCGCCGATCTCTACGGCGGTGTGTAATGCAGCACTAGTAGCGCGCGCCCCCGTAACGACTGTTGGTCAGGACTGCGCGCTACGTGCTCTCTCGCGTCTCATACTTATCCTCCTACCGTAATAACCGTTGTTGTAGTCTGCGCGCAACATTTTTTTCTGGTCATTCATAAAACGCTAAAATCGAGGACATTTCCAGCGACAGCTTTAGCCGGGGACAGGGCAGCCAAAACGGGGACCACCGTCCCCGGATATTGCGGACGTCTGGTCACCCCTCACTCTATGTTCTTCGTTCGTTTTAGCTATAGCCTATACCTTAGGCTACCGATATAATAGTACGAAGCTGCCCTGTCCAAACAAATTATACCACAAAACTAATTTCAGACCAATTAAAAACGGAATTTATGATACAAAATAAACGAAAATGAAGCATTTCTTCATATTTGTTTCAGTGACAGTTGTTGACAGTCGTCGTCGTCCTTCAGCGCTAAATATGTAAATGTCTTTTACTGTAGACGTGTTGAAATGTTAATGAAAGATATCCTGTGAGTTTGACCGAGAGGAACTTGAATGCAGCATTAATGAATGACTACCGTCTCCTCTCGCTGAGACTGGCAGTTCTGAAGAATGAACTCAAGCACAGGTGTCTGTGCAGAGAATGGGCGGCATTTACTGATTGATCTAAACCCGCCTTATCCGAGTGCACGCGCATGTCTCAATCCTGTCAGCGGTGAAACATCAAAGGGCTTTATCTTCAAAATTTGTCGTTTGGAGCTAGAAATAAACCAAATTATACCATAAAAATAATTTTAAATGGATGAAAAACGGAATTTATGACACAAAATAAACGAAATTGAAGTATTTCGACTGGGGGGTATGAACTCTATGTTCTTCGTTCATGCTAGGTATATACCTTACCGGTAGAATGATACACACCTACTCTCCCTAACGTAACAACCAAATTACACCTGTAAACTTATTTCAAACAAAATAAAAACGAAATTTATGCCAGAAAATTTATCGAGCTGGAAGTAAGCTATCTCTTTATATTTGTTTTACCCACTTGAGCTGTCGTTGTCCTCTGTGTCTGTTCAGTCGAATGTCTTCTACTGCACTGATGTTTCCGCGCTAGTGGTTTACTTTACAAACAACCTGACTTCCTGCCCCCCCCCCTTTATAAATCTATTGAATATTATTTATTTATTTTTAATACGTCTAGTTTCTTTCTAAAATGTGGAGAGAGAAAAAAAGAAATTAAAAAAAAAAATTATTGGAAAAAAGAAGTTGTCCAGATTTTTGACAGATGCGATATGAGCTGTATGTTCCCAGAGCCGGATTAACCATGAGCCATAGTGAGGCTGAAGCCTCAGGGCGTTTGGCTATGGGGGGCCACTCAGCCCGAGCAGAAGCCGCTATGACACTGATGAGCTGCGCCCGGTGTGAGGAGGATTAGGCTGTATTGGGACAGAGGAAAAAGTGCCTAGAAAGTGAATCTCGTTCCACTTCAGTGGGGCAACATAAACTGTGATTCATAAAACAGCTCTATTGATAGTTAGTACTAAAAAAAAATATCTACTCATGCCATCCTGTCGATTTTTAGTAATCAGTGTTTCGGTGTCGAACTATTTCCTTTCTGCGGCGCAGTGATACTTCCACACGCGCAATCGAATATGCAGAGGGGTGAAGCGATTTTTGTCACGTGGACCAATAGGAGCCGAGTCTCGTTACCATAGTATCAGAAATACACAAACATGGCGACGAGCGCGTCTACCAGCGAGACAAGCGAGGAGGAAGAAAAGAAAAGGAACAAAAGAAAACAGCCTTCAAAAGTGCATCAAAAAGGAACGAAACGATGCTTTATGCATCTATCATCTGTCCAGAGTGAAGACGTTCTCGACTTTACGAGGACACGTTGGGAAACTTACAGAACTAGTATTAGAAAGTGGCTTTCTCTACAGGGTGAAACAAAAGACCAGCCAGAAATGTACATATATGTGAGTAACACAAAAAACGATTATATGGTACTGCTGTTTTTGCTTGTAGAAACTGCTATGTTGATTCTGGCAAGACAAAATCTTTTTCAAATGTCATAAATACATCTACCTAACATCTGAAACAGTTATTGGTGCCTTAGTATACGCATAAGTGAATTCAGATTATGAAATGTAGCAAATTTCTTGAAGAAAACGTCTCAACTCAAGTGATTTGCACCCAGCACAATGAAATATATACAGTATATTTAGCTAAAAGCTTATGTTTCATACATAAAAATGACACAACCTACTGTGTAATAAAAGCAATAAAATATAAACAGCACATCATGGCCCTAAATGGCTGAAAGTCAGTCAAATTGCTACCACGCTCCCCAAAATTGGAATAATGGAAAAAATGTAACAAGACAAAAATAAATGCACAAAAGGACTGAATTAATTCAAAATATAGTATAAAACATTTATTCAAGTATCACAGTGTCAAAACCTCTGACATTTATCAGTCCCTACAGAATATGAAAATAAAGATCAAAACACAAACGCAGACAAATGTAGAACAGATATAAAAATAATAAAAATCTCAGTGTAGCAATCCTTTAAAAAACAAATTGTATAACCATAACAGGCCTTCATATCACGCCTTGCACTTTTATTTATAATGCTTGCTATATACTTATAATTTAAAATGCCTGAGGTTTTCTACAGTAAAAAAGTGAACTGTACACCAGCCTCTGTGCTTTCCTTGAAGACTTTTTCACTACCTCTTGTTGAATTGAGTTCAGACACACAGTTGTATTAACCCAGTGGTTTGGCTAGAGGTGGTGGCTAGTGGAACCATTGAATAACCACCCATAACTGCATTAATTTCCACAAAATGACCAATAAAATCTGCCAATTTTTTGCGCGCGCGGGACAGAGGGGGGCCATTAGGTTTGCTTAGCCTCAGGGGCCACAGAAGGTTTAATCCGGGCCTGTATGTTCCCCGTTCGTCGTTCTCCTTCTGCCTTTTCTGGCAGAACAAAGACGATTTCTGGGCTGAAAGACATGTAAATTATTAACTCTGGCTAGCCTTGGCGCTACTGGTGTGTCAGTTTGTTCTTTGCGCATCCTGTTATTAGTTTGAGAAAATCTACATAATGACACCATGGATTATAATTGGTGATAGGCATTGTTTACATGAGGGCGGTAGTTTCACTGATTCGGTGTTGCTTCAACCTACAGTGTTGCTGCTGAAAAATATGTAATGATTCTTTCAGATATTTCCTCATAAGTTAGATCAACATAACGGTATCAAATCCTTAAGCGCTAAATATGTAAATGTCTTTTACTGTAGACGCAATGAAACGTTAATGAAAGATATCCTGTGAGTTTGGCCGAGGGGAACTTGAATGCAGCATTAATGAATGACTACCGTCTCCTCTCGCTGAGACTGGCAGTTCTGAAGAATGAACTCAAGCACTGGTGTCTGTGCAGAGAATGGGCGGCATTTACTGATTGATCTAAACTCGCCTTATCCGAGTGCACGTGCACGTCCCAATCTTGTCAGCGGTGAAGGGCTTTATCTTCAAAATTTGTCGTTTGGAGCTTGAAATAATGTTCACAATTATCTTCCAGTGGTGTTGCTCTCCATGATACGCAGGTGTACGCCGTATAGCCGTCCTGAACAGATGATTTGTTTCAGCGCTCAGATGAGTTATTTACTTTAAGCCTACATACGGATATTTTAATATTCAGTTTTGTGAGCCAAATTTATTTTATATGCCAACATCTATGAAAGAAAGAGCCAGGCCACGGAGGGCGATGCGTCCTTTACGCACAGATGGTTCCCATTTTAATTCCATTTTTGGAGTTTATGTTGTGATCTGTGCGCACAACCCACCTTTGTCACGTGAGGTTTGAATATATGCAACTTCATGTGAGTGTCTTTATTTGTGGAAAGGGTGTTTGTCTTACCAGTGGGTCCAACATTACACACACCAGATCCATCTGTGCTCATATGAGAGAGTGTGAAGGACGCCCAATGCAGCGCTTACAGCGACACTTGTTGAGGAGCTGCCTTCTGTCACCATCTTGTGGCATTACTGTCTTCAGACATCTCTTGATCTCTCGGACTACTTCACTAAAATTGGAATATGCCTCGCCGGTGGCGAATTTAAAGGCAAGGAGAGGAGCTTATGCGATTGGTGAATACAGGTCTCGGCTGTGTTAAATCCACTCCACGCCGTCTCTCCTCCCTCGCTGGGAGAAGCTGAGTTAGGGAGGGGGGATACTTAAACAGGGCTGCGCGGCTCACCAAAATCAGTAGGATGTGTTTTATTTATAATACTCCTTTAAGTGGCATGTTTCCATGACAAATGTATTGATTTATTGTTTTGTTTTGCAGTGCGCAGCCTGTCTTCACTGCTGCCCCTGATACCAGGCTGATAATATCAATTAAAAAAAATCAAGAGCAAACAACATAAATCTGTGCATGGGTGTCCATTTTGTCTTTCAAACTTGAGGTCCAGTTGACTTACTGGATTCAAACTCCAGCAGCCCTGGACCCACATTCACCTTTTTCCCTGTGTTTTCAGATTACTACACCTGAACAAAAGTTAGCTCATAAAATTTGTCATGGCCCATTTAGCCAAGTACTGAGTTGTGGGCTTGAAAAACAGACCTTGACATTTGTTTTCAAAGTCTGATACAGGACTGTTATATGTGTTTTTAAGGGTTTAGAATAGCCTAAGGCTAAGTTTGCTCATGTGAAAAACCTTTAATATATTGGTATATTAAAAAACTGTGAAAATGGTGAACTGGGAGTTACAACAAATGAATTATAAAAATGAATCATAATAACTATTACAATTTGTCAACAGTGTAACATAAGTATAACATATAAGTATAACAGCATAAATGTGAAACACAAAAAGTATAGGATGGAACATGAGGAATAATGTGCAAAAATAACTCAGCAGTTTACTGTACAGTGTAGTACAGCAGTATTAAACAGAAATTGGTTTAGAATAATGTAAAGGGTAAGATAAAGAATACAAATGCAAAAATGCAATGTCATCCAGGCTTGTGGAAATATACAGGCAAGGTAAGGTGAAAGGTTAATAACTTAAGTATAGCATTATAGTATTTTAAAGCCAACTGCAGTGAAGTGTGGGCCCTCTCATGCATAAATATTAATAAAATAATTTTTAAAAAAAAAGGAAATGAAAGTTAAAAAAAAAATCTAAAATGATTGTTTCAAAGAATAGATTTGAGAACTTGGAATAAATAGATGTAATGTATTGGTCCACCTTACCACCAGAAGGCTTTTCACAGAGTAGTTAGGCCAAGGCTAGTGCTGTCATCAGCTCATTGCAGCAGACTGACAATCATATTTGTTTCCAGAGTTTTCTTGTCCAAACATTCAGACTACTCAGTCTTACTGAATTGCTGGGTCGTCTTAACATTGACAGTTTCTGCTCAAAAAATTATCTACTTTGGAGAAGTATATTTCAAGGATAGGCATAAAAACTTTGTTCCTCTATGAAATCACTTCACACAGCTCGTTTAACCCAGCCCTGTGTTTTGAGCATTCTGAAGACAAACCTTCAGCAGGGATTGTTTGACACTGTAATGCTTAGATCACTGCTGTCCAAAACATTGGCCCAAGACTAAGCACATGTGAAAAACCTTCAGTGTACCTACCAGCTGAAACCCAAAGTACACCTTTTTTTTTCTAAAAACATGTCCTCTCTTGCAGGTAAATTGGAGGGATATGGTGAGCATATAAAAACGTGACAAATTCAAGTGCCTGCAATAACTAAAGTAACTGGTAATTTTTCCTTTCATCAGTGTCAGTCATCTTTTGATATAAGGACAGATACACGGTAAAAGGGAAAGGAAACACTAAGATAAAAAGAAAAAATAAAGTCAAAGAAACACAAAGGAAACTTAAAATATCAACAGACACAACTGATGACACGATATAGTAACCATGATTCAAAACAATATAAGAGTAATAGTTGTCCTTTCCTGAAGACAATCACTCAGTTCCTCAAGTGAGTACTGTGTTCTGATTGGGCTCTTTTCTTCAAAACCAAAAGCAGACCCTGGTACAGTACAGAGTGAAAGCTTAAAGTGAGGTAATGTTATGACCTTTGACCTGTGGTTATAGAATTGCTGTGTGCAGTTATCAGTGTTCAAGCTGACAGGAGAAGGAGAGGCCTAAAAAAAAATAAACAACAATAAAAACCCCTTCTCTTTGACTTAGTAATCAACACAAAAATTATGTGCTAACAGTAATTCTGTGCTTTTGTTTGTTGGTCAAACAGGATTGTTGTTATGGGGCAAGGAAATACACTGTTTCCTCAGGGAAAGTTTAAAGCTGCTGTGAGGATGATCTGATGATCTGAATGAGATGACATTTGCTGCAGCTTGCTTCACAGGATTGCAGGACCTGTAGGATCACCATCAGTAGGACTCTGCTGAGCTGCACTGGCTACACTGTGGATGAACAGACAGTGATTTTAAGTAGGAGAATGTAGCAGGTTCAAAACAGGGAATACACTGAAATATTTGTGTTAACAATCTATGAAACTAAACATGTTGAATAAATACACACACATCATTACAATGAATACCTTCAGCACTGCAGCAGAGCTAAATATTTCTGTCCAGAGCCACTTCACCAGGTCTGCATGCAGCAAAGTTTCCTCACACAGAGAGGCTCAAGGCTTAGGGTGGCTGCATGATGTCTAACTTTGGTGCATTTGGCTGCCTGAGTGTCTGAGCAGTTCTTCCGCTCTTAACGTTCAATTGGCTTGAAGAAGACCTGAGGGAAATCACTGCTGTTAAAGACGATGATATCAACAGAGCTATACAATGAAGTCACAAACAATAATACAGCAGATAAAATTACGAAGAATAAATAAATAAACACAAGTTCCCAAAGACATTACCTCAGGCGTTGTTGAAGAGGGGCATATCTCTGGGAGATTTAGCAGAGAAGAGCCCACTGAGTGACAGGTGCTACAGCATCAGTTCTGCTCCAACCTGGTGTCTGATGGTCTTTAAGAGCTGTTCCAGGACATCTGGAGCCCTGGCAGGTCAAACACACATTTGTTTAGCCCATAAGAGAAGGGTCCTGGTGGGTGCTGCAATCTCTTTTCAGCTCCAGTACAGTGTGTGATGGTTGTTGAAAGCAGCAAAGAGACGGTGTGAAGGATGCCATCGCGTCATCCCCTTGACCAAGGACTGGGTTGCAGTAGGTAGACTGTGTCTTTGAGTTGTCCAGGGTTATGTGGTTACTTCTGGTTGACAGTTTGACCATTTTTCCAGCTTACAGTAAGCTAGTCAGGATAGTACTAATGGAGGTCAGGCCAAAGATGACAGAAACAACAGAAAAAAAGAAAAAAAAACTAAACTGACCCAAACGAAAGGAAACTTATAGTGTCGGTGGCTTCAAGGACACTAGAGCAAACCTGAGAGTTGTGTAAAGTTGGGGGGTCTTCAGCTGGTAAGTAACAGAAAGGTATCACAATTTCAGTGGTATCTAATATTGTTCAGCCCAATCGTTAAAGGCTCATCACATGGTGGTTGGACTGAGGCTAACACCCCGTTACTTACTGGATTCAAACTCCAGCAGCCCTGGACCCACATTCACCTTTTTCCCTGTGTTTTCAGATTACTACACCTGAACAAAAGTTAGCTCATAAAATTTGTCATGGCCCATTTAGCCAAGTACTGAGTTGTGGGCTTGAAAAACAGACCTTGACATTTGTTTTCAAAGTCTGATACAGGACTGTTATATGTGTTTTTAAGGGTTTAGAATAGCCTAAGGCTAAGTTTGCTCATGTGAAAAACCTTTAATATATTGGTATATTAAAAAACTGTGAAAATGGTGAACTGGGAGTTACAACAAATGAATTATAAAAATGAATTATAATAACTATTACAATTTGTCAACAGTGTAACATAAGTATAACATATAAGTATAACAGCATAAATGTGAAACACAAAAAGTATAGGATGGAACATGAGGAATAATGTGCAAAAATAACTCAGCAGTTTACTGTACAGTGTAGTACAGCAGTATTAAACAGAAATTGGTTTAGAATAATGTAAAGGGTAAGATAAAGAATACAAATGCAAAAATGCAATGTCATCCAGGCTTGTGGAAATATACAGGCAAGGTAAGGTGAAAGGTTAATAACTTAAGTATAGCATTATAGTATTTTAAAGCCAACTGCAGTGAAGTGTGGGCCCTCTCATGCATAAATATTAATAAAATAATTAAAAAAAAAAAAAAAAAGGAAATGAAAGTTTAAAAAATTTTTTAAATGATTGTTTCAAAGAATAGATTTGAGAACTTGGAATAAATAGATGTAATGTATTGGTCCACCTTACCACCAGAAGGCTTTTCACAGAGTAGTTAGGCCAAGGCTAGTGCTGTCATCAGCTCATTGCAGCAGACTGACAATCATATTTGTTTCCAGAGTTTTCTTGTCCAAACATTCAGACTACTCAGTCTTACTGAATTGCTGGGTCGTCTTAACATTGACAGTTTCTGCTCAAAAAATTATCTACTTTGGAGAAGTATATTTCAAGGATAGGCATAATTCAAGGATAGGCATAAAAACTTTGTTCCTCTATGAAATCACTTCACACAGCTCGTTTAACCCAGCCCTGTGTTTTGAGCATTCTGAAGACAAACCTTCAGCAGGGATTGTTTGACACTGTAATGCTTAGATCACTGCTGTCCAAAACATTGGCCCAAGACTAAGCACATGTGAAAAACCTTCAGTGTACCTACCAGCTGAAACCCAAATTACACCTTTTTTTTTCTAAAAACATGTCCTCTCTTGCAGGTAAATTGGAGGGATATGGTGAGCATATAAAAACGTGACAAATTCAAGTGCCTGCAATAACTGAAGTAACTGGTAATTTTTCCTTTCATCAGTGTCAGTCATCTTTTGATATAAGGACAGATACACGGTAAAAGGGAAAGGAAACACTAAGATAAAAAGAAAAAATAAAGTCAAAGAAACACAAAGGAAACTTAAAATATCAACAGATACAACTGATGACACGATGTAGTAACCATGATTCAAAACAATAAAAGAGTAATAGTTGTCCTGTCCTGAAGACAATCACTCAGTTCCTCAAGTGAGCACTGTGTTCTGATTGGGCTCAACACAAAAATTATGTGCTAACAGTAATTCTGTCCTTTTGTTTGTTGGTCAAACAGGATTGTTGTTATGGTGCAAGGAAATACACCGTTTCCTCAGGGAAAGTTTAAAGCTGCTGTGAGGATGATCTGATGATCTGAATGAGATGAAATTTGCTGCAGCTTGCTTCACAGGATTGCAGGACCTGTAGGATCACCATTAGTAGGACTCTGCTGAGCTGCACTGGCTACACTGTGGATGAACAGTACAGTGTGTGATGGTTGTTGAAAGCAGCAAAGAGACGGTGTGAAGGATGCCATTGCATCATCCCCTTGACCAAGGACTGGGTTGCAGCAGGTAGACTGTGTCTTTGAGTTGTCCAGAGTTATGTGGTTACTTCTGGTTGACAGTTTGACCATTTTTACAGCTTACAGTAAGCTAGTCAGGACAGTACTAATGGAGGTCAGGCCAAAGATGACAGAAACAACAGAAAAAAATAAATAAAAAAAATACCCAAACGAAAGGAAACTTATGTTTGCTCTAGTGCACCTAAAGCCACCCACACTAAGAGAGTAGTGTAAAGTTGGGTGGAGAAAAGGGGGGTTTCAGCTGGTAGGTCACAGAACACCAGAAAGTGCGTGTTTCCGAAGGAATACACACTTTCTGATGGAGGTCTTTAATTTTAGCTGCTGTATACATTATTGTACACAGCAGCTGAGCGTTTTGGCCTGTGCATTTATCAATCCTCACCCACCCTCCCTATGTCCAGTCAAGTCAAATTAAATAGATTAACTTGACTTGACTGGACTTGATAAATGCACAGGCCAAAAAATAAAACTTATTACATTTGAATAGCTGAAAATTGCCAAACCTGAAAATGTTGCCTTTTTAAAAAAAATTAAGCCATAAAAATATTTTTTACAGTTCAAAAATGTACAATCACCAAACAAATTTCAATCTGTTTTAACAATATAAGCAGAACATTAGCCACAGCTTCCCTGGTTTGTCTTTCTCTTAAAGCTGTTTCCCATTGTGATCTGCTGAATAAAATTACACAGTAAGTAGGATTGTGGTTACTGTAGTAGGTTTGCTCAATATCTAGAAAGATATTTCTGCATTTGTGTGTTAAATGGATTGACTGGACATGACAAATGTACAACTCAAATAATACAACATATAACAGTGGAATAGTTGAAATTTGAACAACCTGAAAAATGTTTCCTCTCTAAAAAATTAAGCCATAAAAATATATTTTTCATTCAATTACTTACAATCACCAACACAATTCAATGGGCACTAAAAATATAAGCAGAATATTAGCCCCAACTTCTCTGTTTTGTCTTTATCTTCAGAGCAGTTTCCTTTATGACCTGTTGGATGAAATAACACAGTAAGTGGCATTGTGGTAACTGTAGTAGGTCTGCATGATACCTGAGGAGAGACATAGCTGAGGTCGTGAGATGAAGATCAGGTCCAGCAGTGTGTTCTTGTCCGTTGTACCAGCATTGATCAGTTGACCATATCCCTTGGACTGAAAGAAATCCAGAATTGGCTTACTTGCATTAGAAAAGAGATTCTCATTGAAGTCACCACAGACAATTATAGGATGACAGTCCATGATCTCAAGTGAGTCCAGAAGGTTTCCCAGATTGGACAGGAATGATGACACACTGTAGTCTGGAGGTCTGTACACAGCTGCAATCAGAGCACTTACAGGAGATTCAACCTTCAAAGCCACAAACTCAAGGTCAGTCACATTATTCAGGTACTGTTTCTCCACAACCTGCAAATGGTTTTTCACATAAACAGCGACTCCACCACCTCCTTTACTGGCCATCTGTGGAAAGTTAGTGTAGGACAAATGTCTATTGCGTTTGAACATGGTGTAACCCTCAAACTGGAGACTGTCTGCCACAAAGGAGCCCTGTAGGTGAGTTTCTGTCAGACACAAAACATCTGCAAGACACAGTTCATGATGGCTTTTGATGTCATTCACATGAGCAGGTAATCCTTCAGTGTTGTGATGAATGATGCTCACAGTGTCCTGTCTGCTGAGAGAATGCTGGATCTGGAGAAAAGGCATGAGGTGATCAAAGTTAGCGAATGTCATGGTCTCCAAAGATACAGTGACTGCAGGGTTAGCATGGATTTTACTCTCATCCAAATCAAGCATGTGCAGTCCGCTGAGAGAGGTCACTCGACTGATAGCTACATAGGCCATGCCGGGCTCAAAAATGTGCTTCAGAGAGACAACAGCAGATTTTCTGGTCATACCTTGAACCTTGTGTATCGTGCATGCAAAGGCAAGTTTCACAGGAAACTGTCTGCGTACCACTCCTTTCTGTTGCAGAGCCTCCTCAGATCTCTCGATGTACACAAGATTGTCTCCTCGAGTACGATAGCTCCTGCCAGCTGTTTCATCATCCATCCTGAGACCAAGCATAGTGACAAGAGCAGAACCATTGTTTTCAGAGCTTATGAGACGGCCTACTGTCGCAAATGATCCGTTCACCAATCCTTGAGACACATCTATGTTTCTGATGAGCATGACTCTAGCACCTACTGCAACATCTAGTGTGTCAGGTAGATCATTTCTGCTTCCATGACATGGTGCACCTTGTCTTTTCATGTGTCCAGTGTGTGGGTCTTTTTTAAAGTCATCTGCATCAATGGTGGTGATATCAGAATGGAGCAGAGATAGTGTAGCAGAGTTGTGTGCTGCAACTTGTTTGTTTGTAGCAAAAATGTGCAGGACATCAGAGGGACACAATTGTGGTTCAGTGACACGCTGTGACAGCAGAGCTCTGTCAGCTTCAGAAAGCTCATCTGACCTTGTTTTCACACAGAGTCTGTTCAGCATCTCGGCAAAAGTTTTGTCATCCTTCTGTCGCATAATCTCATCTAAAGTGATCACCTGGAAGTTGTCTCTCCAGAGGTCAAGCTCACTTGGATCATAGACACAGAGTGGTTTGGACTGTCGCACAGGCGGTAGCTGGTAAAAGTCTCCCACAGCAATGACTGACATTCCTCCAAAGGGTCTGTGGCTGCCTTTAATCTGTTTCAGTCTCACATCCACATAGGCAAACAGAGGCTTCGACACCATGGAGATTTCATCAATGATGATGATTTCAGCATTTAAAAGCTCACACCTGATTTCATCAAGTTGGTTCCCAAGACCTTGAAAAGGAGGTTTCAAACTTCTGGGCAGCTTGAGGAGAGAGTGCAGTGTTGTTCCAGAGATGTTAAAGGCTGCAGTTCCAGTGAAAGCAGTCAACAGCACAGTCGGGTTTGAGATGTCAGCTTCCTCAGCACGTCTAGGTAGTGTTCTCAGAATCTTTGATGCTTCTGAATGAATGCATTTAATGAGATGTGACTTTCCAGTGCCAGCACCACCATTGATGTAGTAGAAAAACTGCTCTGGTTGTCGTCCACAGACTCGTTTTATGCACCAGTCTCTCACTGCATAGAACACACGTGCCTGTTTCTGGTTCAGACTCTGATACATTTGTCGTAACCGTGTGGGATCGATTGTAGGGGGCTCTCTCATGACTCTGGCTTCTGTAGCAGCATTTGCTTGTCTGCTGTAATCCGGTACATCCTCTTGGACATTTTCACACTGTCGGGCATCCAGTTCATCGATACACTCCAACCTCACCAGTTCAGATTCAGGTGCCAAATTACACCATTCATCGACCACACCTCTGTTCTGTTCAAAGTCCTCGAGAGCGGAGTCAATTTCCTCACTGTTTTTTTCATATCTCTCTCTGTTTCTTTTCACAATGAGTTTCACACTCAGGGGTCGGTCAGAATACGGCAGCTGAACCACACCTCTCTCATAAAATGACTCATACGTGGGAAAATATGGTCTTTTCAGCTCATCGTCTGATCTGTATGGAAGATACAGTCTAAGCAATGTGCCGTAAAACTGCTCAGGGTATTTCTCTTTCGATATGCGGCGATACCTGATGACAGCAGCGTTGTCACTTTCTCGTCTCTGTATAAAGCCCAGTTCATTCAGCAAAGGTACCACTTTCTTGCCCTTGGTCTGTTTACCATACACCAGTCTGCAGGTAGAAGCAAAATCAGCCATGCACATCTCTTCAAACTCTGGTGATTCAGGTCTGGATTTGTACTTGTCTGTTAAGGATGTCATCCACACATTCAAGCTGTCTGGTGTTGTGTTGTCAAGGCTTGACACAGGCAGACTCATTTTCACTGGGTTGTCATCAGTTGGGATGAAAACAACACTGCGTGAACTCTTTTTCATGTTCAGTGAAGTCACTCGGGCAACAGCTTCTTGTGCTGATACTTCTCGCTTTTTGGAATACGCCTGCATGACCGCTTTCATTTCATCACATTCATTGACACATTCTCTGTCGGAGTTCTGAATGAGTGTTTGCAGGTACTGGCTCACAGAGTTCTCACTTTTACACATGTACGTACATATGTAATGGATCAGACTGTAGTAGCTGAGAATGAACTGCACGTCAATGTTTGCATCCCAAGCTTTGAGCAGGTGAGGGTTGTAGGTGTTTACCCAGCAGTCTTTAGGCTCACGCTTCAGAATGATGTTGCTGGACTGACTCATCACATTCATGTGTTTCTCATACTCATCAGCGGTTAAGTCACAGACAGACAGGAGCTGTTGAAAACTCATGGATTCAGTTTGTGTCTCATTCAGCAGCTGATTCAGTGGTGCAAGTTTCTCTTTGGCTCTCTTAAGTCTCTCTGACTCCTCATCATCACCCACAGGTCTTGTTATCATTGTCTGTCTGGAGGGTGGTTTTGGGAATCCAAATCGGCATCCAGAACTTGCACTTTTGAAACATGTCTTTGAGTGGTTCTTACTGTGTATTTGCACTTCTTTGACCTTTTTGTACAGTTCAGGCTGTTTGTTTGGGTCAGGGAGCTGAGCAGAGATGTGTTTGGACACAAAGTCACACACAGTTTTGTCAGAGTCTCTCTCAAACACAGGTGCACCTTCTACCCACAAAAGACCATGTATATGAGGACTTCCTCTGTGCTGAAACTCGAGACGCCAAAAGAAGTCAAAAACTTTGCCCAGGGGTTGTGCAGGAGACATGATCAGATCTCTGTACAGTGCTTCAACACGCTTATCAAACATGCGCATCGTTGTCACAGGATTGCTTCTGAGAATGTCACACTTTGTGGACCAGTCGAGCTCTTCAAAATTCACCTCCTCACCTTGTTGTGATTTTATTGCAATAATCACCTCAGGCCAACGCATTTCTGCTGCAGAAAATGTGACAAAGAAAGTAGGACTGCCCAACTGTCTGATCATAGCAAACAGATCTTTTGTAGTTTTGTCCCAGTAGGCTGGTGTTCCTCTGAGCGGCTGCATAAATCTGATAGCGTCTCTGTTTCTCACCAGTCTCTCCACTTCATATTTGTCTCTCAACATTCTGGATGTTATTTTACGTCCGTCTCTGGTCAAAGGTTTGCCTTTGCGTAACTGTATGGACATGCTGGAGGTAGCCAAGTGTATTTCAGTCACAAACTGTGCAAAGAACAGGTAGTTGGTATCTCTGGCAAAGCGATCATCAACACCAAAGAGCCTTGCTTTAAAATAACTACTGGGTGATAGTTTCATTGGTCTGTTTTCATCTAGTGTATTCTCACCAGTGGGAAATTGAACAGGAAACGCCATGGCCTCCAGTTTGGGTGTTTTGAAAAAACTGACTGGACTGTTTCTCTCTGCTGGAGCTACTGAGTATGTCGAGTCACTGAAACACAATATATCCTCAGAAACATCACGTGGCTGAAGGCACGACTCCAAAACAACACCACCATTAGATATGTCTGCGTCCTGTTGTTGTGTCTGATCATCATTGTCCTGGGTCTGACTTTTATCACACGGCTCTGTACTCTCATCCTCATTTTCAACATTAGTTTCAGCCTCATACATGGCAGCAGCCTCAATTCTATCAATCTCCATCAAATCCTCATCATCATAGTCGTCATCATTCATTGTGTTATCATCATCATCCTCATCCTCATCACCATCACCATCATCAGGAAGTGTGGGGTCACATAACTCCTCCTCATCTCTAATAGTGATGTCTTCATACTGGGGGTGTATCTCTTTCAGCTTATGCAGAGCCTGCACTAGCTTGGACCAGGTAACAGTCTGAAACAGATGGTGACCTCTGTAGCTCAGACGTCTCTTCAGTTTTACTCTCATCACCTGAGACTCATTTCTCAATCTGGGTAGAGCCTGAATTGTCTCCTGGACTTCAGAGGGAACACATACAACATTACCATGTATAGCTCTCTGTCTGCCTTTGGGAAGAGGAGTGATTTTTGCGAACGTTATGCACTTTGCTATCAGATGTCTCTCCAGTATGTTAAGGTCACACAGCTCAGGTGGTATGTCAGCAAGCTCCAAGTTGTTTGCTATGGCAAGTTTGGGCATGGATCCATTTTTCAGATGGTCATGGCAGGTGTGACAAATCCACTCAGTCTTTCTCTCATCAGGGACAGTGCACTGGTTTCTGCAGCCATCATTGCACTCATGGACGTACTGACCTTTGAGACAAGCTGAAACCATAGCTGGATTTTTCACATAGTTGGACCTCTTACACTTTTGTACCTGGTTTGGAAATGAGGCTTTGTGACAAACTGTGCAAACATAGGTAGGACCAGCTTTAATGTGTGATCTGAAAGTATTTATGGCACTCTCAATCAAAGGGTTTTCACTCTCTCTGTCAGTCTCACATATTTGTTTACTTATCTGTTTGTATTTCTTTAATATTTTCAATGCACATCTCATTTTATACATAGTCCTGTATGCAAGATTTTTCTTATACCTGTCTCGCATCATTTGTCTCATCAGCAGTCTGTGTCTGTGACAGAATATATCATCATTTGCATATCGATGATTGATGTAAGATCGCTGTCTTTGCCGGAAATTAACGTCCTCTGAGTATTTTTTCCTGATATATTCTTTTTGTCTGCCTTTAAAATCAACATTTTCTCTGTATTTTTTCCTGATATATTCCTTTTGTCTGCCTTTAAAATCAACATTTTCTCTGTATTTTTTCCTGATATATTCCTTTCGTCTGCCTTTAAAATCAACATTTTCTCTGTATTTTTTCCTGAAATATTCTTTTTGTCTGCCTTTAAATGCAACATCTTCTCTGTATTTTCGTGTGATATATTCTTTTTGTTTTAGTCTGAAGTCTGTGCTTTCTCTATATTTAGTTGTGATATTTCGTCTTTTCTTTGTCTGTATCTCAGGATTTACAGAGTATATGTTACTTGAATAAGACTTTTTCTTCGCTTTATATGTTTCATCCTTTGCATACCTTTCTCTTTCTTTCCTTTTCTGATTTTCTTTTTTTTGTGATGTCTTTTGTGATGTCTTTTGTGATGTCGTTAGTCTCCTCTTATATCTTTTCCTTTGTTGTTTCTTAATTTTTGACAGTTGAATGGCAATGTCATGGACAACATTGTCACTTGTCAAAGTGATATTTTTCAATGGTTGACTCAAATTTGATTGCGTCTCTTGAGTTTCCTCTAATGTGACAGAATTCATGCTGATTTGACCTCGTTGATGTGTTTGTGTTTTCATCAAAGTTGAGATTTTCTGTGATGTGTCATGGCAGTCATCACTTACATCAGTGTTCATCTCTGGAGCGAGAGATTCAGGACCAGTTAATGTGACAGAACACTGGCTGAAGTCGATTAGTGGTTCTGGTTCAGTTTCCATGTCATGTTCAGTGTTTTCACTGACAACAGTGTTCATCTGTGGAGCACTTGTGTCATCATTTATCACAGTGGTTGTGACAGAGGGACTTGTGGACGGACTTTCTGTGGCTGAGATAGCATCACTTGGGTTCTCATCATTGAACACAACTGGCTTGAGCTCATAGCTACAGGACGCTGCTGTGCCCAATATGCGGTGATATCTGATGAGCCTGTCAATCATGTCACTGAGGCGTGTGAATGTAACCGTGACAGCGGTACCAGGAGTAGGCGTGGCCCGAAGCAGAGGCAAACCGTTAGCTGTCCGAGCATGTGGGTCGAAGAAACCGTACCTGCCATCTCTGGTTCTGAAAACTGCAATGCACAGCGAAGTCATCAACAGCAAAGCATACTGCACATCTGATAATAAGCAGCTCAGTCCCGACTTGAGGTCCAGAAAGGTATCAACAGCTCCGGGATCCGGATCTCCAAACGTACCGTATCTAGACAGCTGTGACCTGTCAACATTCTGCGTGTGTCTGCGTGCAGGAACCCGGTGAGGGAGCTCATCGGTTGTCAGATGGGCGTGATCAACAGTTTTTCTGACTTCTCTATACATCACATCACCTTTATCCATAACACGGTCCAGATCTGCTCTGGTGATGTTTTCATTCTCATACAGGAATGCTAGAAATGTCAGGGAATTACAGGTGCACTGCTGGTTTCTGGATCGGCCGTATTTCAGAGACGCTTGGCTGCGTGACGCACAGACGTTTTGTTCACCGGACTGATTAACAGCATTAACATTTCTTGCCCGAGAAGAGGCTGATACAGACTGATAATTACTATGGTTTCCCTTCTTAACAGGGTCAGCATACCATACCTGGGTTGAGCATGGCTTGTCGGTTTGGGCTACGTAGTTTACCTGACGAGAGTTGGACGGACCGGCAGTACATGACACACGAGGAAGTTTTCTCTTTACCATGTCTGCATATGTTACCTGTTGTTCACCTGGATCACTAGTTTCACCTCTGTAGTTTACCTGTTCAGAGTTAGGCGGACCTGCTGCAGGTGACTCGCTTAAACGTCTCCTCTTAAGCATGTCTGCATTAGATACCTGTGGTTGACATGATGCACTTTGACCTCCCCGTTTCACAGCATCAGATATTTCAGACCTCTTCACCTCTCCTATGCTCTGAGGAACACCATCTGCTTGTCCCACACTTACACAGTCAATGTCATGTAACCTCTGCCAGCGCTGGCTTGCAACATGTGACTTCTTACTCTTCCTTGGCATTGTAGCTGTTCTTTCACAACAATGTGTTTATTCAACAATTTAAAGTTAACGATAAGCACCAGTATAGACAAAATGCTTTATTTCTTAAAGAGAGATTGTTATTTAACAGCTTTTACAGTCTCGAAAAAAATCTAATTTATAACTGTGTGTATGCCAACAATACTTGATCAAATGTTTTATAGGAAAATCCTAGGCAAGACTATATAAATGTTTTAAGAAAAAACACAAATCAACAATTTTTAAATCTTCAGACTTTGTGCTTGAAATAATATGTAACTCAAATACTCTATATGAAACGTGTTTTTATGTTCTTTTAAAATCAGGGATGCAGATGTGGTGGTGCTGCTGACAACACTTCTGGTGAAACTCAGGATCCACAGACAGGAAAGGAGGACCTAAAACAACAATCAGACTTGTGCAGAATTAGGGATTTTTCAAAACAGTGGTTGTATTAGAAGTACAAGTGTTTCAAATTTTCAAAAATGGTTTATCAAAATGTTTCCCAAAAGTGGTTTATCAAAGGTTTTCTCAAAAATTGTGTTGTAAAAGGTTTCTCAAAAACGATTTATCAAAAATGGTTTATCAAAAGTTTTGTCAAAAATTGTTTCAAAAGGTTTCTAAAAAATTGTGTTTCAAAAGGTTTCTCAAAATTGGTTTATCAAAAGGCCTCTCAAAAATGGAGTTTCAAAAGGTTTATCAGAGGGTTTCTCAAAAATAGTCTATCAAAATGTTTCTCGAAAAGGGTTAAGCAAAGGGTTTATCAAAAATGGTTTAGCAAAAGGTTTATCAAAAAGATTTATTAAAATGTTTCTCAAAAATGATGTTTCAAAAGGTTTCTCAAAAATGATGTTTCAAAAGGTTTCTCAAAAATGATGTTTCAAAAGGTTTCTCAAAAATGATGTTTCAAAAGGTTTCTCAAAAATGATGTTTCAAAAGGTTTCTCAAAAGGTGGCTGTTTCAATAGGTTTCTCAATGGAAGCAATTTCAATAGGTTTCTGAATGGAAGCAGTTTCAATAGGTTTCTGAAAGGCTTGTTACAATGGTTTCTGAAAGGCTTGTTACAATGGTTTCTGAAAGGCTTGTTACAATGGTTTCTGAAAGGCTTGTTACAATGGTTTCTGAAAGGCTTGTCACAATGGTTTCTGAAAGGCTTGTCACAATGGTTTCTGAAAGGCTTGTCAATCAGATAGAGCGGTAGAGGAGACAGGAAAGTTAGAGTAACCAAACTTTGCCAGAGGGATAGAGAAAAGGGGGACACAAGATAGAGTGGCTTTTCAATTAGACAGAGCGGTAGAGGAGACAGGAAAGTTAGAGTAACCAAACTTAGCTAGAGGGATAGAGAAAAGGGGGACACAAGTTAGAGTTGCTTTTCAATTAGATAGAGCGGTAGAGGAGACAGGAAAGTTAGAGTAACCAAACTTAGCTAGAGGGATAGAGAAAAGGGGGACACAAGTTAGAGTTGCTTTTCAATTAGATAGAGCGGTAGAGGAGACAGGAAAGTCAGAATGGCCAAAATGATAGGGGAGAGTGGGGAGACTGGACACGATACCTGTAAGACACAATGGAAACAAACAGTCTTTTTTTATAAAAGAAATAAAATAAGATGAACCAACATCCACCCAAAGTTAGACATTATAATGTGCTTTCACTCAATCAATTAAATGGCTGTCTTTATACATCTATCAAAAGTCAAGTAGAGGCAAAAGCTGGAATTGGCCATCATCCTCTTAGATAGTCCTTCATTAATTTTATTGAAGGGTTAAGTGTTCATAAGATTTCATTAGAAATGTATTCAGGACCTTAAAAGTATTTTAAAAGAAGATCAATTATCCCTGTGTATTGTAGACTCTTCGAAATCATTCAAAGTTTCCTTTATAATGTTCATAACCATGTCCTGGTAAGCAATAATAATTGATTACTCTGCCGATGGAATATTAATGTGTTTTGGAAAATGTAATTTCCTTTTCTGTGTTTTAAGCATTCCTACAATACAGTAAGTTGTAATGAGGCCAAGCAGCTCAGAAGCATGCAAGGTACCTTAGAAGGATAGGGGAGAGTGGGGTAAGATGAGCCATTTTTCATATTTCGGATCACTACATCAAGGCAATCACAGTTTTGTCTCTAACTAGTGTATCTGCATATATTTCAAGATGTTGTGCATCCCTGCAAACCAACAGAATGAGTGTAAACATAATTGTCTTGATAATATCGCATGCCAAAAAAAAAGTGGTCTCCTATGGTCAACTTACCCCATGTATGACAGTCACTTCTTCACACTCGTGTATTTTTATCTATTATACACTATTAAACTGGTGCAGTAATTCTTTTTTTATTATTATTGCATACAATCTCTAAAAAACTTTTTTGTAAAAAGCCAGTTTAACAGGAGAATGCCTTTAAGTGATTCAGAGCATTCACGGCTGTATTTTTGAAAAAGAAAAAGTCAAACATTTCAACAATCTGAACTGAAACTCTGATCCTCTCATCAGACTCCTATACTTTCTCAGTTGAGCCACTATCTTAACTTACCCCAGAACTACTATTATGACTTTATTAGTCCTCTAAGCTAAAATGGTGGACTTTTATGTTAGGTTTTTGACCTCATGTTGTAGCTCATAGATTCCACAATTGATGGATAAAAGAAATGTCCAATGATCTTTTTTGGTCAAAACACAATTCTAACAAAACTTATGACACACTAAATTCACTTTCAAGAGTGAAAAATGTTTTTTGTTTTTTTATAAATAAATGTCTAACCCCTTCACCCATGAGCTTCTAACCTTCACAGACTCCATGAATTTATGCCCATCTCCTAAATATTTGGTCACATGGTCAATTTCTTTTACCATTTCCAAGCAACTGGGGGTGGCTCAGTTTAGCCTTTGGCTCATCTTACCCCACTCTTCCCTATGCACATTTCTAAATGTATGATTAAATGAATAATAAAATAATTCAATGAAGGTTTGGATAATAATTGTCTAATTCCATATGAAGGAGAATTTAATTAGCTTTTTTTTAAAAATATAAGACATGCACAAAGGAATGAATCAAATTTAATTAGTAATTATTCAAATTTTCCTCATTAAAAAAATTACAACCCCACAATTTTATAGTATCAAATTGCTTCCAATAATTGGAAATAAAATTCAAAGGTGTTCGTTTCCACCTGTGAGTATTACATAATCAATGGAAAAAAATTGTTTAGTGTGTATATGATGAGGGGTCTATCACATGTTGAATAAAGGTAATAACAAATAATAAAATGATAAATAATAAATAAACTGTGTTACTCATGAAAATGTCATTCCTGTGTGAACTTACGCCGAGTCGCCACAAAGCGGTCTGCACATGGAGACAGTATAGGGTTGGCAAGAAGGAAAATGGAAACACAGAGACAAGAGATTTTTAGCTTAGTTGTACAAAACCAGCACATCTCACTGCATTGCAGGTTCTGCTGTAATCAGCAAACAAAATTATTTCAGTCTGTCAAATAAGGACATAATGTCAGGTTTTTACATAATGTGTTGTAAAAATTAAAACAGTACATATTTTTAAGTTACTTTATCTGTGAACTTACAGCTGAGTCACCAACAGTGAACAGGGCCCGCAGTAGAGATAGCGTTGAGGAGTTCAGAAGGAGGGAAAAGACAGAGGGACAAAAAAAAAAAAATTTAGTTGCAAAATAAAATCAGCATCTCATAGTTTACTGTAATCACAACCACTTTTCAGTGTGGATCATTAGTTTCCTCATTTCCTATCGTACTCTACAATTTGTAGTACTTGATTAGTAAAAAGATATTACTGCAGCTCCCTTGGCTTGTAAAAAATGTTTGTTAAAATGGAGAGAAAATGCACAAACACAATGAAGGACCGCTTTACTTTTTACTTTCTTATGTATGTTATTGAGGTGAAATACAAAACAGTGAAATGTCTTTATAAACTGCAGAGCAAAAATGTAACATTTAGGTGATTGGTTAATAAGTACATATAAGTGTGAACTTACACTTCAGAGTTGGTGGGAGGGTTCGCACAGGTCAGAGGACAAGATGAGGCAGGAGGAGGGGGAGAGAGAGGAAGAGATTATAAATACACTCAGAAAAGCCTCCCTCACAGCTCACTTCATTCAAAGTAATTTTTCTGAATGATTTTCCCACTTATTTATTGCCAAAATCAAGATTTAGACTTTCCCAGCAAGATAAAATGTTTCAAAAAAATAATTAAGTTAGTAATATTGTTAGCACACTGTTGTCTACAAGGAAAAAACTGTATCTCATCAAAATTTCTCATACAGGATATGCCACAGATAGATCAACGTTTCATATCAATTTAAACTCAGTGTTTGAAAAAATGCATCATATTGTTGTACATTATCTTGAATGCCATGTTGTTAAACAGGATGAAGCTAATCATTAATCCAGTTATTTTTCATTTGTTGTTTAATAGGATGAAGCTAATCATTAATCCAGTTATTTTTCATTTGTTTGTTGTCAGTCTTGGTTAAAACATTCATACTTACCAACAAATGCACTGGTGAGGATGTATCTTCTGTTTGTTTGAGATAAGAAACAATACATTAGTGTTGTCTGACAGATAGTACATTAAAAACAACTGGTCTGTAAAGAAAACTAACATTACAGTAATTGGACTAATTGAAAACTAAACAGCTCCAACAGATCATCTGGCTGTTGGCTGTAGCTGAAATTTCACATAAAACATACTGTATTATAGTAACTATACCTCAGATAAATTATCTATGCAGTGGTGTTAGCCAATATCCAAATTAACAGCTTGTGATCAAAGGTAAATTAGTTATGGTAGAAGGTGAGGTACAGCAGCAGCCATTGAGACAGAGACAGACCAGGAGCAGGTTCACCAACTTCAAGGCAGCCAACTATCCATCCATTAACTCAATATTAAGATAAGAAGAACTTCATTAATCCCAAAGGGAAATTCAACAGGAATATGTATGAATTTGAACTTAATATTGTTGAACATTAAATAATGAATTAATTTTGTTTTGCAATGTAAATATCTCTATCAACCCCATCATGAATAAAACATTCAATAATAAAAAGGACCACCTAGTGTCATTCTGACACATAAAAAAAAAAAAAACACATTTGTGTTATAACTGGATACTTACTAAATGCAGCCTATATTTTTAGGACATCTTTAACAGCTGATAAAAAGTGAGCATGAGCTAAACAGCTGATGTCTCTAGACACCCAGCTATGACTCAGTCAACATAATGAACAGACAATAACCTGTAGCAACGGCGCTAGCGTCATTAGCTTGTCAGTTAATATTTGACAATATGAGTATCCTTGTCAGTCCCATTGTCAGTAAACTCTACAAACTCTACAAAATCAGTTGGCATGCTGTATAGTACCGCGGCGGCTTACATATTCACTTTATTTTGTGCATTTCTCAGCTGGCTAATGATTCAGCCTCATAACTGACGGTATGTTAGCTTTAGCGTTAGCTCGACCCTAACAGCGTTAGCGAAAGCTTCTTTAAGTCAATATCTCGACCACTTCATTCATGAATGAACTCTTCGTCGATTATGACTCAAACAAGTCATTTTAAAACGTTAAATCCCCTTTTGAAAGTGTTTAAACGTTAACAGAGGCTCTCCTGTTACTCACCTGGCTTGAGCTTCAAGCAGAACAGCGCGTGCACCCACAGGGACGCAGCATTAAATGTTTGAGGCGTTCAGGGACACTCGGAAATTTCATACTCCACACGACAGAAAGGCGGTGGTTCAATTATCTCATTTGAATCTTTGGTTGTTGTTGGGTTTTTTCCTGGTAGTGTATGTAAAATCAAGATTTATTTTCATAATTTAACCATAGAAATGCCAGTTTATTTAAAAAATGACATCCTTATAATGCGAAAAATTTAATATTTTCTAATTAACGAATAGGGCGATTGCGACACGTATTAGTGACATGGTCAGTGTGTGTCTCATTAATTGATGAATTCTGAACAGCTGTAAGAGATCAGAGGGACTAACTTAACCATCTATTTTCACGAGACGCTTCCTAACCCCAATTAAATTAAACCCTCTGAACTTCGCATAGAATTTCTTTATTTAGAATCGAACAATGCATTAATAATGAAAAAAATTCAACTTGTGGAAATTTAAATCATTAAAAATCCAAAAGTATAAGAAAGGTTTGAAGTATCGGAAAGGACTGAATCAGTTTAAAGTAGTTTAAATTTGTTTCAAGAATTGAATATTGCCTTCAGAATGAGAATAGTTCTAAAGTGGGGAAAATTTAAATGAATAAAAATCCCATGTGTCTCATATGGCTATTAGAAGCAGCTTTCCAGTCAGCTGTGTGTCTCCAGGTGCACTAATTGGTTGCCATGGCGAAGGAAGATGATCGTTAAATCGTTAATGATTGCATCCTTTCAGCTGTGCGATCAAAGGCATTAACTGACCTACTGTTTGAATGAGATCAAGGCCTCTGAACTTCTTCACATAGCGTGATTTCCTTAAATCCCAGAATGAAAATGAGATCATTGTACAAATCCTCAGCCCTTCATGAACACAATGATGTGTTTTTTATGTCTGGACTCTAAAAAAATGTGGCCACAACAGCGAGTTAAAAAAGTCTGAGCCTGAGTGACGATATGGATTTTCTTGGAGAAAAATTACATTATGGTTAATGGGAGAGATTTCTGCCTATTTGGACAGTTGGTCACCTGCTGGCCAAGGGGTAGAATTTAGTGATTTGAAACCTCTTTTGTGAGAAGCAGGACACATATAACTCCATTTTGATGTATTTTTTATGGCTGTGGAGTGAGATTTGTGGGCGTGGAAGCGATATATTTGAGCGAGGTTCTGTCGAAAAAAGGGGAGCTGTCCACTCTAGCGATGACATCATCACTCTAGCCTCTCCAATACACACCCATTATAAAGCCTGAAATTTGGTGAAAACCACGAGTTGCTTAAAGCTAAATTGTGGAAAAACTGTAAAAGATATCAAAAATTTGTATACAAGTTTAATAGTCGACAAGTGAATGAACATTTTAAAGCAAAAATGAGGTCTCTAGGTGAAAGTATGCTGAAGTTTTAAGGTTTAGAAGGTGGAAGAATAAAAGGAAGAAGTGGAAGATTTCCCCATTGACTTCAATGTTAAAATTTTGGCACAAAAAGTTAAAATAAAACAAAAAGTAGAAAGGGTAGAAAGGTAAAAAGTACAAGCGACCATGTCCTGAAGAAGAGGAACAGTTTAAAGTTTGAACGGTTGAAATCGCACAAAGTGGGAAGGAGTTAAGAGCGGACAAAAAAAGGTACGGAAGAATAATAAGTATAATAATAATAAAGAAAAATGGCCGACAGGAATAACAATAAGTGGAAATGCTTAATCAGCATTTCCACTTAATAATAAAGAAAATGGCCGACAGGAATAACAATAAGTGGAAATGCTTAATCAGCATTTCCACTTAACTAGAAAATGCAATTTCTGAAGAAATTGCGAGTGGGATTGCTTCAGTTGAAATTGCTAGCGCTACGCTGCTATTGCGAATGGCTGAATTTTAAAATATGTGAAAGGTCAAAAGGTATGAAGAATCAGGAAGATTTGAATCAATTGGAATAAACTCAATTGAATGAATTGAATAATGCATGAATAACAATTTTAGAAAATTCAACATCTGAAAATTAAAATGATTAAAAACCCTGAAGTATGGGAAAGGCTTGAAGAACCAATAAGTTTTGAATCAGTGTAAATGAGTTGGAATTTGTTTGAAAGAACTGAATAATGTATTAAGAGTAAAAAATATTTAAAACTGGAGAATTAAAAGGTTACAAATCTGGAAGAAAAAGAGGTTTGAAGAATCAAAACGGTTTAAATCAGTTTGAAGGAAATAAATTAGTTTGAAGAACTAAATAATGCATTTTCAATGAATGATTGAAAAATGGGGACAATGTAAATGAAAAAAAATCCTGATTTGACCCCATAATGTCCTCAATGAGCTGAATTTATTAAGCCCTGGATGGTTTCTGTAGCTCAAGGTTTGTGCGAAGAGATAGATGACAAAGTTCGTCAAATAACTCTATTGAAGGGTTTTAAATGTAACCCCCAGTACTCTGTGTACTGAGCCTGGCTTCATGTGTCTCATATGGCTGTTAAAAGCAGCTTTCCAGCCAGCTGTGTGTCTCCAGGTGCTCCCTTTGGTTGCCATGGTGACGATAGATGCTTAACAACAGCAGGAGAAAGGAGGCTTGAGGCTGAGAACGTAATGCCCAAACAATGTCATATTTCTCATCCTCTGTAACTGCTATCTTCATGATAATGAGCTTGTGAGAACCACAAGACCCGGCTGAACACGTTGATACAACTTCTGTGTCTGTGGAGCCAAAAATGCCTTCACTACGACAAGTTAAAAACATGTCCAGTTTGTGTTTCCTCTGAAAATCCTCCTCTCAGGTTTACATTGGAGTCAATGGAGAAAGCTGGAGAAATTTGGGGGATGTCTGTGGCAGTTGGTGTCTGCCCAGGCCACTGTGTGTGTCCTATGGCTTTGATTTTTTAGATGAAGAGTGACAGCGAGTTTTGCCATCACTGTACCAATTTTTATCTGTGTAGAGCGAAGTGAGTTGCCACAATCCTTTTGTAAAGACAAAGTTTTGAGGATTAATTTTCAGCCTGTCTCACTCTAGCTGTGAGGTCACCCACTCTAGCTGCCAACATTCCGTGCAATACACACTAATGTTAAAACCTGAACAGGTATGAAAATCTTTGGACTTTTTGAACTGTCACTGTGAGAAAAGTATGAATGCCATGAAGATGGTGAATGAATGAGTGAATGTCTGAAGATGTGTGAATATTTTAAAGTTTGAATGAAGTTTCTAGGTGAAAGTATGAATGAATGAGAAGAGGTTGAAGTTGACTACGTCTGAAGCCCTTTTCCCATTGAATCCCATTATAACGAAGTTTTAAACAAATCTTAATATTTTGAAAAGTACAAATGGGATTAAAAATGTTGAAGATGTAGAATAATGCTGACGAATTTGTGAATATTTTGGTTTTTGAATGAAGTTTCTACGTGGAAGTATAGAGGAGTTGAAGGCTTTTGAAGTTTGAAGCCAATTTGAACATTCCGTAATGCATTTCTAATGGGAGAAATCGGTCGGAAAACCTGGAATATCTCGGAAAGTATGAATGTTTGGAAATTTTTGAATACAAGCCGGAATCTCTGGAATGAGACAAATCTTTTGAAGTTTGAATGGTTTGAATACGTTGAAGTATGTGGAAGTAGTTGACTGCCAAAAAACGGCGGAATAATAATAATAATAATAATAATAACTAGAAAATGCAATTTCTGAAGAAATTGCGAGTGGGATTGCTTCAGTTGAAATTGCTATCGCTACGCTGCTATTGCGAGTGGCTGAATTTTAAAATATGTGAAAGGTCAAAAGGTATGAAGTATCAGGAAGATTTGAATCAATTGGAATAAACTCAATTGAATGAATTAAATAATGCATGAATAATCTTTAAAATTCAACGTTTGAAAATTAAAATGATTAAAAACCCTGAAGTATGGGAAAGGCTTGAAGAGTCAATAAGGTTTGAATCAGTTTAAATGAGCTGTAATTTGTTTGAAAGAACTGAATCATGCATTAAGAGTAAAAAATGATTTAAAACTGGGAAATTAAAAGGTTACAAATCTGGAAGAAAAAAAGTCTTGAAGAATGAAAACGGTTTAAATCAGTTTGAAGGAGTTTAAATTAGTTTGAAGAATTAAATAATGCATTTTCAATGAATGATTGAAAAATGGGGACAATGTAAATGAATAAAAATCCTGATTAGACCCCATAATGTCCTCAATGAGCTAAATTTATTAAGCTCTGGATGGTTTCTGTAGCTCAAGGTTTGTGCGAAGAGATAGATGACAAATTTCGTCAAATAACGCTATTGAAGGGTTTTAAATGTCACCCCCAGTACTCTGTGTACTGAGCCTGGCTTCATGTGTCTCATATGGCTGTTAGAAGCAGCTTTCCAGCCAGCTGAGTGTCTCCAGGTGCGCTTATTGGTTGCCATGGTGACGATAGATGCTTAACAACAGCAGGAGAAAGGAGGCTTGAGGCTGAGAACGTAATGCCCAAGCAACGTCATATTTCTCATCCTCTGTAACTGCTGTCTTCATGATAATGAGCTTGTGAGAACCACAAGGCCCGGCTGAACACGTTGATACAACTTCTGTGTTTGTGGAGCCAAAAATGCCTTCGCTACGACAAGTTAAAAACATGTCCAGTTTGTGTTTCCTCTGAAAATCCTCCCCTCAGGTTTACATTGGAGTCAATGGAGAAAGCTGGAGAAATCTGGGGGATGTCTGCGGCAGTTGGTGTCTGCCCAGGCCACTGTGTGTGTCCTATGGCTTTGATTTTTGAGATGAAGAGTGACAGCAAGTTTTGCCATCACTGTACCAATTTTTATCTGTGTAGAGCGAAGTGAGTTGCCACAATCCTTTTGTAAAGACAAAGTTTTGAGGATCAATTTTCAGCCCCTCTCACTCTAGCTGTGAGGTCACCCACTCTAGCGGCCAACATTCCGTGCAATACACACTAATGTTAAAACCTGGACAGGTATGAAAATCTTTGGACTTTTTGAACTGTCACTGTGAGAAAAGTACGAATGCCATGAAGATGGTGAATGAATGAGTGAATGTCTGAAGATGTGTGAATATTTTAAAGTTTGAATGAAGTTTCTAGGTGAAAGTATGAATGAATGAGAAGAGGTTGAAGTTGACTACATCTGACAGCCTTTTCCCATTGAATCCCATTATAACGAAGTTTTAAACAAATCTTAATATTTTGAAAAGTACGAATGGGATTAAAAATGTTGAAGATGTGGAATGAAGCTGACAAATTTGTGAATATTTTGTTTTTTGAATGAAGTTTCTACGTGGAAGTATAGCGGAGTTGAAGGCTTTTGAAGTTTGAAGCCAATTTGAACATTCCGTAATGCATTTCTAATGGGAGAAATCGGTCGGAAAACCTGGAATATCTCGGAAAGTATGAATGTTAGGAAAATTTTGAATACAACCCGGAATCTCCTCAATGAGATGAATCTTTTGAAGTTTGAATGGTTTGAATATGTTGAAGTATGTGGAAGTAGTTAAGGGCCAAAAAACGGTGGAATAATAAGATGAATAATAAAGATATGAATAACATATAGTGGGAATGCTTCGCAATCCCACTCAACTAGAAAATGCAATTTCTGAAGAAATTGCGAGTGGGATTGCTTCAGTCGAAATTGCTAGCGCTAAGCTGCTATTGCGAATGGCTGAATTTTAAAATATGTGAAAGGTCAAAAGGTATGAAGAATCAGGAAGATTTGAATCAATTGGAATAAACTCAATTGAATGAATTGAATAATGCATGAATAACAATTTTAGAAAATTCAACATCTGAAAATTAAAATGATTAAAAACCCTGAAGTATGGGAAAGGCTTGAAGAACCAATAAGTTTTGAATCAGTTTAAATGAGTTGGAATTTGTTTGAAAGAACTGAATAATGTATAAAGAGTAAAAAATATTTAAAACTGGAGAATTAAAAGGTTACAAATCTGGAAGAAAAAGAGGTTTGAAGAATCAAAACGGTTTAAATCAGTTTGAAGGAAATAAATTAGTTTGAAGAACTAAATTATGCATTTTCAATGAATGATTGAAAAATGGGGACAATGTAAATGAAAAAAAATCCTGATTTGACCCCATAATGTCCTCAATGAGCTGAATTTATTAAGCCCTGGATGGTTTCTGTAGCTCAAGGTTTGTGCGAAGAGATAGATGACAAAGTTCGTCAAATAACTCTATTGAAGGGTTTTAAATGTAACCCCCAGTACTCTGTGTACTGAGCCTGGCTTCATGTGTCTCATATGGCTGTTAGAAGCAGCTTTCCAGCCAGCTGTGTGTCTCCAGGTGCTCTTATTGGTTGCCATGGTGACTGCAGATGCTTAACAACAGCAGGAGAAAGGAGGCTTGAGGCTGAGAACGTAATGCCCAAACAACGTCATATTTCTCATCCTCTGTAACTGCTATCTTCATGATCAGGAGCTTGTGAGTACCACAAGGCCCGGCTGAACACGTTGATACAACTTCTGTGTTTGTGGAGCCAAAAATGCCTTCGCTACGACAAGTTAAAAACATGTCCAGTTTGTGTTTCCTCTGAAAATCCTCCTCTCAGGTTTACATTGGAGTCAATGGAGAAATCTGGGGGATGTCTGCGGCAGTTGGTGTCTGCCCAGGCCACTGTTTGTGTCCTACAGCTTTGATTTTTTGGAAGAAGAGTGACAGCGAGTTTTGCCATCACTGTACCAAATTTTATCTGTGTAGAGCGAAGTGAGTTGCCACAATCCTTTTGTAAAGACAAAGTTTTGAGGTTAAATTTTCAGCCCCTCTCACTCTAGCTGTGAGGTCACCCACTCTAGCGGCCAACATTCCGTGCAATACACACTAATGTTAAAACCTGAACAGGTTAGAAAATCTTTGGCCTTTTGGAACTGTCACTGTGAGAATAGTATGAATGCCATGAAGATGGTGAATGAATGAGTGAATGTCTGAAGATGTGTGAATATTTTAAAGTTTGAATGAAGTTTCTAGGTGAAAGCATGAATGAATGAGAAGAGGTTGAAGTTGACTACATCTGAAAGCCTTTTCCCATTGAATCCCATTATAACGAAGTTTTAAACAAATCTTAATATTTTGAAAAGTACAAATGGGATTAAAAATGTTGAAGATGTGGAATAATGCTGACGAATTTGTGAATATTTTGGTTTTTGAATGAAGTTTCTACGTGGAAGTATAGAGTAGTTGAAGGCTTTTGAAGTTGTGTGAAGAAAATGTGAGAAAAGGGACAATTTGAACATTCCGTAATGCATTTCCAATGGGAGAAATCGGTCGGAAAACCTGGAATATCTCGGAAAGTATGAATGTTAGGAAATTTTTGAATACAAGCCGGAATCTCCTGAATGAGACGAATCTTTTGAAGTTTGAATGGTTTGAATACGTTGAAGTATGTGGAAGGAGAAGCGGTCCAAAAAACGGCGGAATAATAATAATAACTAGAAAATGCAATTTCTGAAGAAATTGCGAGTGGGATTGCTTCAGTTGAAATTGCTATCGCTAAGCTGCTATTGCGAATGGATGAATTTTAAAAATTAGTGAAAGGTCAAAAGGTATGAAGTATCAGGAAGATTTGAATCAGTTTGAATAAACTCTGTTGAATGAATTGAATAATGCATGAATAATAATTTTAAAAATTCAACATGTGAAAATTAAAATGATTAAAAACCCTGAAGTATGGGAAAGGCTTGAAGAATCAATAAGGTTTGAATCAGTTCAAATGAGTTGAAATTTGCTTGAAAGAACTGAATAATGCATGAAGAGTAAAAAATATTTAAAACTGGAAAATTAAAAGGTTACAAATCCGGAAGAAAAAGAGGTTTGAAGAATCAAAACGGTTTAAATCAGTTTGAAGAACTAAATTATGCATTTTCAATGAATGATTGAAAAATGGGGACAATGTAAATGAATAAAAATCCTGATTAGACCCCATAAGGTTTTAAATGTTACCCCCCGTACTCTGTGTACTGAGCCTGGCTTCATGTGTCTCATATGGCTGTTAGAAGCAGCTTTCCAGCCAGCTGTGTGTCTCCAGGTGCTCCCTTTGGTTGCCATGGTGACGATAGATGCTTAACAACAGCAGGAGAAAGGAGGCTTGAGGCTGAGAACGTAATGCCCAAACAACGTCAAATTTCTCATCCTCTGTAACTGCTATCTTCATTATCAGGAGCTTGTGAGAACCACAAGACCCGGCTGAACACGTTGATACAACTTCTGTGTCTGTGGAGCCAAAAATGCCTTCACTACGACGAGTTAAAAACATGTCCAGTTCATGTTTCCTCTGAAAATCCTCCTCTCAGGTTTATATTGGAGTCAATGGAGAAAGCTGGAGAAATCTGGGGGATGTCTGCGGCAGTTGGTGTCTGCCCAGGCCACTGTGTGTGTCCTATGGCTTTGATTTTTGAGATGAAGAGTGACAGCAAGTTTTGCCATCACTGTACCAATTTTTATCTGTGTAGAGCGAAGTGAGTTGCCACAATCCTTTTGTAAAGACAAAGTTTTGAGGATCAATTTTCAGCCCCTCTCACTCTAGCTGTGAGGTCACCCACTCTAGCGGCCAACATTCCGTGCAATACACACTAATGTTAAAACCTGAACAGGTCTGAAAATCTTTGGACTTTTTGAACTGTCACTGTGAGAAAAGTATGAATGCCATGAAGATGGTGAATGAATGAGTGAATGTCTGAAGATGTGTGAATATTTTAAAGTTTGAATGAAGTTTCTAGGTGAAAGTATGAATGAATGAGAAGAGGTTGAAGTTGACTACGTCTGAAGCCCTTTTCCCATTGAATCCCATTATAACGAAGTTTTAAACAAATCTTAATATTTTGAAAAGTACAAATGGGATTAAAAATGTTGAAGATGTGGAATAATGCTGACGAATTTGTGAATATTTTGGTTTTTGAATAAAGTTTCTACGTGGAAGTATAGCGGAGTTGAAGGCTTTTGAAGTTTGAAGCCAATTTGAACATTCCGTAATGCATTTCTAATGGGAGAAATCGGTCGGAAAACCTGGAATATCTCGGAAAGTATGAATGTTCGGAAAATTTTGAATACACCCCTGAATCTCCTCAATGAGATGAATCTTTTGAAGTTTGAATGGTTTGAATACGTTGAAGTATGTGGAAGTAGTTGAGGTCCAAAAAACGGTGGAAGTTGATATAATAAGAATAACTAGAAAATGCAATTTCTGAAGAAATTGCGAGTGGGATTGCTTCAGTTGAAATTGCTATCACTACGCTGCTATTGCGAATGGCTGAATTTTAAAATATGTGAAAGGTCAAAAGGTATAAAGTATCGGGAAGATTTGAATCAATTGGAATAAACTCAATTGAATGATTTGAATAATGCATGAATAATAATTTAGAAAATTCAATGTGTGAAAGTTAAAATGATTAAAAACCCTGAAGTATGGGAAAGGCTTGAAGAATCAATAAGGTTTGAATCAGTTTAAATGAGCTGTAATTTGTTTGAAAGAACTGAATAATGCATTAAGAGTAAAAAATGATTTAAAACTGGAAAATAAAAAGGTTACAAATCTGGAAGAAAAAGAGGTTTGAAGAATCAAAACGGTATAAATCAGTTTGAAGGAGTTTAAATTAGTTTGAAGAGTTAAATAATGCATTTTCAATGAATGATTGAAAAATGGGGACAATGTAAATGAATAAAAATCCTGATTAGACCCCATAATGTCCTCAATGAGCTGAATTTATTAAGCCCTGGATGGTTTCTGTAGCTCAAGGTTTGTGCGAAGAGGTAGATGACAAAGTTCGTCAAATAACGCTATTGAAGGGTTTTAAATGTCACCCCCAGTACTCTGAGTACTGAGCCTGGCTTCATGTGTCTCATATGGCTGTTAGAAGCAGCTTTCCAGCCAGCTGTGTGTCTCCAGGTGCTCTTATTGGTTGCCATGGTGACGATAGATGCTTAACAACAGCAGGAGAAAGGAGGCTTGAGGCTGAGAATGTAATGCCCAAACAACGTCATATTTCTCATCCTCTGTAACTGCTATCTTCATGATAATGAGCTTGTGAGAACCACAAGACCCGGCTGAACACGTTGATACAACTTCTGTGTCTGTGGAGCCAAAAATGCCTTCACTACGACGAGTTAAAAACATGTCCAGTTTGTGTTTCCCCTGAAAATCCTCCTCTCAGGTTTATATTGGAGTCAATGAAGAAAGCTGGAGAAATCTGGGGGATGTCTGCGGCAGTTGGTGTCTGCCCAGGCCACTGTGTGTGTCCTATGGCTTTGATTTTTGACATGAAGAGTGACAGCAAGTTTTGCCATCACTGTACCAATTTTTATCTGTGTAGAGCCAAGTGAGTTGCCACAATCCTTTTGTAAAGACAAAGTTTTGAGGATCAATTTTCAGCCTGTCTCACTCTAGCTGTGAGGTCACCCACTCTAGCTGCCAACATTCCGTGCAATACACACTAATGTTAAAACCTGAACAGGTCTGAAAATCTTTGGACTTTTTGAACTGTCACTGTGAGAAAAGTATGAATGCCATGAAGATGGTGAATGAATGAGTGAATGTCTGAAGATGTGTGAATATTTTAAAGTTTGAATGAAGTTTCTAGGTGAAAGTATGAATGAATGAGAAGAGGTTGAAGTTGACTACGTCTGAAGCCCTTTTCCCATTGAATCCCATTATAACGAAGTTTTAAACAAATCTTAATATTTTGAAAAGTACAAATGGGATTAAAAATGTTGAAGATGTGGAATAATGCTGACGAATTTGTGAATATTTTGGTTTTTGAATGAAGTTTCTACGTGGAAGTATAGCGGAGTTGAAGGCTTTTGAAGTTGTGTGAAGAAAAGGGCCAATTTGAACATTCCGCAATGCATTTCCAATGGGAGAAATCGGTCGGAAAACCTGGAATATCTCGGAAAGTATGAATGTTAGGAAAATTTTGAACACAACCCGGAATCTCCTGAATGAGATGAATCTTTTGAAGTTTGAATGGTTTGAATACGTTGAAGTATGTGGAAGTAGTTGAGGTCCAAAAAACGGTGGAAGTGTGTTGAATAATAATAATAATAATAATAATAATAATAAAGATATGAATAACATATAGTGGGAATGCTTCGCAATCCCACTCAATAATAAAGATATGAATAACATATAGTGGGAATGCTTTGCAATCCCACTAAATAAAGATATGAATAACATATAGTGGGAATGCTTCGCAATCCCACTCAATAATAAAGATATGAATAACATATAGTGGGAATGCTCTGCAATCCCACTCAATAAAGATATGAATAACATATAGTGGGAATGCTTCGCAATCCCACTCAATAATAATAACTAGAAAATGCAATTTCTGAAGAAATTGCGAGTGGGATTGCTCCGGTTGAAATTGCTATCGCTAAGCTGCTATTGCGAATGGCTGAATCTTGAAAATACGCCAAGGACAAGAAGGTTTGAAGTATCAGGAAGGTTAGAATCAATTTGAATGAACTGAATGACATCATACAATAATGTATGAATAATAAAAAATTTCAATGTATGGAAAATTGAAATGATTTAAAATCCTGAAGTATGAAAAAGGTTTGAAGACTCAGAAAGTTTGAATCAGTTTGATTAAGTTTGATTGAGTTTGAATTTGTTTGAAGAATGGAATGATGTATGAACAGTGAAAATGATCTATAACAGGGAAAATTAAAATAATCAAAAATCTTAAAGGATTGGAAAGGTTTGAAGTATCACAAAGGTCTGAATTAGTTTGAATGAATTAAAAAAATTTGAAGAATTGAATAATGCATGAATGGCCATGAGGTCTGAAACCCTTTCAGCCGCGAACACGCGCCCTGTCCCAGCACTTTACATGGCGCTGTCCATGGTGCTGAAGGTGACAGCGGGTTAGGTAGCAGCAGATACCAGGTAAGTATCAGCAGGCCTCGGGTAGTATTAATTAAGTAATTAGTAAGTAATGAACAGCTGTCATTTTTTGGAGCAGGTTGGGGCATTTGCTTGTTCTCCCCGTATTGCTCCTGCTTATGGAAGAACATGTACAGAGGTACAGCACACACGTCTCCTCCCCTGCTTCACCAGCCAGGTAGCACAGAAATGAATGGAGTGTATTGTTTACCACCCTATGCCTCAGTTACCAAGTTTTAAATTGCACTAATTTGTCTTTGTTGTGAAATAGTCTGTCTCGTGCAGCACCAGATATTTTGCCCTAAAATAGCCGACTGGCCCCCTTTAAACTCTGATCATTTTGTGTGTTATCATAGAACTATAATTCTTCACTGAAACATATAATACGTATTGTAATTCAAATTCAGCTATAAAATTATTTCCCGACAACTGTACAGACTTCTGTGGTTAACCATTTAATTCTGCTTTGCAAAATGGTCACCTGGTTAAAAACTGCGGCACCAGCAAATTTTTCCTGTTTCCTCAACAGAGCTTTTCTGCTCTGGACACCTGGTTTCTGTTTCTTAACACATTGTCATATGTTTAGATATTTATATTGTGTGAGAAAACTGTTGGTAATGTTGATGTCAATTTACCTGAGACTTGGGATTGTATTCATGCCAGAGGCATTTTGAAAAACAAAATGCCATTGTTGAGACTTGAGTCAGTGTATGACATGAAAATGGAAAGAGGCAACAACAGAATCCATATAGTATAAATTTTTTTAATAACTGATTTAAATATGTTTTCATAAGTATCATTTGAAATAACACTGAACAAATTCAAAACATCAAAAACATTTAAACTGATTGAAGCGATTTTTTTAGCAATGAACAAATTAATAAACATTAAAACTGATTGAAGTGATTTTTTGAACACTGAACAAATTAAACATTTAAACTGATTGAAGCGATTTTTTTAGCAATGAACAAATTAATAAACATTAAAACTGATTGAAGTGATTTTTTTGAACACTGAACAAATTAAACATTTAAACTGATTGAAGCGATTTTTTTTAGCAATGAACAAATTAATAAACATTAAAACTGATTGAAGTGATTTTTTTGAACACTGAACAAATTAAACATTTAAACTGATTGAAGCGATTTTTTTTAGCAATGAACAAATTAATAAACATTAAAACTGATTGAAGTGATTTTTTTGAACACTGAACAAATTAAACATTTAAACTGATTGAAGGATTTTTGTGAGTTAATGATGTGATTAAAGATTAACTATTTACAAAAAGATTAAACAAATAAACTTATAAAATATCGACCACATCTCCCTCCTCAAAAGCGATGATAACGCTTGCTGGCATTGTTGTGACGGCATCGGGAAATTTTTCGTCCCACATCCAGCGTGGGACGGTCCACTCCGCATAGCTGTCATCGAGGATGTTGACAGTTTCGTCTTCCTCGTTGAATGAGAAACCCGCCACCGCAATTTGGACGTGCTTGGTCACCATCTATTGAGGAGAAATATTTTACACAGTGCACACCATCATTTTCGGTCCAGAGTACAGGTTCAGTGTTTCTTCTCAGAGTTCTGATTCTTGTTTTCTGTAGTGACACAACTATTGTCCAAACAAATGAAGAAATAACTACATCACCTCCTCAGGGGGAGGAGAAAACTTGAAAAAAAAAAATCAGGAAGCAATTTTGCAGGCTCATTTGCTTTTTGCCAATGAAACTAATTCTAATGCACAAGCAGTTGGTGGTCATGGTGGTGGTGGTGGTGGGGGACAGGTGCACGTCATAGAACAATCTGACCTGATTAGAAGCAAAAGGCTCATCATAAAGGAGACAACAATTCAGTGAATTACACAGTATGTACATCTTTGACTTACTTCAACATCTGAGAAGTTCGTGGTGTGCAGTATGAACCCATATTGGCCCGCGGTCTTGACCCTGAGGTGGGTGATACGACAGGGTTTCCCCAGGCTCAGTTCCGCCAATGTGGCTTCTCGCCAGAGGCAGACTTTTACCTCTGCCTCTTTCTGTAATAATGAAACAGGCCTCATAAGAATTGTATTTACTGACAACTCTCGTTGCCTAAATCTTCATTCTGCTTATATTTTCCTGTCAGTTTTGTATGTAGACTTATTCTTTACCTCTTTGATCTTGATCTCGATTATGGGGACCGGTAGGCCCCGCTGGCCAGGTACCTGCTTAACTTTGTTGATCTAAACACAAAGATACACACATTTTTAATACATTCGGATATAGTGTGCTACAAGTCATTGATTTTAGAAGCCTTTTTCAACCAAGGAGAGCAGGAGACATAAACTATACAAAAACAGATCTCTGGATAGGACAGACCCCAGAGAGGTTTTGATACCCTTAACTGATTATTAATGTACTGTTGTGTACGGCATGAAAGAGGGGGTGTCATGCATTTTGACAGACTCCTTCTCTGATACCTCTTGAATAGCTTTACATAATTTTCAGGTCAAAATAAGCCTCAAATTTCTCACAGTGGTGTGTTAACATATCATTGTACGTCTGAACTTTAGTAAATCTCGCACATACACCACAATCTTGCATATTCACTTGTTTGTCTGAGATTTGAGCAGTTAACGTCTAACAGTCTAACAGTATGACAACACATATTGATCTGAAACTTTGCAAACATAAAGTATGGGCACCAAACTTTGTAACTTTGCAGTTTTTGTTGTAAATGAGATGCTTACTTCTGTGACACAGCCCTCAATAGTGAAGAGAGTGTCAGTCTCTCCTTCAATGTCTTTGACATGTTTGAAAGGGGATGGAGGGCAGACCATTTCTTTGCCTTCCTCCACGAGGTGGGCCGGGACTTCGACCTGGGAGGTGTGATATACTGCAGTATCACGGTGGGACAACATGGTACGTGTCCTGCCGTACTTTGACATGCCGTAATTCCTGATAATATAGCATCCTCCCTCAGTGAGTTTGGCTGCTATTCCCTCATACGCAGTAAATTTAACCACTGCCACACCATCGCTAATGGCAGCAGTGCAGTTTGTATGCTTGACAAGGGGGTGAGCCTCCCCCTTGTCAAAAACCCAGCTTGACACTGTGGTCCTTGTGTGCAGGGCAACCACTTTTACTTTCACCGATGGAAAGCTTTGGTGTGTTGGTGCGTCCTCTGAGAAAATTCTTCGCAGAGACATCCTGAAAGAAAGAGAAAAACTTTGTCAATGGCCATCATAATGCTGCATCATCAGAAATCACATTTAAATACATTTTTCCTGTTAAACTGAGCAGGGGTGAAGAATTGTACTCAGAAGAAATAATACAGACTGTAGTTACTATCCCCGATCAATAGTTGGTGGTAATGCGACGGCAAGCTGTTTGCCGAGCGCAAATAGCAGCAGAAGAAAATAAAGATACAAACATCCGGTCCAGGAGGAGTAAACGCAAGCATGGCGGCCGGGGCTGGTGTCTTGTGAAAGTCCGTGAGAGGATATATTTATAAACTATTCTAATAAGGGGACAGAGTTAAAACGGCCGGCCGTTGAGGGTCTCTCGCGCCCGGCCGTTGTCATCTATACAGGCCGCAGTTTTAACACCCGTAAGTCATTACAGTTACTTAATATTCCGTTAAATTGAATGTGACAGATGCATTCAGAGGTGAAGATCCGCTATTATGGTCAAAATAAAATGAATTGTAACCTGGAAGTAAGACGCCATGAAACACTAATGGTTTTTAACTTTAATTCATGTCTACTTTAGTTGAAGCTACGGTTAAGTTGTTTAGACTTGCTGTAGTGAACGAAGTGACCGTTATCAGTCAACGGACATATCGGTTAACATTTAGGTAATGAATCTGTAAGTATCGTAACTAGCGATTGTATGATAATAAAAAGTACGAAAAAACAATGAGATAACGTTGGGCTAAATGCCTCTATGTCATTATCTGGCATTTGATAGTTTGGACAGCGCTTCTTAAGTGGCTACAAGTCAGCTGTACAGTAGCGTTATGGCCCGGATTTCCCCACACCAACATTGACATAGCGAAAACAAGACGGAGTTACATGAAGGAATTCGTGACAGAAACTGCTCAAAAATGTTAAATACCGGCGAGAAGTAGGTTACTCACCTGGCAGATACGTAGTACTCTCAAAATAGCCGAGTTTAGCAGTTGTTTCTCCGCTCCAAGTGGCTGGACGACAGCTGGACAACCGCTGGACGACCGCTGTACAACCGCTGGACAACCTCAACGGCCGGGCGCGAGACCCTCAACGGCCGGGCGCGAGAGACCCGTTGAGGGTCTCTCGCGCCCGGCCGTTGTCATCTATACAGGCCGCAGTTTTAACACCCGTAAGTCATTACAGTTACTTAATATTCCGTTAAATTGAATGTGACAGATGCATTCAGAGGTGAAGATCCGCTATTATGGTCAAAATAAAATGAATTGTAACCTGGAAGTAAGACGCCATGAAACACTAATGGTTTTTAACTTTAATTCATGTTTACTTTATTACAGTCATCCACATTAGTAAATTCATGACACCCACCATCAGTCTTTATGGCAGGTGCTGCTTAGAGAGAGTCATTTTCTCAGTCCTGGTCAATATGACCCCTCTCAAAGCAGCATCTGCCATAAGAATCAGGTAAGTATGTTATTTATGGTACACACTTGAGCTGCATGACTGTTCAGTTTAAATGTCTACAGCAATGTGTTTAGAGTGTTTCTCTTTTTATTGGTCTCTCCTTTGATGTCCTGAAGCCTGACAATTTTGGTGGGCTGGGCACACCTTGAATTTATCGTCCTCCTCAAGACAAGCTGGGGCTTGGACAGGGGAGGTGTGATACACTGTGGTGTTGTGTCGAGAAAGCATTGACCACCTCCTATCAAACTTTTACATGCCATAATTTCTTATTTTGTAGCTACATCCTTCTGTTGCTGTGTGTGCCAGGTTACTTATTTCCTCATCCTGTGAACTAAATTCATATTCTTCCATCATTGTTTTTCGATTCTCATCTTTCATCCCGTTAATAACCAGCAACGTTCCTGCAGCATGTCACTGAGCCTCTCAAGTCCGAGAAGGAGTTGCTGTTCTGAGGAGCAACAACTTGCATCTCCCCACCTTCTGGACACTGACCTGGTGAGTGTCCTTCTCCAGTCATCACACCAATTGTTTATATTTTGCTTTTGGTGTCACCATTGTCACACCTCTGTCATCTCTCCCCTCTTCAGATCCAGCTCAGTGTGAGCCAAAGAACCAAGCGTTGGAAAAAGAGCAGCCATGTGAGCCCCGCCATCATTGTGTGTATAAATGTATGTGTGACTGTGTGTTTCAATGTAACATTACAGAATGCAATTTCGGAAAGAATTGTTCTTGCTGAATTTACTGTCACTACACTGATGAAGCTTCAGCTTGAGTTCAATCAGGAACACTGTAATCGCTGTCACAGATGCTCAAGTGTCTTTTCCACTCACACACCTACTCACTTTTCCTGTTGTCATCACTCAGAGTAGTCATTGGTAAATCAACCATTCACCACTGTCTTTCCTTATCCAGTAGCATGGTAGCACACCCTCACAGTCAGCCTATCCCTGTTGTGCACTCATTTTAAAAATGTATTTCTTCTTTGCCTCTAGTTTGTGTGCAGCACCCTCCACCTCCCCATCTCCACCCGATCCCAGCAGAATCAGCAGTGCCATGACTCACCCATTCGTTCCCGGCAGTCATCAGCCGCCACCACCACCACCAGCTTCAGAACTCCGTTGGGGAATTTCCTGCCGCCACACGGATCAGGCATCCTACCATCTCACAAATCACCCGATTGGGTCATGACGTTAAAGACTGTCTGTCAAGCATTATTCTAGTAATTGTCAAATAAAGTTTCTAATTTTAAATGTCTCTCCTGGTTGAAGTATTGGTTATGGCTGACTGTTGAAGAAATTTTGAAATATCAGAAAGTTCTCATAAATTTTCAGGAGTTGATATCTGTGTGAAGGAACTAAATGAGGCGTGGTATATGAACAGTTGTCAGTTCTTGGAGCAGATAAAGGCACCTGCTTATCCACTCCACTCCCCAGCCTAGGCTGAACGTGAAGAGTGAACACAAAGACGGGTAGCAGCAGCACTGCACAGCAGCATCACGCATGTCTCCTCCCCTGCCCCATAGGTGGTGTAACACTCAGAAAAAAAAAAACAGCATTTCATACAATATTGTGATGACCATGTTTATTTAGTAGACTACACGGTAAGAAATAAACCATTTGATTGACAAGTTAATGCCTGTTAAAAACATTAACTTGTGTGTCTGTGCATTGCATTGCAGTGGGAAATTGTAATTCTCAACTCAGAAAACACACACACGTATGTACGTAAAGAAACGTCCCTCTATCGAAATTCCGAGTGTCCTTGAACGCACCTCGACTCCAAACGGCTGAGCGTGACAGTCCCAAAGGTGGTGTAACATACAGAAAAAAAAACAGCATTTCATACAATCTGGTGATGACCATGGTTATTTAGTACACTACATGGTAAGAAATAAAGAACTTGATTGACCAGTGTTTGATTAATAAGCCAGGGGTGCCGAGACATCGGTTAAAACAGACATTAACTTGTGTGTCTGTGCGTTGCATTGCAGTGGGAAATTGTACTTTTCAACTCGGAACACTCACACGTATGTACGTAAAGAAACGTCTCCCTTTTGAAATTCCGAGTGTCCTTGAACGCACCTCGACTACAAACGGCTGAACGTGACAGCTGTTTAATTACTTCTGACTCCTGACTTTGAGGTAAGCGGCAGCACCTGAACCACTGTTCCTCCATAAAATCTTGAATTCACCGGTTTAGCACACCGTATCAGTGTTTGAACTCCAGTGATAAGTCTCATAAAGTTTACACATTACAGAAAGCCGTAGCAGAGTCTGCTTGAAATTAATTAGACCTGTTTCATCCAAGCTAACTTACGAAAGTTAGCAACTGACAACGGTGGATGACTTTAACTGATGTAGTCTCAATGTCTCTTGTCCCCTAAATATTAAAACCTGTCTGTTTTACTCTCTGTGGGATGCTGAGGCATTATTGTGATATTGTTATAGTAAAAGGCAAACAAAAAGGGAGAGCATTTGCATTGTAACGGTTTTAACAGCAACCAGCGGTCAGCTAACGGCTAGCTAATTAGCGTCGATGCTCTGTGGCTCTGGTTGTACCAGCAACTAGCTGTCAGCTCTTAGCAAATTCTCATATTTCCATTACACGAAATTCTTAAGAAGGGGCAATTGCCTCCTTTGCTCTAATGCTTGTGTCTGCATTATCTGTTGGTTAGTCACTTTAGCTTTTTATCAGCAATGGTGCCGACTCAGTCAAGTGACCTTGGTTAAGTGAAATGTCTATAACTGACATTAGCCAGCTCATGCTTGTATAGACCTGAAATAATCATTAAAACCACCTGTAGGTAATAATGTGACACAGTTACAGGTTCTTAATTAATACTAAAAATTGTAACACCTGTGTTAATTTTACACCAGACCACACAGAATGGATGCTGTGTGGTCTGGTCTGTTTAAATTACTAGTAAAGTGAGGTTTTTTTTGTGGTGTGAACTGTTTAGGTAAAATGTGTGATACATTGTACAGCTTAGAGTGCACAAAAAATTTCCAGCCTTTTAGAGAGAGACACATACAGAAAGGATGACACTGATGTGCTGTCTGCTCTTTTAGACGGAGAGAGGTTCCAGCGCTTGTTTGGTGAGTACCGGAAATTAAAACCTAAAGTTAAATTGAGAGCAGAGTTTGTCACTTGAGTATGGATGAATACTGTGTCACTCCCTGATATCCCAAAATGTTTTTCTAATGAGAGCCGAACATAAGAAACATAATGTTACACCCTTGTTATGTGTTTTATTTTGATCAAATCCACATATTTGCTTTAAAATGTTGATTCAGAGTACAATCAAATTGTGCTCATTTCACAGAATTGTCACGGCTGTGGTTGAAGTCTGCCCTTTTCAATTAACGCTGTTTTAGGTTTTGTGTCCCAGATAAAATTGTGTCCAAGACTTTAAAAGTTGTTCATTTTAGTATAAAATTCACAGTGTGTGTGAACACTATTTGCACTAGGGCACATAAGGTCCCATAGCGTGCTCAGACAGAGAAATTTTGTTACCAAAAAGATTTAGTTTTGAGAGAGAACCAGCTGCTTTGTCAAACTTGTACTGCTTTAATGTCGTAGCTTGACCTGAATGTTAATAAATTTTACTTCTTAACTTAACCAAGCACCACACCCTCTTTAAATCTAGTCACATAGATGAACAGAGCTAAATGTAGTAATAATTGTAAATCTCGTATGGTATAATTCTACAAATGGTAACTATGATTTTTCTTTTTTGTGGTCCTTGGTCTGCAGAAGAAGAGTACCAGTTTCCAGGTTCCAGTTTCCAGGTTCCAGTAGATCGTCCTGTTTGTCCCTCCCCCAACCCCCAACCCCTCTATCATCCGTCCTGCTCTGTCTGTTGTCTCTGCCTTCTTTCTCTCTCCCTAAGTTTAATCTCTCAGGTTGGTTGATACTCCCAACCGTTTACACTCGCTTGGTGATACTCCCAAGTGTCTTTGATAAAAACTAACTGTTGATTCACTGATATTTTTGAAAAAACTCAATTGTTAGATACTCGCAAGTATCTTCTACCACTACCACTACCACTTCTACTACCACTACCACTACTACTACTACTACTACAACTACCACTACTGCTACCACTACTACTACTTACAGACTACGACTGAGTATTTCCAGGAACAATGCCACGCAAAGGAAAGAGATCCAACGCCAAGAAGCTACACTGGCAGAAATTTCCTGAGTCCCGAGTACCTGATCAACGGGTGGTGAGTCCTCATCCTTACAACAGCGGACAGGTAAATACCCCTGATTTTTCTAATGCTAATGTCACACGTGTGTTGGCTTCCCGCAGTCAGGGGCATGATACATACGCTGATTCAAAGAACAGTCAATGCTCCTGCAACTGTGCTACTTTCCTGGCCTTTCTGCATGAGTTAGGACAACTTCACACTGCTGATCTTGATCTCGTTTTGGACAGAGGCCATGCAATGTATGCTCTAACTCTCGGTCAGTTGGATGTTGATGGTCAAAAAGTTGATAGATTCTTAAATATAGACGAACTTCCACCAATCGTTGTTGGTGACAGACAACAGCACATAATGACAAAGTGTCAGTCAATCAGTGGTGTCTTTACAGCTCCTACCTTGCTAAACAACAACCTTGCAGATGTACTTCAGTGCTTGTCCGCAGAGGTGAACTACGCATTGTTGATAATGAGTTCAATGTACATTGCTGTTTTCCGAGACCAACGCGGGCAGTATGGCTATTTTGACCCACACTCTCGACAGCCTGATGGCTTTCCTGCTGGCTTTGGTTTTGGCACAGCTGTCGTCTTTATTTTCACATATTTAAATGATCTGATCACAAAGCTTGTGACGTTATTCCGTGCAGTTGGCTCCGGTCCAAATTCTTATTTTGAGCTGACACCTGTGCTCTTTCAGACTGTGGATGAGCCCTCAGTGGAAGGAAATTTGTCACATATGGAGTCGAATGCAGAGGATGTTCCAATAGCAAGGCAGCAAGAACCTCACATGTCCAGTCTACTCCAGGCTAAATCTGAGATAAAAATACAATCTAACAGTCACACTCTGCCAAGACAGTCAAGACGTAACAAACAGGAGAGGAAGAAGTTGAAAAGAAGAGCTCAAAAGGGGAAGACAAAAGTTGCAATCGACAAAAATGAAAAACAGCGAGAACGATATGCCAAGGACAAATCATACCAGCAACGTAAAAGGTCTTATATGGTTAATCAGTATAGACAGGATCCAGAGTTTAAACAGAGACAAAGGTCTTACATCAACCGCCGATACACGGATGATGCAGAGTTTAAACGGAGACAAAGGTCTTACATCAAACGTCGCTACAAAAATGACACAGAGTTTAAACAGAGACAAAGGTCTTACATCAACCACCGATACACGGATGATGCAGAGTTTAAACGGACACAAAGGTCTTACATCAAACGTCGCTACAAAAATGACACAGAGTTTAAACGGAGACAAAAGATGTACATAACACACCGCTATTGCCAGGACTTTGCATTCAGAACTAAACAAAGGCAGTATATCACAAAGCGTTACGCAAATGATCCTGCATTCAGAATGAGGCACAAACAAACTATGAGACAGCTAATGAGAGACAAATACAGAAACAACCTTGTAACCAGACTGACCAACAGCATGCGGTGTGCAATTAAGATTAGACAAAAATACAGACATATTAATAGACAGCAAATCGACATGGATGACAGTCAGATTAAAGAAGCCATAGAGATTTTCAGATCACACGTAAAAAATGGACCCACATATGTCTGCACAGTTTGTCACAGAGCACTGTTTACGAATCAAGTGCGACCCTGCAATCGGTCAAAATATGACAAAGAGCCACGTGTTGTTGCAGCTTGCCTCACTGGTGCATATGTTCATGTCTGCAGTGATGAATGCGAAAATTTACAACAGTGCACCGTACCAGAGGAGCGAAAGAAAGAGTGGATTTGTTACACATGCCATGATCACCTTAAGGCTGGTGGGATGCCTCCCCTCGCAACGGCTAATAATTTACAGCTTGCTGATATTCCAGATGAACTGTGTGATTTGAACATTTTGGAACGTCATCTCGTAGCTAAAAGCATACCGTTTGCTAAAATTATTCCCCTGCCCAAAGGTCAACAAAGAGCTATCCGTGGAAATGTTGTGTGTGTTCCGTCTGAAGTACAGGAAACTGTAAATGCTTTGCCCAGACTAAGGAGTGAATCTCAGGTCCTGAGAGTGAAGCTGAAGAGACGACTGTGCTACAAAGGTCATCAGCTGTTCCAAACTGTGACCTGGCCAAAGTTGGTGAGAGCTCTGCTCAAACTGAAAGAAATCCATCCCCAGTACAAAGACATAACAATCAGAGATGAAGCTGAGTCATGTGACCCTACTCTCCCTGATAATGAAGACAGTGATGAGGATGACGGAATGGATGATGATGATTACGATGAGGAAGATTTGATGGAGATTGACCGTATTGAGAAAAATGCACTCTGTGAGGCAGAAAGCATTCCCGAAAACGTCGAACAACATATGGAAAATCGGTCAGGTAATAATGGCTGTGAGCCAGAGAACCAGTCTGATAACTTGGAAGGTGATGAACCAAACGGTGGTGTTGTCCTTGAATCATGTCTGCAGCCAAGTGATGTGTCAGAGGAGATTTTGAGTTTTAGTGAGGGAATATACTCTGTTGCCCCCGCCGAAGGAAAAAAACCGTCAAGCTTTTTCAGAACACCTAAACTTGAGGCGATGGCTTTCCCAGTTCAGTTTCCCACTGGTGAAAATACACTGGATGATAACAGGCCACTGAAATTAACACCCTGCAGTTATTTCAAAACAAGGCTTTGCTGTGTCGATGGCCGTTTCGCTAAAGATACTAACTACTTGTTTTTTGCTCAATTTGTGACAGAAATACATATGGCCACTTCCAGCATGAGAATACAACTGCGTAAAGGCAAACCTTTTACCCGAGATGGCCGCAAAATCACAAATGCCATGTTGCAAAACAAACGAGAAGTCGAAAGGCTAGTGCGGAACAAAGATGCAATAAGATTCATGACACCGCTGAGAGGCACCCCGGCGTATTGGCAGAAAACAACCAAAGACTTGTTTGCGATGATTCGGGCTTTAGGCTCGCCACAATTCTTCTTAACTTTCAGTGCTGCAGAAATGCGTTGGAAATGGGTTATCACAGCAATTAAAGCCCAGCAAGGTGAACACGTGAATTTTGAAGAGCTGGATTGGTCCTCCAAGTGTGAGATTTTGCGAAGTAATCCTGTCACCACAATGCGCATGTTTGACAAACGTGTCGAGGCACTGTTCAGAGATCTGATCCTGTCCCCCGCACAACCTATCGGCAAAGTCGTCGACTACTTTTACCGGCTCGAGTTTCAGCACAGAGGAAGCCCGCACATTCACGGTATGGTATGGGTGGCAGGCGCACCTGTGTTTGAAGAATGCTCTGATGAGGAGGTGTGTAAGTTTGTGGCCAGATTCATCAAAGCTGAGCTGCCCGATGAAAACAAGGACCCAGAACTGTACAAAATAGTCACAGAAGTTCAGATGCACAGCAAAAACCACTCCAAGACATGTGTGAAATACAGTGGTGCAAACTGTCGTTTCGGATTTCCCAAACAACCTGTCCCAAAAACCACAATAATCAGACCGGGGGCAATTGTGGATGAAGCAACAGACCTGGCATTGACAGAAAAGCTTGCAACACTTAACAGACTTCTTCATGAACCTACTACTGCATCGCTCAGCTTTGAACAGCTTTTGGCAAAATGTGAGTTCACCAAAGAAGAATACCACAGGTGTTTGCAGAGCAAAACCAACGGCAGTCAAGTGATGCTGAAGCGTGGTCCCAAAGATGTTTGGGTAAATGGCTACAACCCCTACCTTCTTAAAGCCTGGAATGCCAACATGGATATCCAATTCATTCTCAACCCCTACTCCTGTATCATGTACATGTGCAGCTACATCAGCAAGGCGGAACATGGTCTGAGTGAATATCTCAAAACGGTGATACAAAACTCACGTCAGGAAGATGTCAACGAAAGCGATGAAATGAAACAAATAATGCAGGCCTACTCCAAAAAAAGAGAGGTAAGCGCTCAGGAGTGTGTGGCTCGTGCATGCGGTCTACATATGAAGCAGTGTTCACGCAGCGTGGTGTTTGTGCAGACAGATGACAACGCTCTGAAAATGAGTTACCCCTTGTCACACCTGGACAACAAACCTTCAGAATCGGAACATGTGTGGATGACGGGGTTACCTGATAAGTATGTATGCAGACCAGAAACACCAGACTTTGAGGCAATGTGCTTGGCAGATTTTGCATCGAGCTGCAGAATAGTCTACGGCAAGCAGACAAAAGGCAAAAACACTCATCGCCTGCTGAATGAGATGGGGTTTGTCCAGAAGAGAGCAAATGATGAAAAACATGCAGTCATCAAATATCGACCCATCTCCCTTGAGAAAGATCCAGAGCTGTATTATGGCACATTGCTTAAACTGTACGTGCCTTATCGCTCAGAAAACCAGCTGAAATCCACCCACTTCCCAACTTACCAGTCCGTCCATGACCATGCAGCTGTTTGGTTACCTGGATCACAGCATCCTGAGCGCGTGAAGGCAATTGTGAAACGCAACAGAGAAAAACATGAGAAACACCGTGAGGACATCGACAGTGCCATTCAAGAGTTTGAAGAAAGAGGAATGTTGCTAAACGAATGGGGCAACCTGGCGCCTGAGAGTGAGATTGAACGGCTCGAGTGCATAGATGAACTCAATGAAAGAGAAGCTGATGAGGACGTGCAGGAGAATGTTCCAGACTATAATGTGAGGTCAGACGTGAGGCAAGAATCTGCAGTCACGATCGAAGCCCCTGAAATTGATCCTGTGGTGCTGCGTGAGATGTACCAGAACTTGAACCAAACGCAAGCTTCAGTTTTCCACACCATCCGGGACTGGTGCTTGAAATGTGTTTGTGGTTCAAAACCAGAGCAGTTCTTCTTGTACATTAATGGTGGTGCCGGAACAGGTAAGTCTCATCTAATCAAATGCATCCATGCAGAGGCATCTAAAATACTCAGAAGACTTCCAAGAAATGCAGAGGAAGCAGACATCTCTAAACCTACTGTTCTCTTGACTGCATTCACTGGTACTGCAGCATTCAACATTTCAGGTACAACATTGCATTGTCTCTTGAAGCTGCCCAGAAGTCTCAAGCCTCCTTTCCAAGGTCTTGGTAACAAACTTGATGAAGTCAGGGCAGAGCTTTCAAATGCAGAGATACTCATTATTGATGAAGTCTCCATGGTCTCCAAACAGCTCTTTGCCTACGTGGATGCGAGACTGAAACAAATCAAAGGAAGTCAGAGACCTTTTGGTGGAATGTCAGTTCTCACTGTTGGAGATTTCTACCAGCTACCACCTGTCAGACAGTCGAAACCTCTGTGTGTGTTCGACCTGACTCAGATCGACCTCTGGCGTGACAACTTTCAGATGGTCACACTGACCGAAATCATGCGTCAGAAAGATGATGTCACTTTTGCTGAGACACTGAATCGAATCCGTGCCAAAGAAAAGACAGTATCTTTGTCTCATGAAGACAGAGTTCTGCTTTCACAGGCCTTAGCTGACCCGGCTCAATGTCCAAAAGACGTACTGCATGTTTATGCGACAAACAAAGAGGTTGAGGAACACAACTCAAAAACCTTGGACATGTTTCACTCCGACGTCACCACAATAGATGCAGATGACTACAAAAAAGATCCAACCACCGGGAGAATGACGAGACAAAGTGTACCTTTCCAAGGAAACAAAAAGGAGTTGCCTGACTCGATATAATTGGCCATCGGCGCTAATGTCATGATCACCAGAAATATAAGTGTGCAGTCAGGTCTCTGCAATGGAACATTTGCACGCATTGCAAAAATAGTGACTAAAGCAGGAAATCCGCATGTTGAAAAACTCGGACTGAAACTTAACAGTCAAAGTGCAGCAGCCAGCGAAGCAGATGTGGATGAAAACATCGTGTACATTGACAGAGACGAGGAGAACCTTAAACAGACGGGAGTTGTCAGAAGACAGTTTCCCATCAAGCTCGCTTTTGCGTGTACAATACACAAAGTTCAAGGGATGACAACTTCCTCGGCCGTGGTCTCACTGAAACACATCTTTGAACCCGGCATGGCCTACGTTGCTCTGAGCAGAGTGACCTCTCTGAGTGGACTCCACATTCTAGACATGGATGAGAGGAAAATCTATTGCAACCCTGAAATCACTGTAGCTCTTGAAAACATGTCTAAAGCTTCACTTGAACATGTCATGCCTCTCCTCAAGATCCCAGAAACATTGAGCAGGCCAGACACTCTCACTGTCATTCATCACAACACAGAAGGACTACCAGCTCATATCACCGACATCAAAAGTCACCATGAACTACATCTTGCAGACGTGCTCTGTCTCACTGAAACTCATCTGCGAGGATCCTTTGTTGCTGAGAGTCTCCACCTTGAAGGCTACAACATGTTCAAACGTAACAGAAACATGTCTTACTCAAACCATCCTGCCATGGCCACTAAAAACGGTGGCGGAGTTGCCATCTATGTGAAAGAACACATCAGAGTCCTTGAGAGACATTTCATTCAAAATGCCACTGATATTGAGTTCAGTGTCATCAAACTTGAAGCTCCTTTCAGGGCTCTAATTGCTGCCGTCTACAGGCCTCCTGACTACGATGTTCACTCATTCATATCCAACCTCAGAAGTCTCTTGGATTCACTGGAAGTCATGGATCATCATCCCATCTTAGTCTGTGGAGATTTTAATGAAGATTTGCTGTCCAGAGCAAGGAAGCCCATTCTTGAACTGTTCCAGTCCAAAGGTTATGAACAACTCATAACTGCTGCAACCACAGAGAAGAACACGCTGCTTGACCCCATTTTCATCTCTTGCCCGCAGTCCTGTATCCATTCTGGCGTGCTGCGGACATACTACAGTTATCACCACCCTGTCTATTGCGTGCTCACTTTAGAAACACCCTAAAAAGAACTGGCTGGTTTAAAATCGAGAACTTGGTGCAAAGTTAAGGAAAAAAAAAAAATATTGCGTCCATAACTGTCGGTTTACACGTTGCGATTTAAGAGAAGAGTTTTAATTATTGGTTTCCTATTCGATCACCTAACGAAACGTTGTAAACATAGTATATTTTAAGATGGGGGGGGTCGTCCTCAGCAGCCAGGCTGTAACACCTGCTCTGGCTGCTCTAGCTTTTAAAAGGCTGGGAGGGAGGGATGGTCAGACGGCCCTCCTATACCAAAGAAAAACATACCTGCAAATACTTTCTAGTCACTGTACAATGTGAGATTAAAGACAATATATAAAACTTTAATACATTTCTGAAAAATACAGTGAAGTAAAATGATGCATAGGTCAGTAGATTATTAGTAGCATTTAAAAAAAAAAAATTAAAATATACAGTGAGACAAATTAAAAACAAGCTAATTTAAAAGAAATAAAAACTGCCACTGAAACTATTATGAACTAATGAAATATTATAAACAAATTATATTTTAAGATGAGGGGGTCGTCCTTAGCAGCCAGGTTGTAACACCTGCTCTGGCTGCTATAGCTTTTAAAAGGCTGGGAGGGAGGGATGGACCGACGACCCCCTCCTATACCAAATTATATAGAAATACATTTCAAAATATACAGTGAGACAAATTAAAAACAAGCTAATTTAAAAGAAATAAAAACTGCCACTGAAACTATCATGAACTAATGAAATATTATAAACAAATTATATTTTAAGATGAGGGGGTCGTCCTTAGCAGCCAGGTTGTAACACCTGCTCTGGCTGCTATAGCTTTTAAAAGGCTGGGAGGGAGGGATGGACCGACGACCCCCTCCTATACCAAATTATATAGAAATACATTTCTGCAAGTCGTTACTTTACGCTGTATTAGAGTTGCCCATTATGTCCTGCCATTTACTCTGAGTAGTGGCAGGAAGGTCTGAGGATGCATTACTGCTCCTCATTTCTCTTGAACGACTTGGTGTGGGCGTAAGGTAAGAACAATATTGATCTTTCATATATACTAGCTGCAGGACTGCTCCATTTTAAATGTGAAAATACACGTTGTTTTACTGGATTTGTTTGTCTGAATCTCTCTGTTCATTTTTTTGGGTTTAGGCACCTGTGCCCTCCAGACACCAAAGATGTGGGGTGATGACACTAGAACTCCAGCTCTGTGCTCAGTGTGTCCCAAGGGCCTACCTTGAAGAGGGGAAGACACATTTCATCCTAAGAGAGCATCAGGTCAGCCTATGATTTTGATATCAAGACATTTGCACTCTGAGTTTGTTGCCTTTTACTGTTTGCGTTTGTTTCTGGTGGTCTAACAAAGGAGATAAGGATGAGCCTCTCTCAAAAGAACATCCATTGGTGAACCCTCTGTCTGACACTTGGTTGTATTCACACCTTCCTGGGCTGAGAAGTTCGTCACCAAGTCTTTCACAGCCGTGTAAATTTACGGGTAGGAGCTGCAGGTGCCACAGTGAGAAGAAACAATTCTACCTGTAAATTCCCTGAACATGTGCATGGTGAGTGACAGTACAGTTTATTCCTTTTAATCCAAGGCTGCCAATAATTTCTCAATGATGCTCCATGGCATTTTGAAGAAGTTCTTTTTGTCTGGTAGAGTGTCACAGTGGCAGCCCCACACTGGCAGAGCAGCGCCTGAGCAACAGTTCCAGAGTACTGCAGCTAGACAGCCCTGTCTATCAACTTGAGGAGGACCCACACACATTGTAAGTTGACTTAAATGTTGCAGTGTCTGTTTTCTGGTGTATTTAAATCAATCTGTAAAATTTCATCTGGTTTCACAGTTTTTTTTTTCCTGTTCAGTGCTTCAGAGAGAGGTGGAGTTGGATGTGCTGTGCATGCGTCACCATCCTGACAAGGGGTGCCTCCATTGATCTTGAACAGGACTCAAGCATGTTGTGAGTCAACTGAACAGTTTATTGATCATGAAGAGTTTTGTGACATTTGCTAGAAAAGTTTAAAGGTATTGATAATAAACGTAAAGTTTTGTCTGCCAGTGCTGTACAGGAAACCAAACCCTCTCCGTGTGTGACCGATTAGCGGAGAGAACTTCTGATCCAGTATTGGACAAGTTGTTGCTCACACAATGCTGGACCTCTAACGGGTATGTACTTGTCTTCAGCAGTCATATTATTTCTTTGTGTTCATCTGATGTGACAACCTTCTCTCCTCTCTGTACATCACAGAAGTCGACATGAGCTGAAGAACTAGAAAAGTCCTGCAGATCTTGTGACTGTGGCTTCTTAGAACCAAGCACCGAGTCTACAGCAGAGAAGGGTTCTGACCTGGGGAGCAACAGCTCTGAACTTCACCAAGTATGTTTCATCTTCAAAATCTTTGACTTTTCCACACTACAACCAGCTGTGTAGGATTTCAGTTTGTCGTCTGTAACACCGGTGTAAACTGTTGTCTTTTCGTCTCAACTCAACTCATCACAGAACCAGCTCGACATGAGCCACAGAGCCAAACCCAGCAACCATGTGACCCTGGAGCCATGTGATCTCTGCTGAGCTTAGAACTCTAAAATACTGCATGCTCAGCCGTCCTGGTAGGGGATCCCTCTAAGACCTGGCCTACCCAAAGGTTTCTTCCTCTTATCCTGAGAAAGCTTTTTTGGGGGAGTTTTTCCTGACATGCTTGGAGGGTCGAAAGGCTGACGGTGCCATATACCCCAGATTTTTTTTCTGATTCAATGTCAATAAAGAAAGTAAATGAAATTCTGGAGTTTTAATTTACTTATATGAAAGAATGAATGAATGAATGACACATGCTCACAATCACAACAATTTAAATGTGTGAAATATGAAAGTTTGAGTCTGTTTAAATGAATACAAAATTGTATGAAGTAGCAGTATGAGGCATGAATGGTCAGAAGGATTTATATTGTGGAAAACTAAAAACTGAAGCCACTGCCTCATTGAAAATTAGGTCTGAAACTAGGCAAGTATGAATGTGGTGAAACAGTTGATGTCAGAATTTCTGTAGAATGAGACATACATAGTGAGAATCATCTGAGAATTTGAGCTTTTAAAACGACACCAAGAAATTGTAATCGGTCCCTGGTGCTGTACTTTTGTGCGTCTCTAAAAAAAACAAGCTTTCATGTGTAGGACCCAGCCACAAAAACTTCACATAGCAGGAAAGGGGTGAGAAGCAGCTTCCCAGCCAGCTGTGTGTCTCCAGGTGCTCTAATCGGTTGCCCTGCTGAAGGTAAATAAATTGAAAGAAGGCTTAATGGAGAGGAAACAGCTGTCAAATTAAAACAAAGTTTTAAAGTGTGGAAAATGAAAATGATAAAAATCAGAAAGGTTTGAATCCATTTAAATGAATTAAAATTTGTTTGAAGAATTGAATATTGCATGAATAATAATGAGAATGATTTTAAAGTGGGGAACATTTTAATAGATAAAAATTAAAATGGAGCGGAATTTTTGGAGCAATATTAATGTGTGAAAATTAAAATGATTAAAAACACTGAAGTATAGGAAAGGCTTGAATAGTCAGAAAGGTTTGAATCAGTTTAAATGAGTTGGAATTTGTTTTGAAGAACTGCTAAATGCATGAGTAGTGAAAATGATTTAAGCAGGGAAAATAAAAATGGTTATAATCTGGAAATATGAGAGGTTTTAAGAATCAGAAAGGTTTGAACCAGTTTGAAAGAGTTTAATTTCTTTGAAGAAGAATTGAATAAAGCATGAATATGAAGAATGATTTAAAAGTGGGGAACATTAAATAGATACAAATCTTTAATACATCCCATAATGTACTCATTGAGCTAAATTTCTGGAGCCCTGGATGGGTTCTGTAGCTCAAAGTTTATGGGAGGAGATAGTGGCACATTTTTGTCAGGTGTTCTGGTGAAGGGTTTTAAATGTCACCCCCAGTACTCTGTGTACTGAGCCTGGCTTCATGTGTCTCATATGGCTGTTAGAAGCAGCTTTCCAGCCAGCTGTGTGTCTCCAGGTGCGCTTATTGGTTGCCATGGTGACGATAGATGCTCAACAACAGCAGGAGAAAGGAGGCTTGAGGCTGAGAATGTAGTGCCCAAACAACGTCATATTTCTCATCCTCTGTAACTGCTATCTTCATGATCAGGAGCTTGTGAAAACCACAAGACCCGGCTGAACACGTTGATACAACTTCTGTGTCTGTGGAGCCAAAAATGCCTTCACTACGACGAGTTAAAAACATGTCCAGTTCATGTTTCCTCTGAAAATCCTCCTCTCGGGTTTATATTGAAGTCAATGGAGAAAGCTGGAGAAATCTGGGGGATTTCTGCGGCAGTTGGTGTCTGCCCAGGCCACTGTGTGTGTCCTATGGCTTTGATTTTTGAGATGAAGATTGACAGCAAGTTTTGCCATCACTGTACCAATTTTTATCTGTGTAGAGCGAAGTGAGTTGCCACAATCCTTTTGTAAAGACAAAGTTTTGAGGATCAATTTTCAGCCTGTCTCACTCTAGCTGTGAGGTCACCCACTCTAGCGGCCAACATTCCGTGCAATACACACTAATGTTAAAACCTGAACAGGTCGGAAAGTCTTTGGACTTTTTGAACTGTCACTGTGAGAAAAGTATGAATGCCATGAAGATGGTGAATGAATGAATGAATGTCTGAAGATGTGTGAATATTTTAAAGTTTGAATGAAGTTTCTAGGTGAAAGTATGAATGAATGAGAAGAGGTTGAAGTTGACTACGTCTGAAGCCCTTTTCCCATTGACTCCCATTATAACGAAGTGTTAAACAAATCTTAATATTTTGAAAAGTACAAATGGGATTAAAAATGTTGAAGATGTGGAAGAATGCTGACGAATTTGTGAATATTTTGGTTTTTGAATGAAGTTTCTACGTGGAAGTATAGCGGAGTTGAAGGCTTTTGAAGTTTGAAGCCAATTTGAACATTCCGTAATGCATTTCTAATGGGAGAAATCGGTCGGAAAACCTGGAATATCTCGGAAAGTATGAATGTTAGGAAAATTTTGAACACAACCCGGAATCTCCTGAATGAGATGAATCTTTTGAAGTTTGAATGGTTTGAATACGTTGAAGTATGTGGAAGTAGTTGAGGTCCAAAAAACGGTGGAAGTGTGTTGAATAATAATAATAATAATAACTAGAAAAATTGCATTTCCTTGCAGAAAATGCGTGGAAATGCTGAGTGCTGAAAGCTGAAAAAGCAATGCTAAACTGCTAATAAAACATGGAGAAAGGTATAAATGTTAAAGCTGTTGAAGGGGTGAACAGAAATATAAGTTGGATAATTGATTAATTGGTTGAAGGACAAATAGTATGAATATGCTCTATAAAAGGAAATTTTATTCATGCTGAAAGAGGCTAGAAAAATGTCTAAAATTGCACAAAGTTTGAATGAAGAAGGAAATTGCCTTAAAAGGCAGGAAGGTGAGAAGTGGCATAAGTTTAAATTGTAGTACTAGAAGTAGTATGATAAGAAGTCAAGTCGTGATACTAGTAGTCATGTCAGCAGTAGAAGTAGATTGAGAATAAAAGAAGTATAAGTCAAAGTAGTAAAGAAAGTAGAAATAGGAGCAATAGCAGTTGAAGTAGAGGGGAAAGTTCTAGTTTAATTGACATTAGCAGTAGTTGTCGTACTTGAGGTAGGATTATGTTTGAATGATGGAGTAATGCATAAATATTAAAACTAATTTAAAACAGGGAAATTTTAAATTATCAAAAGTCCTCAAGTATCATTAAGTTTTGAAGTATTAGAAAGGTTTGAATCAGTTTGAATGAGTTTAAATTAGTTTGAAAAATTAAATGATAAATCATGACTGACTGACTTTTAAAATGTGAAAAATTTAAATGAATAACAATCCTAAATACACCCAATAATGTCCTCAATGAGCTTAAATTTCAAAGCCCTGAATGGTTTCTGTAGGTCAAAGGTCATGTGAGGAGATAGGGGCTGAAGTTTTTTCCAACGCTCTAGGAAAGGGTTTTAAGTGTCATCCCAATTGCTATGTGTACTGAGCCTGGCTTCATGTGTCTCATATGGCCACTAGAAGCAGCTTTCCAGTCAGCTGTGTGTCTCCAGGTGCACAAATTGGTTGCCATGGGGACCTTGGATGCATAACTATAGCAGGAGAAAGAAGGCTTGAAGCTAAAGAAACAGGACTCCAAGTAGGCCCTGACGCTCACCCTCTGTATATATTCATAAGGAGCTTGTGAGAACACAAGACTCTGCTGAACACATTAATACAATTTATTATCACAATCCTCAAAACACCCCATATTATCTTCAATGAGCTGAATTTTTGAAGCCCAGAATGGTTTCTGTAGCTCAAAGTTTGTGGGTGGAGATAGGTGGTGAAGCAGACACATATTAACTGTGTGTACAAGCAGCTGAACTGCAAGGTGGACCTCAAAAAGCAACAAGTACAAGAAGGTGTGTGTGCGTGTGTGTGTGTGTGTGTCTCGTTAATGACTGCATCCTAAACAGCTGTGAGATCAAAGGCAAATCACTAACCTACTGTTTGACTGAGAGGTGCTGAACTGCAGTGAATTTCAGCCTGTGAACTTCTTCACATAGCGTGATTTCCTTAAGTCCCAGAATGAAAATAAGAACATCGTACGAATCCTCCGTCCTTCATGAACACAATGATGTGTTTTTCATGTCTGTACTTCGAAAAATGAGGCCACAACAGCGAGTTAAAAAAGTCTGAGCCTGAGCGATGATCCGGATTTTCTTGGAGAAAAATAACATTATGGTCAATGGGAGAGATTTCCGCCTTCCTTGGACAGTTGGTCACCTGCTGGCCAAGGGGTACGATTTAATGATTTGAAACCTCTTTTGTGAGAAGCAGGACACATATACCTCCATTTTGATGTATTATTTATGGCTCTGGAGTGAGATTTGTGGGCGTGGGAGCGATATATTCGAGCGAGGTTCTGTCGATCAGAGACGGGGTCTGCACTCTAGCTTTTCAAATCCTCACTCTAGCCTCTCCAATTCACCCCCATTATAAAACCTGAAATTTGCTGAAAACCACAAGTTGCTTAAAGCTAAATTGTGGAAAAACTGTAAAAGATAGCACAAAAAGGTTAATACAACATCAATAGTCGACAAGACAATGAACATTTTAAAGCAAAAATGAGGTCTCTAGGTGAAAGTATGCTGAAGTTATAAGGCTTAGAAGGTGGACGAATAACAGGAAGTATTGGAAGATTTCCCCATTCGTTTCTATGGGAAAAAAAGTTTGGCACAAAAAGTGAAAAATAATAAAAAGTACAAAGGATAGAAAGGAAAAAAATACAAGCACACATGTCCTGATGGAGTGGAATAGTTTAAAGTTTGAACGGTTGAAATCGGACAAAGTTTGAAGGAGGAGAAGCGGTCCAAAGAAACGTATGGGGAGAGTGTTAAGTATAATACTAGAAAAATTGCATTTCCTTGCAGAAAATGCGTGGAAATGCTGAGTGCTGAAAGCTGAAAAAGCAATGCTAAACTGCTAATAAAACATGGAGAAATGTATAAATGTTAAAGCTGTTGAAGGGGTGTGAAAGAAATGTAAGTTGGATAATTGATTAATTGGTTGAAGGACAAATAGTATGAATATGCTCTATAAAAAGAAATTTTATTCATGCTGAAAGAGGCTAGAAAAATGTCTAAAATTGCACAAAGTTTGAATGAAGAAGGAAATTGCCTTAAAAGGCAGGAAGGTGAGAAGTGGCATAAGTTTAATTTTTGAAGTATTAGAAAGGTTTGAATCAGTTTGAATCAGTTCAAATTAGTTTGAAAAATTAAATGATAAATCATCACTGAGTGACTTTAAAATGTGAAAAATCTAAATGTATATAAATCCTAAATACACCCCCTAATGTCCTCAATGAGCTCAAATTTTAAAGCCCTGAATGGTTTCTGTAGGTCAAAGGTCATGTGAGGAGATAGGGGCTGAAGTTTTTTCAAGCGCTCTAGTAAAGGGTTTTAAGTGTCATCCCCAGTGCTATGTGTGCTGAGCCTAGCTTCATGTGTCTCATATGGCCATTAGAAGCAGCTTTCCAGTCAGCTGTGTGTCTCCAGGTGCACTAATTGGTTGCCATGGGGACCTTGGATGCATAACTATAGCAGGAGAAAGAAGGCTTGAAGCTAAGGAAACAGGACTCCAAGTAGGCCCTGACGCTCATCCTCTGTATCTATTCCTGATAAGGAGCTTGTGAGAACACAAGACTCTGCTAAACACATTAATACAATTTATTATCACAATCCTCAAAACACCCCATAATATCTTCAATGAGCTGAATTTTAGAAGCCCAGAATGGTTTCTGTAGCTCAAAGTTTGTGGGTGGAGATAGGTGGCGAAGCAGACACATATTAACTGTGTGTACAAGCAGCTGAACTGCAAGGTAGACCTCATAAAGCAACAAGTACAAGAATGTGTGTGTGTGTGTGTGTGTGTGTCTCGTTAATGACTGCATCCTAAACAGCTGTGAGATCAAAGGCAAATCACTGACCTACTGTTTGAATGAGAAGCAGCTGAACTGCAGAGGATTTAGAGGCTCTAAACTTCTTCACATAGCGTGATTTCCTTAAGTCCCAGAATGAAAATAAGAACATCGTACGAATCCTCCGCCCTTCATGAACACAATGATGTGTTTTTCATGTCTGTACTTTGAAAAATGAGGCCACAACAGCGAGTTAAAAAAGTCTGAGCCTGAGCGATGATCCGGATTTTCTTGGAGAAGAAATACATTAGGTCTAATGGGGAGAGATTTCCGCCTATTTGGACAGTTGGTCACCTGCTGGCCAAGGGGTAAGATTTAATGATTTGAAACCTCTTTTGTGAGAAGCAGGACACATATACCTCCATTTTGATGTATTTTTTATGGGTGTGGAGTGAGATTTGTGAGCGTGGGAGCGATATATTCGAGCGAGGTTCTGTCCATCAGAGACGAGGTCTGCACTCTAGCTGATGACATCATCACTCTAAACTCTCCAATACACACCCATTATAAAGCTTGAAATTTGCTGAAAACCACAAGTTGCATGAAGCTAAATTGTGGAAGAACTGTAGAAGATAGCACAAAAAAGTGAATACAACATTAATAGCCGACAAGTTAATGAACATTTTAAAGCAAAAATGAGGTCTCTAGGTGAAAGTATGCTGAAGTTATAAGGCTTAGAAGGTGGAAGAATAAAAGGAAGATATGGAAGATTTCCCCATTGACTTCAATGTTAAAATTTTTGCACAAAAAGTTTAAAAAAAACAAAAAGTATAAAAGGTAGAAGAGTGAAAAGTAATAGCTATCATGTCCTGAAGGAGTGGAATAGTTTAAAGTTTGAACGGTTGAAATCGGACAAAGTTTGAAGGAGGAGAAGCGGTCCAAAAAAGGTACGGAAGAATAATAATAAGTTGAATAAAGAAACAGGAGAATAACAATAAGTGGAAATGCTTAATCAGCATTTCCACTTAACTAGAAAAATTGCATTTCCTTGCAGAAAATGCGTGGAAATGCTGAGTGCTGAAAGCTGAAAAAGCAATGCAAAACTGCTAATAAAACATGGAGAAATGTATAAATGTTAAAGCTGTCTAAGGGGTGTGAAAGAAATGTAAGTTGGATAATTGATTAATTGGTTGAAGGACAAATAGTATGAATATGCTCTATAAAAAGAAATTTTATTCATGCTGAAAGAGGCTAGAAAAATGTCTAAAATTGCACAAAGTTTGAATGAAGAAGGAAATTGCCTTAAAAGGCAGGAAGGTGAGAAGTGGCATAAGTTTAATTTTTTAAGTATGAGAAAGGTTTGAATCAGTTTGAATCAGTTCAAATTAGTTTGAAAAATTAAATGATACATCATCACTGAGTGACTTTAAAATGTGAAAAATCTAAATGTATATAAATCCTAAATACACCCCATAATGTCCTCAATGAGCTCAAATTTTAAAGCCCTGAATGGTTTCTGTAGGTCAAAGGTCATGTGAGGAGATAGGGGCTGAAGTTTTTTCAAGCACTCTAGTAAAGGGTTTTAAGTGTCATCCCCAGTGCTATGTGTGCTGAGCCTGGCTTCATGTGTCTCATATGGCCATTAGAAGCAGCTTTCCAGTCAGCTGTGTGTCTCTAGGTGCACTAATTGGTTGCCATGGGGACCTTGGATGCATAACTATAGCAGGAGAAAGAAGGCTTGAAGCTAAGGAAACAGGACTCCAAGAAGGCCCTGACGCTCATCCTCTGTATCTATTCCTGATAAGGAGCTTGTGAGAACACAAGACTCTGCTAAACACATTAATACAATTTATTATCACAATCCTCAAAACACCCCATAATATCTTCAATGAGCTGAATTTTTGAAGCCCAGAATGGTTTCTGTAGCTCAAAGTTTGTGGGTGGAGATAGGTGGCGAAGCAGACACATATTAACTGTGTGTACAAGCAGCTGAACTGCAAGGTAGACCTCATAAAGCAACAAGTACAAGAATGTGTGTGTGTGTGTGTGTGTGTGTGTGTGTGTCTCGTTAATGACTGCATCCTAAACAGCTGTGAGATCAAAGGCAAATCACTGACCTACTGTTTGAATGAGAAGCAGCTGAACTGCAGAGGATTTAGAGGCTCTAAACTTCTTCACATAGCGTGATTTCCTTAAGTCACAGAATGAAAATAAGAACATCGTACGAATCCTCCGCCCTTCATGAACACAATGATGTATTTTTCATGTCTGTACTCCGACAAATGTGGCCACAACAGCGAGTTAAAAAAGTCTGAGCCTGAGCGATGATCCGGATTTTCTTGGCGAAAAATAACATTATGGTCAATGGGAGAGATTTCCGCCTTCTTTGGACAGTTGGTCACCTGCTGGCCAAGGGGTACGATTTAATGATTTGAAACCTCTTTTGTGAGAAGCAGGACACATATACCTCCATTTTGATGTATTATTTGTGTCAGTGGAGTGAGATTTGTGGGCGTGGGAGCGATATATTCGAGCGAGGTTCTGTCGATCAGAGACGAGGTCTGCACTCTAGCTGATGACATCATCACTCTAAACTCTCCAATACACACCCATTATAAAGCTTGAAATTTGCTGAAAACCACAAGTTGCTTAAAGCTAAATTGTGGAAAAACTGTAAGAGATATCAAAAAACTGAGTACAACTTTAATAGTCGACAAGTGAATGAACATTTTAAAGCAAAAATGAGGTCTCTAGGTGAAAGTATGCTGAAGTTATAAGGTCTAGAAGGTGGAAGAATAAAAGGAAGAATTGGAAGATTTCCCCATTGACTTCAATGTTAAAATTTTTGCACAAAAAGTTAAAAAAAACAAAAAGTATAAATGTTAGAAAAGTGAAAAGTAATAGCAAACGTGTCCTGAAGGAGTGGAATAGTTTAAAGTTTGAACGGTTGAAATCGGACAAACTGGGAAGGAGTTGAAAGCGGACGAAAAACGGCGGAAGAATAATAATAATAATAATAATAATAATAATAAAGAAACGGGAGAATAACAATAAGTGGAAATGCCTATCAGCATTTCCACTTAACTAGAAAAATTGCATTTCCTTGCAGAAAATGCGTGGAAATGCTGAGTGCTGAAAGCTGAAAAAGCAATGCAAAACTGCCATTAAAAAATGGAGGAAGGTATGAATGGAAAAACTGTTGAAAAGGTGGAGTAGAAGAAGAAATTGTATGAATGGAAGAATTGTAGTATAGCTTAAGGTAAATTAGTTGGATTAATGTACAAATTGTCTGATAGCCTAAGTGAAAAATGTATATGATTGATGTGAATAAACAGAACTGATATGGATAATTGAATTTGAAAAACAAATGCCTTTAAACAATGTGTAACAATGTTCCTATTAAATGTACAAATAGTAAAACAGATTTTTGCAGTCTGCAGCATCCAACCATAGTAACTTGAGAATGCAGAACAGCACCATCTATTGCCCTGCTTCAGTTACTGCCCTACATCTGAATGTAGAAAGTATGAAACAGCTGAAGTTAAATTAATTGTATAAATGTAGAAAGTATAGAAAAGAAAAGCAAAAGTAGAAGAAAAAGAAGAAGTTAGTATGTTAAAAGAGTTAAAGACAATAACTGTAAAAACAAAGTTAATATTGGGGGTGTATTTTCTACTGACAGAGAGACAGTAATGCACACATGGAAACAGTGTGTGTGTGTGTGTGTGTGTGTGTGTGTGTGTGTGTGTGTGTGTGTGTGTGTGTGTGTGTGCGCGCGCGCACGAGCGGCCGAGCCCGTGCGTGTGTCATCGAAGCACACAGCCCATGACAAGTGCAGAATCTCTGGCTCTGAACGAATGTATTCACCTCTTGGGCAAACTGTACAATTTGATGACTTCAGACCTATTTTGTGAGAAGCAGGACGAGTGTACCTCCATTTTGATGTGTTTTTTATCGCTGTGGAGTGAAAATTGCGGCCGTGGCAGCAAAATAATCATGCTTGGTCTAGTGAATCCAAAAGGCTCCGCCCGCATCTAGTGATGACGTCACACGCTGTAGCGTGAGTCAGGCTGAAAAAGGCAGAAAACTTCATGTTGCTCCAAGCGAAATTGTGCAAAAACGGTAGGAAATAGCAAAAAGGAGTGAATACAACATTTGTAGCAGACACGTTGCTGAACATTTTAAAGCAAAAATGAGGTCTGTAGGTGAAAGTATGCAGAAGTTATAAGGGTGAGAAGGTGTTATAGCTTTATCTCCATTCATTTGTAATGGAACAAATTTTGCAGAAAAAGTGAAATATTGCAAAAAGTATAAATGGTAGAAAGGTGAAAAGTACTAGCAATAATGTCCTGAAGGAGTGCATTAGTATAAAGTTTGAATGGTAAAAATAGCACAAAGTGGTAAGGAGTTGAAAAGGGCCAAAAAAGGTACGGAAGAATAATAATAAAAATAATAATAATAATAAAGAAATAGTAGAATAACAATAAGTGGAAATGCTGTGTCAGCATTTCCACTTAACTAGAAAAGTTGCATTTCCTTGCAGAAAATGCGTGGAAATGCTGAGTGCTGAAAGCTGAGAAGCCAAGCATGCAAAACTGTGAAAAAAATGGAGGAGAGTATAAATTAAAAAAATTGTTAAAGGGGTGAAGTGTAATAAGTAGAAGTTGTGTGAATGTTTAAACCGTAACAGAACTGAAGAAGATATTGAAAAAGAGATGAGTTATATGGATGTAAAAACACTGGGAGAGGTAAACCAGAAGCTGTATGAATATTCAGATTGCTTAAGAACTGAACTTGAACATTACAGAAAATATGGTAAAGAATTTTAAAGATGGCTGAAAAGGCCTTCATGTTGGACGAAGTAGAAATGAATTTAAATGAGACATGAACACATTACACAAATATATTTAATTTAAAATTTGCATCAACTTAAAAAATTAAAACTGAGTTTTTACATAAGTAAAACCAAAAGAAAGAAAAAAAAATTGTCAATCCTTTAACATTTTGTGAGCAATGAAATGATTAATCATAAAACATTAAAAAAAATTAAAACAAAACATCAAAACATAAACACATAAAGAAACAATGTTCCATAGTGCCTTAAATCAAATTATAAACAATTTGTTTGTGAACAGGTTTTGGAAGCAGAAATCTTTACATGGGTGACCAATCTGTCTCTTAAGCCTGAGGTTTTAAGATTGTAGTTGCTGTAATTATTGATGGACAAAGGTATCACATTTTCAGTTGTTTCTAATATTGTTTAGCCCAATCATTAAAGGCTCTTCATACGGTGCTTAGACTGAGGCTAACACCCCATTATTTACTGGATTCAAACTCCAGCAGCCCTGGACCCACATTCACCTCTTTTCTTGTGTATTCGGATTACTAAGCCTTAAAAGTTGGCTCATAAAATTTGTCATGGCACATTAAGCCAAGTCCTGTGTTGTGGGCTTTAAAGACAGACCTTGAAATTTGATTTCAAAGTCTGATACAGGACTGTTATGCGTGTTTTTAAGGGTTTAGATTAGCCTAAGACTAAGTTTGCACATCTGAAAAACCTTTATTATACCTATACATTAAAAAAATATATGAAAATGGTGACTTGAGAGTTATTAAAAAATAGTTACTAAAATCGGTCAGCAGTATAACAACATAAATGTGAAACACAACAAGTATAGAATAAATGTAAAATAATGTGAAGGGTAAGGTAAAGAATGCAAATGCAAATAATGCAAAGTTATCCAGGCTTGTGGAAATATACAGGCAAAGTAAGGTGAAAGGCTTATTAATTAAATATGGCATTTTAGTATTTTTTAAAGCTAACTGCAGTGAAATGTGGGCCCTCTCATGTAGAAAAAAAAGAAAATTATCGAATAATAAATAATTATAATAATAAATAAAATTAAATGACATGAAACTGAAACTTTAAACAAAATCTAAAATGATCAGATTAAAAAGTAGATTTGAGAACTTGAAATAAATTGATGTAATGGATTGGTCCACCTTACCACCAAAGGGCTTTTCACAGTAGACCAAGGATAATACTGTCATCAGCTCATTGTAGTGGACTGACAATCTGGTCAGCAAAAATAACTCAGCGGTTTACTGTACAGTGTAGTACAGAAGTCTTTTACAGAAATTAAAATATTTTTTTTTAATTAAATCTAAATTTAAGATTTAAAATAATGTGGAGGGTAAGGTAAAGAATGCAAATGCAAAAGGTGCAAAGTCATCCAGGCTTGCGGAAATATACAGGCAAAGTAAGATGAAAGGTTAATAACTTAAATATGGCACTAAGGTATTTTTTATAGCATGTATTGGTCCACCTTACCACCCAAAAGGCTTTTCACAGTAGTTAGACCAAGGCTAATACTGTCATCAGCTCATTGTAGTGGACTGACAATCTGGTCAGCATTTTAGATCCCAGTGTTTTCTTATCCAAACATTCACACTACTTGTCGTACTGAAATGCTGGGTTGTCTTCACGATGATAGTTTCTTTTTTAAAAGTTTTCTACTATGGAGAAATACATTTTAAGGATAAGCATAAAAACTTTGTTCCTCTATGAAATCCCTTCACACAGCTCGTAAACGAGCCCTGTGTTTGAGGATTGTGACGGCAACCTTCAGCAGGGATTGTTTCACACTGTAATGCTGGGATCACTGCTGTCCAAAACATTAGCCCAAGACTAAGCACACGTGAAAAACCTGCAGTGTACCTACCAGCTGAAACCCAAAGTACATCATTAATTTCTAAAACACGTCTTCTCTTGTAGGTAAATTTGAGGGATATGGTGAGCATATTAAAATGAGAAATTCAGCTGCCTGCAACAACTGAAGTAACTGGTATTATTTCCCTTCATCAGTGTTGGTCATCTTTTGATATAAGGACAGATACACAGTAAAAGGGAAAGAAAATACTAAAATAAAATAGAACAAATAAAGTCCAAGAAACATAAAGGAAACTTAAAATATTAACAGATATCGACAACCGATCACTGAATGTAGAAAACAGGATTCAAAACAATATAAGAGTAATAGTTGTCCTGTCCTGAAGAAAATCAGTCAGTTCTTCAAGTGAGTACTGTGTTCTGTCTGGGCACTTTTGTTCAAAACCAAAAGCAGAGCCCGCTACAGTTCAGAGTGAAGGTTTAGAGTGAGGTAATGTTTTAACCTTTGACCTGTGGTTGTAGAATCGCTGTGTGCAGTTATCAGTGTTCGAGTTGACAGCATCACTGGAGTCAGGGAAAGTTTAAAGCTGCAGTAAAGATGAACTGATGATCTGAATGTGATGACATCTGCTGCAGCTTGCTTCACAGGACTGCAGGACTTGTAGGATCACCATTAGTTAGCTGCACTTGCTACACCGTGGATGAACAGACAGTGACTTGAAGTAGGAGAATGTAGCTGGTTCAAAACAGGAAATAAACAGAAACATTTGTGTTGATAATCTGTGAAACTAAACACGTTGAATAAATACACACATCATTAAAATGAATACCTTCAGCACTGCAGCAGAGCAAAAATATTTCTGTCCAGAGCCACTTCACCAGGTCTGCAGCAGCAAAGCTTCCTCACACAGGGAGGCTCAAGGCGTAGGGTGGCTGCATGATGTCCACCTTGAGTGCATTCAGCTGCCAGAGTATCTGAGCTGTTCTTCCTCTCTTAACTGGCTTGAAGAAGACCTGAGAGAAAACACTGCTGTTAAAGACGATGATATCAGCAGAGCTGTACAATAGCGTCACAAGCATTAATACAGCAGCTAAGATAACTAAGAAAAAATAAATGAACACAAGTTCACTAAGACATTACCTCAGATGTTCTTGAAGAGGGGTTTATCTCTTGGAGGTTCAGCAGGAACGAGCCCAGTGAGTGACAGGTACTACAGCATCAGTTCTGCTTCAGCCTGGTGTCTGGTGGTCCTTGAGAGCTGCTTCAGGACATCTGGAGCATGAGCAGGTAAAACACATGTTTGTGTAGTCCATGAGAGAAGGGTCCTGGTGGGTGCTGCAATCTGTCCAGCACAGCGATGATGGTTGTTGAGAGCAGCAGGGGGATGGTGTGGAGGATGTCATCTCTTCTTCACCTCTGACCAAAGACTGGGTTAAACAGCAGGTAGACTGTGTCTTTGAGTGGTCCAAAGTGATGTGTTTACTTCTGGTTGACGGTTTGATAATTTTTTTCTGCTCATAAGTGAGCTAGTCAGGACAGCACTAATGGTCAGGTCAAAGATGGCAGAGACAACTGAAGAAGAAAAAAAAAATACCCAAACAAAAGGAAACTTAGCTTTACTCTACTGTACCTACAGGTGATGTGTTTACTTTTGGTTGACAGTTTGATAATTTTTTTCAGTTTACAGTGAGCTAGTCAGGATAGTACTAATGGGGGTCAGGTTAAAGATGGCGGGGACAACTGAAAAAAATAATAATAATAAAAAATAAAAAATAAAAACCTACCCAAAGAAAAGGAAACTTATGTTTGCCCTAGTGTACTTACAGCCACCCATGCTAAGAGAGTGGTGTAAAGTTGGGTGGAGAAAAGGGGGTTTCAGCTGGTAGGTAACAGAACATCAGAAAGTGTGTGTTCATTAGGGAACACACACTTTCTGATGGAGGTTTTTAATTTTAGCTGCTGTATACAGTATTGTACACAGCAGCTGAGAGTTTTGGCCTGTGCATTTAACAATCCGCACCCACCCTCCCTATGTCCAGTCAAGTCAAGTTAAATGGATTAACTTGACTTGACTGGACTTGATAAATGCACAGGCCAAAAATTGTCATTTATAACATTTGAATAGTTGGAAAATTTTACAACCTGAAAAATATTTTCTATCTAAAAATTCTGAACCATAAAAATATATTTTGCACAAGTAAAATTTACAATGACCAAACACATTTCAATCTGTACTGAAAATATGAGCATAACAGCCACAACTTCTCTGGTTTGTCTTTTCCTTCAGAGCAGTTTCCTCTATGACCTGTTGGATGAAATGACACAGTAAGTGGCGTTGTGGTAACTGTAGTAGGTCTGCATGATACCTGAGGAGAGACATAGCTGAGGTCGTGAGATGAAGATCAGGTCCAGCAGTGTGTTCTTGTCCGTTGTAGCAGCAGTGATCAGTTGACCATATCCCTTGGACTGAAAGAAATCCAGAATTGGCTTACTTGCATTAGAAAAGAGATTCTCATTGAAGTCGCCACAGACGATGATGGGATGACAGTCCATGATCTCAAGTGAGTCCAGAAGGCTTCCCAGATTGGACAGGAATGATGGCACACTGTAGTCTGGAGGTCTGTACACAGCTGCAATCAGAGCACTTACAGGATATTCAACCTTCAAAGCCACAAACTCAAGGTCAGTCACATTATTCAGGTACTGTTTCTCCACAACCTGCAAATGGTTTTTCACATAAACAGCGACTCCACCACCTCCTTTACTGGCCATCTGTGGAAAGTTAGTGTAGGACAAATGTCTGTTGCGTTTGAACATGGTGTAGCCTTCAAACTGGAGACTGTCCGCCACAAAGGAGCCCTGTAGGTGAGTTTCTGTCAGACACAAAACATCTGCAAGACACAGTTCATGATGGCTTTTGATGTCATTCACATGAGCAGGTAATCCTTCGGTGTTGTGATGAATGATGCTCACAGTGTCCTGTCTGCTGAGAGAATGCTGGAACTGGAGAAAAGGCATGAGGTGATCAAAGTTAGCTTGCGTCATGGTCTCCAAAGATACAGTGACTGCAGGGTTAGCATGGATTTTACTCTCATCCAAATCAAGCATGTGCAGTCCGCTGAGAGAGGTCACTCGACTGATAGCTACGTAGGCCATGCCGGGCTCAAAAATGTGCTTCAGTGAGACAACAGCAGATTTTCTGGTCATACCTTGAACCTTGTGTATCGTGCATGCAAAGGCAAGTTTCACAGGAAACTGTCTGCGTACCACTCCTTTCTGTTGCAGAGCCTCTTCAGATCTCTCGATGTACACAAGATTGTCTCCTCGAGTACGATAGCTCCTGCCAGCTGTTTCATCATCCATCTTGAGACCAAGCATAGTGACAAGAGTAGAACTGTTGTTTTCAGAGCTTATGAGACGGCCTACTGTAGCAAATGATCCGTTCACCAATCCTTGAGACACATCAATGTTTCTGGTAAGCATGACTCTAGCACCTACTGCAACATCTAGGGTGTCAGGTAGATCATTTCTGCTTCCATGACATGGTGCACCTTGTCTTTTCATGTGTCCAGTGTGTGGGTCTTTTTTAAAGTCATCTGCATCAATGGTGGTGATATCAGAATGGAGCAGAGATAGTGTAGCAGAGTTGTGTGCTGCAACTTGTTTGTTTGTAGCAAAAATGTGCAGGACATCAGAGGGACACAGTTGTGGTTCAGTGACACGCTGTGACAGCAGATCTCTGTCAGCTTCAGAAAGCTCATCTGACCTTGTTTTCACACGGAGTCTGTTCAGCATCTCGGCAAAAGTTTTGTCATCCTTCTGTCGCATGATCTCATCTAAAGTGATCACCTGGAAGTTGTCTCTCCAGAGGTCAAGCTCACTTGGATCATAGACACAGAGTGGTTTGGACTGTCGCACAGGCGGTAGCTGGTAAAAGTCTCCCACAGCAATGACTGACATTCCTCCAAAGGGTCTGTAGCTGCCTTTAATCTGTTTCAGTCTCATATCCACATAGGCAAACAGAGGCTTCGACACCATGGAGATTTCATCAATGATGATGATTTCAGCATTTAAAAGCTCACACCTGATTTCATCAAGTTGGTTCCCAAGACCTTGAAAAGGAGGTTTCAAACTTCTGGGCAGCTTGAGGAGAGAGTGCAGTGTTGTTCCAGAGATGTTAAAGGCTGCAGTTCCGGTGAAAGCAGTCAACAGCACAGTCGGGTTTGAGATGTCAGCTTCTTCAGCACGTCTAGGTAGTGTTCTCAGAATCTTTGATGCTTCTGAATGAATGCATTTAATGAGATGTGACTTTCCAGTGCCAGCACCACCATTGATGTAGTAGAAAAACTGCTCTGGTTGTGGTCCACAGACTCGTTTTATGCACCAGTCTCTTACTGCATAGAACACACATGCCTGTTTCTGGTTCAGACTCTGATACATTTGTCGTAACCGTGTGGGATCGATTGTAGGGGGCTCTCTCATGACTCTGGCCTCTGTAGCAGCATTTGCTTGTCTGCTGTAATCCGGTACATCCTCTTGGACATTTTCACACTGTCTGGCATCCAGTTCATCGATACACTCCAACCTCACCAGTTCAGATTCAGGTGCCAAATTACACCATTCATCGACCACACCTCTGTTCTGTTCAAAGTCCTCGAGAGCAGAGTCAATTTCCTCACTGTTTTTTTCATATCTCTCTCTGTTTCTTTTCACAATGAGTTTCACACTCAGGGGTCGGTCAGAATACGGCAGCTGAACCACACCTCTCTCATAGAATGACTCATATGTGGGAAAATATGGTCTTTTCAGCTCATCGTCTGATCTGTATGGAAGATACAGTCTAAGCAATGTGCCGTAAAACTGCTCAGGGTATTTCTCTTTGGATATGCGGCGATACCTGATGACAGCAGCGTTGTCACTTTCTCGTCTCTGTATAAAGCCTAGTTCATTCAGCAGAGGTAACACTTTCTTGCCCTTGGTCTGTTGTCCATACACCAGTCTGCAGGTAGACGCAAAATCAGCCATGCACATCTCTTCAAACTCTGGTGATTCAGGTCTGGATTTGTACTTGTCTGTTAAGGATGTCATCCACACATTCAAGCTGTCTGGTGTTGTGTTGTCAAGGCTTGACACAGGCAGACTCATTTTCACTGGGTTGTCATCAGTTGGGACAAAAACCACACTGCGTGAACTCTTTTTCATGTTCAGTGAAGTCACTCGGGCAACAGCTTCTTGTGCTGATACTTCTCGCTTTTTGGAATACGCCTGCATGACCGCTTTCATTTCATCACATTCATTGACACATTCTCTGTCGGAGTTCTGAATGAGTGTCTGCAGGTACTGGCTCACAGAGTTCTCACTTTTACACATGTACGTACATATGTAATGGATCAGACTGTAGTAGCTGAGAATGAACTGCACATCAATGTTTGCATCCCAAGCTTTGAGCAGGTGAGGGTTGTAGGTGTTTACCCAGCAGTCTTTTGGCTCACGCTTCAGAATGATGTTGCTGGACTGACTCATCACATTCATGTGTTTCTCATACTCATCAGCGGTGAAGTCACAGACGGACAGGAGCTGTTGAAAACTCATGGATTCAGTTTGTGTCTCATTCAGCAGCTGATTCAGTGGTGCAAGTTTCTCTTTGGCTCTCTTAAGTCTCTCTGACTCCTCATCATCACCCACAGGTCTTGTTATCATTGTCTGTCTGGAGGGTGGTTTTGGGAATCCAAATCGGCATCCAGAACTTGCACTTTTGAAACATGTCTTTGAGTGGTTCTTACTGTGTATTTGCACTTCTTTGACCTTTTTGTACAGTTCAGGCTGTTTGTTTGGGTCAGGGAGCTGAGCAGAGATGTGTTTGGACACAAAGTCACACACAGTTTTGTCAGAGTCTCTCTCAAACACAGGTGCACCTTCTACCCACAAAAGACCATGTATATGAGGACTTCCTCTGTGCTGAAACTCGAGACGCCAAAAGAAGTCAAAAACTTTGCCCAGGGGTTGTGCAGGAGACATGATCAGATCTCTGTACAGTGCTTCAACACGCTTATCAAACATGCGCATCGTTGTCACAGGATTGCTTCTCAGAATGTCACACTTTGTGGACCAGTCGAGCTCTTCAAAATTCACCTCCTCACCTTGTTGTAATTTTATTGCAATAATCACCTCAGGCCAACGCATTTCTGCTGCAGAAAATGTGACAAAGAAAGTAGGACTGCCCAACTGCCTGATCATAGCAAACAGATCTTTTGTAGTTTTGTCCCAGTAGGCTGGTGTTCCTCTGAGCGGCTGCATAAATCTGATAGCATCTCTGTTTCTCACCAGTCTCTCCACTTCGTATTTGTCTCTCAACATTCTGGATGTTATTTTACGTCCGTCTCTGGTCAAAGGTTTGCCTTTGCGTAACTGTATTGACATGCTGGAGGTAGCCAAGTGTATTTCAGTCACAAACTGTGCAAAGAACAGGTAGTTGGTATCTTTGGCAAAGCGATCATCAACACCAAAGAGCCTTGCTTTAAAATAACTACTGGGTGATAGTTTCATTGGTCTGTTTTCATCCAGTGTATTCTCACCAGTGGGAAACTGAACAGGAAACGCCATGGCCTCTAGTTTGGGTGTTTTGAAAAAACTGACTGGATTGTTTCTCTCTGCTGGAGCAACTGAGTATGTAGAGTCACTGAAACACAGTATCTCCTCAGAAACATCACGTGGCTGAAGGCACGACTCCAAAACAACACCACCATTAGATATGTCTGCGTCCCGTTGTTGTGTCTGATCATCATTGTCCTGGGTCTGACTTTTATCACACAGCTCTGTGTTTTCATCCTCATTTTCAACATTAGTTTCAGCGTCATGCATGGCAGCAGCCTCAATTCTATCAATTTCCATCAAATCCTCATCATCATAGTCGTCATCATTCATTGTGTTATCATCATCATCCTCATCCTCATCCTCATCCTCATCACCATCATCAGGAAGTGTGGGGTCACATAACTCCTCCTCATCTCTAATAGTGATGTCTTCATACTGGGGGTGTATCTCTTTCAGTTTATGCAGAGCCTGCACTAGCTTGGACCAGGTAACAGTCTGAAACAGATGGTGACCTCTGTAACTCAAACGTCTCTTCAGTTTTACTCTCATCACCTGAGACTCATTTCTCAATCTGGGTAGAGCCTGAATTGTTTCCTGGACTTCAGAGGGAACACATACAACATTACCATGTATAGCTCTCTGTCTGCCTTTGGGAAGAGGAATGATTTTGGCAAATGTTATGCACTTTGCTATCAGATGTCTCTCCAGTATGTTGAGGTCACACAGCTCAGGTGGTATGTCAGCAAGCTCCAAGTTGTTTGCTATGGCAAGTTTGGGCATGGATCCATTTTTCAGATGGTCATGGCAGGTGTGACAAATCCACTCAGTCTTTCTCTCATCAGGGACAGTGCACTGATTTCTGCAGTTATCATTACACTCATGGACGTACTGACCTTTGAGACAAGCTGAAACCAAGACTGGATTTTTCACATAGTTGGACCTCTTGCACTTTTGTACCTGGTTTGGAAATGAGGCTTTGTGGCAAACTGTGCAAACATGGGTGGGACCAGCTTTAATGTGGGATCGGAAATCATTTATGGCACTTTCAATAAGTGGGTTTTCACTCTCTCTGTCAGTCTCACATGTTTGTCTACTTATCTGTTTGTATTTCTTTGATATTTTCAATGCACACCTCATTTTATGGATAGTCCTGTATGCAAGATTTGTCTTATACCTGTCTCGCATAATTTGTCTCATCAGTTGTCTGTGTCGGTGATGGAATATTTCATCGTTTGCATATCGATAATTGACACATAATCGCTGTCTTTGCCTGAAATTAACGTCCTCTGAGTATTTTCTCCTGATATATTCTTTTTGTCTGCCTTTGAATTCAACATTTTCTCTGTATTTTCTTGTTATACCTAATTTTTGCTTCAGTCTGAAGTCTGTGCTTTCCCTGTATTTAGTTGTGATTTTTTGTCTTTTCTTTGTCTGTATTTCAGGATTGACAGAATATTTCTCACTTGAATAAGACTTTTTCTTTGCTTTGTATGTTTCATCCTTAGCATACTTTTTTCTCTCTTTCATTTTTTTATCCTCTTTCCCTTGTGATGTCTTTTCAGAGGCCATTAGTCTCCTCTTATATTTTTTCCTTTGTTCTTTGTTCAGTTTTGACAGCTTAATGGAGATGTCATGAAGGACATTGTCACTGGCAACAGGTATATTTATTAATGGTTGAGTCAAATTTGATTGAATCTCCTGAGTTTCCTTTAATGTGACAGAATTATTGCTGATCTGACCTTGTTGATGAGCTTGTTTTTCCGTCAGGGTTGAGACATTCTGTGATGTGTCATGAGAGTCATCACGTACAGTAGTGTTCATCTCTGGAGCAAGAGAGTCAGGTCCAGCTGATGTGACAGAACACTGGCTGAAGTCGATCAGTGGTTCTGGTTCAGTTTCCATGTCACATTCAGTGTTTCCATGGACATCGGTGTTCATCTGTAGAGCAGACGGACTTTCTGTGGCAGGGAAAGCATCATTTGGGTTCACATCATGAAACACAACTGGCTTAAGCTCATAGCGACAGGACGCTGCTGTGCCCAATATGTGGTGATACCTGATGAGCCTGGCAATCATGTCACTGAGGCGTGTGAATGTTACCATGACAGCAGTACCAGGAGTAGGTGTGGCCTGAAGCAGAGGCAAACCGTTAGCTGTCCTAGCATGTGGGTCAAAGAAACCGTACCTGCCATCTCTGGTTCTGAAAACTGCAATGCACAGTGAAGTCATTAACAGCAAAGCATACTGCACATCTGATAATAAGCAGCTCAGTCCTGAAACGAGGTCCAGAAAGGTATCAACAGCTCCGGGATCCGGATCTCCAAACGTACCGTATCTAGACAGCTGTAACATGTCAACACTCTGCGTGTGTCTGCGTGCAGGAACCTGGTGAGGGAGCTCATCGGTTGTCAGAAAGTTGTGATCACGAACAGTTTTTCTGACTTCTCTGTACATCACATCACCTTTATCCAAAACACGGTCCAGGTCTGCTCTGGTGATGTGTTCGCTCTCATACAGGAATGCTAGAAATGTCAGTGAGTTACAGGTGCACTGCTGGTTTCTGGATTGGCCATATTTCAGAGACGCTTGGCTGCGTGACGCACAGACACTTAGTTCACCTGACTGACTAACAGCGTTCACATTTCTTACCTGAGAAGAGCCTGATACAGACTTATAATTACTGTGGTTTCCCTTTTTAACAGTGTCTGTATATGGTACCTGGGTTGAAAATGGCTTGTCAGTTTGGGTTATGCGGTTTATATGAACAGAGTTGGATGGACTGGGAGTGCATGATACACTAGGAAGTTTTCTCTTCAACATGTCTGCATATGTTACCTGTTGTACACCTGGATCATTAGTTTCACCTCTGTGGTTTACCTGTTCAGAGTTAGACGGACCTGCTGCAGGTGACTCACTTAAACGTCTCCTCTTAAGCTTGTCTGCATGAGATACCTGTGATTGACATGACGCACTTTGACCTCCCTGTTTCACAGCATCAGATACTTCAGACCCCTTTACCTCTCCACTGCTCTGAGGAATACCATCTGCTTGTCCAGTACTCACATGGTCAATGTCATGAAACCTCTGCCAGCGCTGGCTTGCAACCTGTGACCTCTTACTCTTCCTCGGCATTGTAGCTGTCCTTTCACAACAATGTGTTTATTCAACAATTTAAAGTTAATGATAAGCACCAGTATAGACAAAATGCTTTATTTCTTAAAGAGAGGAGGTTATTTAACAGCTCTTATAGTCTCCAAAATATCTAATATAAAACTGTGTGTATACCACAATAGTTTATCAAATGTTTTAAAAGAAAATCCTTGACAAGACTATATAAATGTTTTCAGAAAAAACACAAATCAACAATTTTGTAAATCTTAGAACTTTGTACTTGAAATAATATGTAACTCAAATATTCTATATGAAAAGTGTTTATTTTTTTCTTTCAAAATCAGGGACGCAGATGTGGTGGTGCTGATGACACTTCTGGTGAAACTCTGGATCCACAGACAGGAAAGGAAAACCTAGAACAACAATCAGACTTGTGCAAAATTAGGGATTTTTTTTCAAAACAGTGGTTGTATTAAATGTACAGCTTTTCAAAAGTTTGGTTTCTCAAAAAAAGGTAGATTTTATAAAAAGGTTTCTCAAAAAATTTTGATTTGCTACAATAGGTCTCAATGATTTGTTACAATAGGCCTCAATGATTTGTTAAAATAGGTCTCAATGATTTGTTACAATAGGCCTCAATGATTTGTTACAATAGGTCTCAATGATTTGTTACAATAGGCCTCAATGATTTGTTTCAATGGTATCAAAGATTTGTTTCAATGGCATCAAAGATTTGTTTCAATGGCATCAAAGATTTGTTTCAATGGTATCAAAGATTTATTCAAGGATTGTATCAGTAGCCAGAGTGGGATAGAAGGGGGATAGAAAGACAGAGTGGCTTTTCAATCAGACAGAGCGGTAGAGGAGACAGGAAAGACAGAGCGACCAAAATGATAGGGGAGAGTGGGGAGACTGGGGAGACTGGACAGGATACCTGTAAGACACAATGGAAAAAAACATTAATCTTTTATTAAAGAAATAAAATTAAATGAACCAACATCCACCCAAAGCTTATCACATTATAATGTGCTTTTACTCAACCCACCAAGTGGCTGCCCTCAACTATGCATCTATCAAAAGTCAAGTTGAGTCAAAAGCTGGAAGTGACCATTGTCTTGTTCGATAACCCCTCAATCAAGTTCATAAGGACTAAAAATCCAAAGTGTTCATAAGAGTTAATTAAAACTTTAGAATACGAAGAACTTCATATGTGAATCATAGCACACTGTCTTATTCCTGAAAGTGTCATTCCTGTGTGAACTTACGTCGAGTCGCCACAGAGCGGTCTGCACTTGGACAGGACAGGGGAGAGTGGGGAGAGTGGGGAGACTGGACAGGATACCTGTAAGACACAATGGAAAAAAACATTAATCTTTTATTAAAGAAATAAAATTAAATGAACCAACATCCACCCAAAGCTTATCACATTATAATGTGCTTTTACTCAACCCACCAAGTGGCTGCCCTCAACTATGCATCTATCAAAAGTCAAGTTGAGTCAAAAGCTGGAAGTGACCATTGTCTTGTTCGATAACCCCTCAATCAAGTTCATAAGGACTAAAAATCCAAAGTGTTCATAAGAGTTAATTAAAACTTTAGAATACGAAGAACTTCATATGTGAATCATAGCACACTGTCTTATTCCTGAAAGTGTCATTCCTGTGTGAACTTACGTCGAGTCGCCACAGAGCGGTCTGCACTTGGACAGGACAGAGTTGGCAAAAAGGAAAATGGAAAAATTGAGATAAGAGAGTTTTAGTTTAATTGTAGAAAACCAGCACATCTCACTGCATTGCAGTTTCAACCGTAATCAGCCGGCAAAATTAATTGTTATTTAAAATTGTTTGTGTTACAATGAAAATGTGTTGCAGTTTGTCAAATAAGAACATAATGTCAGGTTTTTACATGATATGTTTAAAAAAGTAACAGTGTAAACATTTTTAAGTTACTTTATTTGTGAACTTACAGCTGAGTCGCCAACAGTAAATAGGGCCAGCAGTAGAGATAGCATCGAGTTCAGGAGAGAAAAGACAGGGACAAAAAATAAATAAATTTAGTTGCAAAAAAAATCAGCATCTTATAGTTTACTGCAATCACAACTTTTCACTGTGTATCATTACTTTTCTCATTTCTTATCAAAGTCTACAATTTGTGGCATTTGATTAGTAAAAGGATGTTACTGCAGCTCCCTTGGCCTGTAAAAAATGTTTGTTACAATGGAGAGAAAATGCACAAACACAATGAAGGACCTCTTCACTTTTTACTTTCTTATGCAAGTCATTGAGGTGAAATACAAAACAGTGAAATATAATTATAAACTGCAGAGCAAAAATGTAACATTTAAGTGATTGCCCAGTAAGTATATATATATATATACCATGAGGTCCATAAATATTGGGACGTCAACACAATTCTCATCTCTCTGGCTGTAAACACCACCACATTGGATTTGAACTGAAACAAACATGGTGTGCTTTGACTGCAGACATTCAGCTTTAATTTAAGGGTATTTACATCCAAATCAGGTGCACGGTGTAGGGCAAAGAAGTGGAATGTTATGAAATGGCCAAGTCAATCACCTGACCTGAATCCGTTTGAGCATGCCTTTCACTTGCTGAAGATAAAACTGAAGAGAAAATGCACCAAGAACAAGCAGGAACTGAAGACAGTTGCAGTCGAGGCCTGGCAGAGCAACACTAGGGGTGAAACCCAGCGTCTGGTGTATCTATGCGTCCGGTGTATCTATGCGTCCTGGACAGCAAAGGATTTGCAACCATATATTGAAAAGTGAAAGTTTGATGTATGATTTTTGGTTTGTCCCAATACTTTTGGTCCCTTAAAAAGTGAGAGGCACATATAGAAACTGTTTTAATTCCTACACTTTTCACCTAATGTGGATGTAAATAACCATATATTAAAGCTGAATGTCTGCAGTCAAAGCACATCTTGTTTATTTCATTTAAAGTCAACTGTGGTGGTGTTTACAGCCAAAGAGATGAGTATTATGTTGATGTCCCAATATTTATGGACCTGACTGTAAGCGTGAACTTACACTTCAGAGTTGGTAGGGATTTTCGCCCAGGTCAGAGGACAAGTTGAGGCAGGAGGAGGGGGAGAGGGAGGGAAAGAGATTTTTTAATACACTAAAAAAAACACTTCATTCAAAATTTATCTGAATGATTTTCGCACTTAATTATTGTCACAATCAAGATTCAGACTTTCGCCAGCATTTTTTAAATAAATTAGTTCAGTAGTGTAGTAATATTGTTAGCACACTATTGTCTTCTAGGAAAAAACTGTATCCCATCTTTGATTTTCATATAGGATATACAACAGTGTTACAGATAGATCAACATTTCGTATAAATTTAAACTCAGTACTTGAAAAATGCATCATATGTTGTAGATTATCTTGAATGACATGTTGTTAAACAGGATTAAGCTAATCATTAATCCAGTTATTTTTATTTTGTTTGTTGTCAGTCTTGGTCAAAACACTTATACTTACCAACAAATGCACTGGTGAGGATGTTCTTCTGTTTGTTTGAGACAAGAAACAATACATTAGTGTTGTCTGACAGATAGTACATTAAAAACAATAGGCCTATAAAGAAAACTAACATTATTACAGTAGTTGGGCTAATTGAAAACTAAACAGCTACAACAGATCACCTGGCTGTTAGCTGCAGCTGAAAATGTCACACATAATACATACTGTATTAAAGTATATACACCTCAGATAAAGTATCTTTGCTGTGGTGTTAGCACATCACCAATATCCAAATTAACAGCTTGTTATCAAAAGAAAAGAAGGTACAGTAGAAGGTGAAGTTCAGTAGCAGCCAGCAAGACAGAGACAGACCAGGAGCAGGTTCACCAATTTCAAGGCAGCTGACTCTCCATCCATCAACTCAATATTAAGATAAGAACTTTATTGATCCCTAAAGGGAAATTCAACTGGAATATATTTATTAATTGGAACTTTGTATTGTTAAACATTAAATACTGAATTAATTTTACGTTTTGCAACGTAAATATCTCTATCATCCCCATCATGAATACAACCTTCAATAACAGAGGACCATCTAGGTCCATTCTGACACATAAAATAAGGAAAACCACTCACATTTGTGCTATACCTGGATGCTTGCTAAATGCAGCCTATGTTTTAATACATCTACAATGGCTGATAACAAGTGACCAGGAGCTAAACAGCTGACGTCTCCAGACCAGTTCCCCAGCAATGACTCAGTCACAGTAATGAACTGAACTTGTAGCAATGGCGCTAGCATCATTAGTTAGCTAGTTAGTCAGTTAATACTTGACAATATGAGTATTCTTGTCAGTCCCATTGTCAGTGAACTCCACAGCCTGTACATCATTTGGCATGCTTTATAGTACCACAGCGGCTTACATATTCACTTTATTTTGTGCTCAGCTGGCTAATGATTCAGCCTCACAGCTGAAGGTATGTTAGCTTTAACGTTAGCTCGACGCTAGCGGCGCTAACTCGACGCTAGCGGCGCTAACTCGACGCTAACAGCGTTGGCGTATGCTTTTTCAACTCATTATCTCGACCACTTCAATCATGAATGAACTCTTCTTTGATTATAACTCAAACCAGTGCCATTTGAACCGTTAAATCACCGTTTGAAGTGTTCAGAAGTTAGAGAGACTGTGCTCTGACTCACCTTCGTCGAGGTCGGAGAAGGATAGCGCGAGCCACCAGTGAGTGACGGTAGAAATGTTTGAGGCGTTCAGGGACACTCGGAAATGTCATACTTCACACCACGGAAAGGCAGTGGTTCAATCAATTCATTTTAATTGTTTTCTGGTACTAATAGTAGCAAGACTAGTTGAAGTAGAAGTGATATAAGTAGTAGTTGTAGAAGTGGAAGTGGGATTTTGTTTAAAGAATTGAAATATGCATGAATAGTAAAAATGATTTAAAGTGGGGAAAATATAACTAAAAAAAAAACCTAAAGTATTAGAAAGGTTTGAAGAATCAGAGAGGTTTAAATAAGAATGAGTTTAAATTTGTTAGAAGAATTGAATAATGCATAAATAATGAGAATGATTTTAAATTAAGGACAATTTAAATGAATAGAAATCCTCCGTAGACTCCATAATGTCCTCAATGAGCTGAATTTTTGAAGCCCTAAATGTCTCTGTATCTCAAAGTTTGTGAGAGAAGATAGGTGGTGAAGCAGACACATGGTCAAAGTATGTTTAGGTCTCATAGACAGAGAGAGACTCACGCATGCACATAATTACTGTGTGTACATGAAGGTCTCATAGAGAGAAAGAGGCTGAAGCACACACATTGTCAGACTGTGTGTGGATGTCTCGTTAATGATTTAATCCTAAACAGCTGTGAGATCAAAAGCATTACCTGACCTACTGTTTGAATGAGAAGCAGCTGAACTGCAGAGGCTTTAAAGCATCTGAACTTCTTCACATAGCGGGATTTCCTTAAATCCCAGAATGAAAATAAGAACATCTTACGAATCCTCCGCCCTTCATGAACACAATGATGTGTTTTTCATGTCTGTACTCCGAAAAATGTGGCCACAACAGCGAGTTAAAAAAGTCTGAGCCTGAGTGACGATAAGGATTTTCTTGGAGAAGAAATACATTAGGTCTAATGGGAGAGATTTCTGCCTTTTTTGGACAGTTGGTCACCTGCTGGCCAAGGGGTAGGATTTAATGATTTGAAACCTCTTTTGTGAGAAGCAGGACACATATACCTCCATTTTGATGTATTTTTTATGGCTGTGGAGTGAGATTTGTGGGCGTGGGAGCGATATATTTGAGCAAGGTTCTGTCGATCAGAGACGAGCTCTGCACTCTAGCTGATGACATCATCACTCTAAACTCTCCAATACACACCCATTATAAAGCTTGAAATTTGCTGAAAACCACAAGTTGCATAAAGCCAAATTGTGGAAAAACTGTAAAAGATATCAAAAAACTGAGTACAACTGTAATAGTCGACAAGTGAATGAACATTTTAAAGCAAAAATGAGGTCTCTAGGTGAAAGTATGCTGAAGTTATAAGGCTTTGAAGGTGGAAGAATAAAAGGAAGAATTGGAAGATTTCCCCATTGACTTCAATGTTAAAATTTTTGCACAAAAAGTTAAAAAAAACAAAAAGTATAAATGTTAGAAAAGTGAAAAGTAATAGCAAACGTGTCCTGAAGGAGTGGAATAGTTTAAAGTTTGAACGGTTGAAATCGCACAAACTGGGAAGGAGTTGAAAGCGGACGAAAAACGGCGGAAGAATAATAATAACTAGAAAAATTGCATTTCCTTGCAGAAAATGCGTGGAAATGCTGAGTGCTGAAAGCTGAAAAAGCAATGCTAAACTGCTAATAAAACATGGAGAAAGGTATAAATGTTAAAGCTGTTGAAGGGGTGAGAAAGAAATGTAAGTTGGATAATTGATTAATTGGTTGAAGGACAAATAGTATGAATATGCTCTATAAAAGGAAATTCTATTCATGCTGAAAGAGGCTAGAAAAATGTCTAAAATTGCACAAAGTTTGAATGAAGAAGGAAATTGCCTTAAAAGGCAGGAAGGTGAGAAGTGGTATAAGTTTAAGTTGTAGTACTAGAAGTAGTATGATAAGAAGTCAAGTAGTGATACTAGTAGTCATGTCAGCAGTATAAGTTGTTTGAGAATAAAAGAAGTCAAAGTAGTAAACACCCCATAATGTCCTCAATGAGCTTAAATGTTAAAGCCCTGAATGGTTTCTGTAGGTCAAAGGTCATGTGAGGAGATAGGGGCTGAAGTTTTTTCAAGCGCTCTAGGAAGGGTTTTAAGTGTCATCCCCAGTCCTATGTGTACTGAGCTTGGCTTCATGTGTCTCATATGGCCATTAGAAGCAGCTTTCCAGTCAGCTGTGTGTCTCCAGGTGCACAAATTGGTTGCCATGGGGACCTTGGATGCATAACTATAGCAGGAGAAAGAAGGCTTAAAGCTAAGGAAACAGGACTCCAAGTAGGCCCTGACGCTCACCCTCTGTATATATTCATAAGGAGCTTGTGAGAACACAAGACTCTGCTGAACACATTAATACAATTTATTATCACAATCTTCAAAACACCCCATAATATCTTCAATGAGCTGAATTTTAGAAGCCCAGAATGGTTTCTGTAGCTCAAAGTTTGTGGGTGGAGATAGGTGGCGAAGCAGACACATATTAAATGTGTGTACAAGCAGCTGAACTGCAAGGTAGACCTCACAAAGCAACAAGTACAAGAATGTGTGTTTGTGTGTGTGTGTGTGTGTGTGTGTGTGTGTGTGTGTGTGTGTGTGTTTGTGTGTGTGTGTGTGTGTGTGTGTGTGTGTCTCGTTAATGATTGCATCCTAAACAGCTGTAAGATCAAAGCCATGAACTGACCCACTGTTTGAATGGAGAAGCTGCTGAACTGCAGTGAATTTAGGGTTCTGAACTTCTTCACATAGCACGATTTCCTTAAGTCCCAGAATGAAAATAAGAACATCGTACAAATCCTCCGCCCTTCATGAACACAATGATGTGTTTTTCATGTCTGTACTCCGAAAAATGTGGCTACAACAGCGAGTTAAAAAAGTCTGAGCCTGAGTGGCGATAAGGATTTTCTTGGAGAAAAAATACATTAGAGCCAATGGGGAGAGATTTCCGCCTATCTGGACAGTTGGTCACCTGCTGGCCAAGGGGTAGGATTTAATGATTTGAAACCTCTTTTGTGAGAAGCAGGACACATATACCTCCATTTTGATGTATTTTTTATGGCTGTGGAGTGAGATTTGTGGGCGTGGGAGCGATATATTTGAGCGAGGTTCTGTCGATCAGAGACGAGGTCTGCACTCTAGCTTTTCAAATCATCACTCTAGCCTCTCCAATACACCCCCATTATAAAGCCTGAAAATTTGCTGAAAACCACGAGGTGCTTCAAGCTAAATTGGGGGAAAACTGTAGAAGATAGCACAAAAAAGTTAATACAACATCAATAGTCGACAAGACAATGAACATTTTAAAGCAAAAATGAGACATCTAGGTGAAAGTATGCTGAAGTTATAAGGCTTAGAAGGTGGAAGAAGAAAAAGAAGAATTGGAAGATTTCCCCATTCATTTCTATGGGAAAAAAAGTTTGAAACAAAAAGTGAAAAATAATAAAAAGTATAAAGGGTAGAAAAGAGAAAAGTAATAGCCATCATGTCCCGATGGAGTGTAATAGTTTAAAGTTTGAACGGTTGAAATCGGACAAAGTTTGAAGGAGGAGAAGCGGTCCAAAGAAACGTATGGGGAGAGTGTTAAGTATAATACTAGAAAAATTGCATTTCCTTGCAGAAAATGCGTGGAAATGCTGAGTGCTGAAAGCTGAAAAAGCAATGCTAAACTGCTAATAAAACATGGAGAAAGGTATAAATGTTAAAGCTGTTGAAGGGGTGAACAGAAATATAAGTTGGATAATTGATTAATTGGTTGAAGGACAAATAGTATGAATATGCTCTATAAAAGGAAATTTTATTCATGCTGAAAGAGGCTAGAAAAATGTCTAAAATTGCACAAAGTTTGAATGAAGAAGGAAATTGCCTTAAAAGGCAGGAAGGTGAGAAGTGGCATAAGTTTAATTTTTTAAGTATTAGAAAGGTTTGAATCAGTTTGAATCAGTTCAAATTAGTTTGAAAAATTAAATGATAAATCATCACTGAGTGACTTTAAAATGTGAAAAATCTAAATGTATATAAATCCTAAATACACCCCCTAATGTCCTCAATGAGCTCAAATTTTAAAGCCCTGAATGGTTTCTGTAGGTCAAAGGTCATGTGAGGAGATAGGGGCTGAAGTTTTTTCAAGCGCTCTAGTAAAGGGTTTTAAGTGTCATCCCCAGTGCTATGTGTGCTGAGCCTAGCTTCATGTATCTCATATGGCCATTAGAAGCAGCTTTCCAGTCAGCTGTGTGTCTCCAGGTGCACTAATTGGTTGCCATGGGGACCTTGGATGCATAACTATAGCAGGAGAAAGAAGGCTTGAAGCTAAGGAAACAGGACTCCAAGTAGGCCCTGACACTCATCCTCTGTATCTATTCCTGATAAGGAGCTTGTGAGAACACAAGACTCTGCTAAACACATTAATACAATTTATTATCACAATCCTCAAAACACCCCATAATATCTTCAATGAGCTGAATTTTAGAAGCCCAGAATGGTTTCTGTAGCTCAAAGTTTGTGGGTGGAGATAGGTGGCGAAGCAGACACATATTAACTGTGTGTACAAGCAGCTGAACTGCAAGGTAGACCTCATAAAGCAACAAGTACAAGAATGTGTGTGTGTGTGTGTGTGTGTGTGTCGTTAATGACTGCATCCTAAACAGCTGTGAGATCAAAGGCAAATCACTGACCTACTGTTTGAATGAGAAGCAGCTGAACTGCAGAGGATTTAGAGGCTCTAAACTTCTTCACATAGCGTGTTTTCCTTAAGTCACAGAATGAAAATAAGAACATCGTACGAATCCTCCGCCCTTCATGAACACAATGATGTCTTTTTCATGTCTGTACTTCGAAAAATGAGGCCACAACAGCGAGTTAAAAAAGTCTGAGCCTGAGCGATGATCCGGATTTTCTTGGAGAAAAATAACATTATGGTCAATGGGAGAGATTTCCGCCTTTTTTGGACAGTTGGTCACCTGCTGGCCAAGGGGTAGGATTTAATGATTTGAAACCTCTTTTGTGAGAAGCAGGACACATATACCTCCATTTTGATGTATTATTTGTGTCAGTGGAGTGAGATTTGTGGGCGTGGGAGCGATATATTCGAGCGAGGTTCTGTCGATCAGAGACGAGGTCTGCACTCTAGCTGATGACATCATCACTCTAAACTCTCCAATACACACCCATTATAAAGCTTGAAATTTGCTGAAAACCACAAGTTGCTTAAAGCTAAATTGTGGAAAAACTGTAAGAGATATCAAAAAACTGAGTACAACTATAATAGTCGACAAGTGAATGAACATTTTAAAGCAAAAATGAGGTCTCTAGGTGAAAGTATGCTGAAGTTATAAGGTCTAGAAGGTGGAAGAATAAAAGGAAGAATTGGAAGATTTCCCCATTGACTTCAATGTTAAAATTTTTGCACAAAAAGTTAAAAAAAACAAAAAGTATAAATGTTAGAAAAGTGAAAAGTAATAGCAAACGTGTCCTGAAGGAGTGGAATAGTTTAAAGTTTGAACGGTTGAAATCGCACAAACTGGGAAGGAGTTGAAAGCGGACGAAAAACGGCGGAAGAATAATAATAATAATAATAATAATAATAATAAAGAAACGGGAGAATAACAATAAGTGGAAATGCCTATCAGCATTTCCACTTAACTAGAAAAATTGCATTTCCTTGCAGAAAATGCGTGGAAATGCTGAGTGCTGAAAGCTGAAAAAGCAATGCAAAACTGCCAATAAAAAATGGAGGAAGGTATAAACGGAAAAACTGTAGAAAAGGTGGAGTAGAAGAAGAAGAAATTGTATGAATGGAAGAATTGTAGTATAGCTGGAGGTAAATTAGTTGGATTAATGTACAAATTGTCTGATAGCCTAAGTGAAAAATGTATATGATTGATGTGAATAAACAGAACTGATATGGATAATTGAATTTGAAAAACAAATGCCTTTAAACAATGTTTAACAATGTTCCTATTAAATGTACAAATAGTAAAACAGATTTTTGCAGTCTGCAGCATCCAACCATAGTAACTTGAGAATGCAGAACAGCACCATCTATTGCCCTGCTTCAGTTACTGCCCTACATCTGAATGCAGAAAGTATGAAACAGCTGAAGTTAAATTAATTGTATAAATGTAGAAAGTATAGAAAAGAAAAGCAGAAGTAGAAGAAAAAGAAGAAGTTAGTATGTTAAAAGAGTTAAAGACAAGAATGCACACATGGAAACAGTGTGTGTGTGTGTGTGTGTGTGTGTGTGTGTGTGTGTGTGCCCGCGCGCGCGCGCGGCCGAGCCCGTGCGTGTGCATATGCGTGTGTGATCGAAGCACACAGCCCATGACAAGTGCAGAATCTGACAGAGACAGTAAGAGAGAAAGAGACACAGTAATGCACTCATGGAAACAGTGTGTGTGTATGTGTGTGTGCCCGCGCGCGCACGAGCGGCCAAGTCCGTGCGTGTGCGATCGAAGCAGACAGCCCATGACAAGTGCAGAATCTGACAGAGAGATAGTAAGAGAGACAGCAATGCACTCATGGAAACAGTGTGTGTGTGTGTGTGTGTGTGTGTGTGTGTGTGTGTGTGTGTGTGTGTGTGCCCGCGCGCGCACGAGCGGCCGAGTCCGTGCGTGTGCGATCGAAGCACACAGCCCATGACAAGTGCAGAATCTCTGGCTCTGAAGGAATGTACTCACCTCCTGGGCAAGCTGTACAATTTCATGACTTCAGACCGATTTTGTGAGAAGCAGGACGAGTGTACCTCCATTTTGATGTGTTTTTTATGGCTGTGGAGTGAAAATTGCGGCCGCAGCAGCAAAATAATCATGCTTGGTGTAGTGAATCCAAAAGGCCCCGCCCGCATCTAGCGGTGACGTAACATCTGACGTCACACGCTGTAGCGTGAGTCAGGCTGAAAAAGGCAGAGAACTTCATGTTGCTCCAAGCGAAATTGTGCAAAAACGGTAGGAAATAGCAAAAAGGAGTGAATACAACATTTGTAGCAGACACGTTGCTGAACATTTTAAAGCAAAAATGAGGTCTGTAGGTGAAAGTATGCAGAAGTTATAAGGGTGAGAAGGTGTTATAGCTGTATCTCCATTCATTTGTAATGGAACAAATTTTGCAGAAAAAGTGAAATATTGCAAAAAGTATAAATGGTAGAAAGGTGAAAAGTAATAGCCGTAATGTCCTGAAGGAGTGCATTAGTATAAAGTTTGAATGGTGAAAATAGCACAAAGTGGTGAGGAGTTGAAAAGGGCCAAAAAAGGTACGGAAGAATAATAATAATAAAGAAATAGTAGAATAACAATAAGTGGAAATGCTGTGTCAGCATTTCCACTTAACTAGAAAAATTGCATTTCCTTGCAGAAAATGCGTGGAAATGCTGAGTGCTGAAAGCTGAAAAAGCAATGCTAAACTGCTAATAAAACATGGAGAAAGGTATAAATGTTAAAGCTGTTGAAGGGGTGAACAGAAATATAAGTTGGATAATTGATTAATTGGTTGAAGGACAAATAGTATGAATATGCTCTATAAAAGGAAATTTTATTCATGCTGAAAGAGGCTAGAAAAATGTCGAAAATTGCACAAAGTTTGAATGAAGAAGGAAATTGCCTTAAAAGGTAGGAAGGTGAGAAGTGGCATAAGTTTAAATTGTAGTACTAGAAGTAGTATTATAAGAAGTCAAGTCGTGATACTAGTAGTCATGTCAGCAGTAGAAGTAGATTGAGAATAAAAGAAGTATAAGTCAAAGTAGTAAAGAAAGTAGAAATAGGAGCAATAGCAGTTGAAGTAGAGGGGAAAGTACTAGTTTAATTGACATTAGCAGTAGTTGTCGTACTTGAGGTAGGATTTTGTTTGAATGATGGAGTAATGCATAAATATTAAAACTAATTTAAAACAGGGAAATTTTAAATTATCAAAAGTCCTCAAGTATCAGAAAGTTTTGAAGTATTAGAAAGGTTTGAATCAGTTTGAATGAGTTTAAATTAGTTTGAAAAATTAAATGATAAATCATCACTGACTGACTTTTAAAATGTGAAACATTTAAATGAATAACAATCCTAAATACACCCAATAATGTCCTCAATGAGCTTAAATTTCAAAGCCCTGAATGGTTTCTGTAGGTCAAAGGTCATGTGAGGAGATAGGGGCTGAAGTTTTTTCCAACGCTCTAGGAAAGCGTTTTAAGTGTCATCCCAATTGCTATGTGTACTGAGCCTGGCTTCATGTGTCTCATATGGCCACTAGAAGCAGCTTTCCAGTCAGCTGTGTGTCTCCAGGTGCACAAATTGGTTGCCATGGGGACCTTGGATGCATAACTATAGCAGGAGAAAGAAGGCTTGAAGCTAAAGAAACAGGACTCCAAGTAGGCCCTGACGCTCACCCTCTGTATATATTCATAAGGAGCTTGTGAGAACACAAGACTCTGCTGAACACATTAATACAATTTATTATCACAATCCTCAGAACACCCCATAATATCTTCAATGAGCTGAATTTTTGAAGCCCAGAATGGTTTCTGTAGCTCAAAGTTTGTGGGTGGAGATAGGTGGTGAAGCAGACACATATTAACTGTGTGTACAAGCAGCTGAACTGCAAGGTGGACCTCAAAAAGCAACAAGTACAAGAATGTGTGTGCGTGTGTGTGTGTGTGTGTCGTTAATGACTGCATCCTAAACAGCTGTGAGATCAAAGGCAAATCACTAACCAACTGTTTGACTGAGAGGTGCTGAACTGCAGTGAATTTCAGCCTGTGAACTTCTTCACATAGCGTGATTTCCTTAAGTCCCAGAATGAAAATAAGAACATCGTACGAATCCTCCGTCCTTCATGAACACAATGATGTGTTTTTCATGTCTGTACTTCGAAAAATGAGGCCACAACAGCGAGTTAAAAAAGTCTGAGCCTGAGCGATGATCCGGATTTTCCTGGAGAAAAATAACATTATGGTCAATGGGAGAGATTTCCGCCTTTTTTGGACAGTTGGTCACCTGCTGGCCAAGGGGTAGGATTTAATGATTTGAAACCTCTTTTGTGAGAAGCAGGACACATATACCTCCATTTTGATGTATTATTTGTGTCAGTGGAGTGAGATTTGTGGGCGTGGGAGCGATATATTCGAGCGAGGTTCTGTCGATCAGAGACGAGGTCTGCACTCTAGCTGATGACATCATCACTCTAAACTCTCCAATACACACCCATTATAAAGCTTGAAATTTGCTGAAAACCACAAGTTGCTTAAAGCTAAATTGTGGAAAAACTGTAAAAGATATCAAAAAACTGAGTACAACTTTAATAGTCGACAAGTGAATGAACATTTTAAAGCAAAAATTAGGTCTCTAGGTGAAAGTATGCTGAAGTTAAAAGGTCTAGAAGGTGGAAGAGGAAAAGGTAGATTTTAAGATTTCCCCATTCATTTTTAATGGTACAAATTTTGCACAAAAAGTTAAAAAAAACAAAAAGTATAAAGGGTAGAAAGGAAAAAAATAGACGCCATAATGTCCTGAATGAGTGGAATAGTTTAAAGTTTGAACGGTTGAAATCGGACAAAGTTTGAAGGAGGAGAAGCGGTCCAAAAATCGGCGGAAGAATAATAATAAGTTTAATAAAGAAACAGGAGAATAACAATAAGTGGAAATGCTTAATCAGCATTTCCACTTAATAAAGAAACGGGAGAATAACAATAAGTGGAAATGCTTAATCAGCATTTCCACTTAACTAGAAAAATTGCATTTCCTTGCAGAAAATGCGTGGAAATGCTGAGTGCTGAAAGCTGAAAAAGCAATGCTAAACTGCTAATAAAACAAGGAGAAAGGTATAAATGTTAAGGCTGTTGAAGGAGTGAAAAAGAAATATAGGTTGGACAATTGTTTAATTGGTTGAAGGACAAATAGTATGAATATGCTCTATAAAAGGAAATTTTATTCATGCTGAAAGAGGCTAGAAAAATGTCTAAAATTGCACAAAGTTTGAATGAAAAAGGAAATTGCCTTAAAAGGCAGGAAGGTGAGAAGTGGAATAAGTTTAAGTTTTTATGTATTAGAAAGGTTTGAATCAGTTTGAATCAGTTTAAATTAGTTAGAAAAATTAAATGATAAATCATCACCGAGTGACTTATAAAAGTGAAAAATTTAAATGAATATAAATCTGAATACACTCCATAGTGTCCTCAATGAGCTTAAATTTTAAAGTCCTGAATGGTTTCTGTAGGTCAAAGGTCATGTGAGGACATAGGGGCTGACGTTTTTTCAAACGCTCTAGGAAAGGGTTTTAAGTGTCATCCCCAGTGCTATGTGTACTGAGCTTGGCTTCATGTGTCTCATATGGCCATTAGAAGCAGCTTTCCAGTCAGCTGTGTGTCTCCAGGTGCACTAATTGGTTGCCATGGGGATGATAGATGCATCAGTACAGCAGGAGAAAGGAGGCTTGAAGCTAAGAAACAAATGCTCTAACGCACTCACATAGTTACTGTGTACATGCAGTTGTCATAGGCAGAGACACACGCACACACATTGTCAGACTGTGTGTGAGTGTGTCTCGTTAATGATGGCCTACTCTTTGAATGAGAAGCAGCTGAACTGCAGTGAATTTACGGCCTCTGAACTTCTTCACATAGCGTGATTTCCTTAAATCCCAGAATCAAAATAAGAACATTGTACGAATCCTCCGCCCTTCATGAACACAATGATGTGTTTTTCATGTCTGTACTCCAAAAAATGTGGCCACAACAGCGAGTTAAAAAAGTCTGAGCCTGAGTGACGATCAGGATTTTATTGGAGAAAAATTACATTAGGGCTAATGGGAGAGATCTCCGCCTATTTGGACAGTTGGTCACCTGCTGGCCAAGGGGTATGATTTAATGATTTGAAACCTCTTTTGTGAGAAGCAGGACACATATACCTCCATTTTGATGTATTTTTTATGGCTGTGGAGTGAAATTTGTGGGCGTGGGAGCGATATATTCGAGTGAGGTTCTGTCGATCAGAGACGAGGTCTGCACTCTAGCTGATGACATCATCACTCTAAACTCTCCAATACACACCCATTATAAAGCCTGAAAATTTGCTGAAAACCATGAGGTGCATAAAGCTAAATTGTGGAAAAACTGTAGGAGATAGCACAAAAAAGTCAATACAGCATATTTAGAGGAGAAGATTGTGAACATTTTAAAGCAAAAATGAGGTCTGTAGGTGAAAGTATGCTGAAGTTATAAGGCTGAGAAGGTGAAGGAGTAAAAGGTAGAATTTGAAGATTTCCCCATTCATTTCAATGGGAAAAATTTTGCACAAAAAGTCAAAAATATCAAAAAGTATAAGGGGTAGAAAAGTAAAAAATAGACCCCTTAATGTCCTGAAGGAGTGGAATAGTTTAAAGTTTGAACGGTTGAAATCGGACAAAGTTTGAAGGAGGAGAAGCGTTGCAAAAAAGGGACGGAAGAATAATAATAATAATAATAATAACTAGAAAAATTGCATTTCCTTGCAGAAAATGCGTGGAAATGCTGAGTGCTGAAAGCTGAAAAAGCAATGCTAAACTGCTAATAAAACATGGAGAAAGGTATAAATGTTAAGGCTGTTGAAGGAGTGAAAAAGAAATATAGGTTGGACAATTGTTTAATTGGTTGAAGGACAAATAGTATGAATATGCTCTATAAAAGGAAATTTTATTCATGCTGAAAGAGGCTAGAAAAATGTCTAAAATTGCACAAAGTTTGAATGAAAAAGGAAATTGCCTTAAAAGGCAGGAAGGTGAGAAGTGGAATAAGTTTAAGTTTTTATGTATTAGAAAGGTTTGAATCAGTTTGAATCAGTTTAAATTAGTTAGAAAAATTAAATGATAAATCATCACCGAGTGACTTATAAAAGTGAAAAATTTAAATGAATATAAATCTGAATACACTCCATAGTGTCCTCAATGAGCTTAAATTTTAAAGTCCTGAATGGTTTCTGTAGGTCAAAGGTCATGTGAGGACATAGGGGCTGACGTTTTTCAAACGCTCTAGGAAAGGGTTTTAAGTGTCATCCCCAGTGCTATGTGTACTGAGCTTGGCTTCATGTGTCTCATATGGCCATTAGAAGCAGCTTTCCAGTCAGCTGTGTGTCTCCAGGTGCACTAATTGGTTGCCATGGGGATGATAGATGCATCAGTACAGCAGGAGAAAGGAGGCTTGAAGCTAAGAAACAAATGCTCTAACGCACTCACATAGTTACTGTGTACATGCAGTTGTCATAGGCAGAGACACACGCACACACATTGTCAGACTGTGTGTGAGTGTGTCTCGTTAATGATGGCCTACTCTTTGAATGAGAAGCAGCTGAACTGCAGTGAATTTACGGCCTCTGAACTTCTTCACATAGCGTGATTTCCTTAAATCCCAGAATCAAAATAAGAATATTGTACGAATCCTCCGCCCTTCATGAACACAATGATGTGTTTTTCATGTCTGTACTCCAAAAAATGTGGCCACAACAGCGTTAAAAAAGTCTGAGCCTGAGTGACGATCAGGATTTTATTGGAGAAAAATTACATTAGGGCTAATGGGAGAGATCTCCGCCTATTTGGACAGTTGGTCACCTGCTGGCCAAGGGGTATGATTTAATGATTTGAAACCTCTTTTGTGAGAAGCAGGACACATATACCTCCATTTTGATGTATTTTTTATGGCTGTGGAGTGAAATTTGTGGGCGTGGGAGCGATATATTCGAGTGAGGTTCTGTCGATCAGAGACGAGGTCTGCACTCTAGCTGATGACATCATCACTCTAAACTCTCCAATACACACCCATTATAAAGCCTGAAAATTTGCTGAAAACCATGAGGTGCATAAAGCTAAATTGTGGAAAAACTGTAGGAGATAGCACAAAAAAGTCAATACAGCATATTTAGAGGAGAAGATTGTGAACATTTTAAAGCAAAAATGAGGTCTGTAGGTGAAAGTATGCTGAAGTTATAAGGCTGAGAAGGTGAAGGAGTAAAAGGTAGAATTTGAAGATTTCCCCATTCATTTCAATGGGAAAAATTTTGCACAAAAAGTCAAAAATATCAAAAAGTATAAGGGGTAGAAAAGTAAAAAATAGACCCCTTAATGTCCTGAAGGAGTGGAATAGTTTAAAGTTTGAACGGTTGAAATCGGACAAAGTTTGAAGGAGGAGAAGCGTTGCAAAAAAGGGACGGAAGAATAATAATAATAATAATAATAATAACTAGAAAATTGCATTTCCTTGCAGAAAATGCGTGGAAATGCTGAATGCTGAAAGCTGAAAAAGCAATGCAAAACTGCCATTAAGAAATGGAGGGAGGTATGAACGGAAAAACTGTTGAAAAGGTGGAGTAGAAGAAGAAATTGTATGAATGGAAGCATTGTAGTATAGCTGAAGGTTAATTAGTTGGATTAATGTACAAATTGTCTGATAGCCTAAGTGAAAAACGTATATGATTGATGTGAATAAACAGAACTGATAATAAGGATAATTGAATTTGAAAAACAAATGTCTTAAAATAATGTGTAACAATGTTCCTATTAAATGTACAAATAGTAAAACAGATTTTTGCAGTCTGCAGCATCAAACCATAGTAACTTGAGAATGCAGAACAGCGCCATCTATTGCCTTGCTTCAGTTACTGCCCTACATCTGAATGTAGAAAGTATGAAACAGCTGAAGTTAAATTATCTGTATAAATGTAGAAAGTACTGAGAAGAAAAGCAGAAGTAGAAGAAAAAGAAGAAGTTAGTATGTTAAAAGATGTAAAGACAAAGGCTGTAACAACAAAGTTAATATTGGGGGTGTATTTTCTACTGACAGAGAGACAGTAATGCACACATGGAAACAGTGTGTGTGTGTGTGTGTGTGTGTGTGTGTGTGTGTGTGTGTGTGTGCCCGCGCGGGGTCGGCCGCGCGCGTGCGTGTGTGATCGAAGCACACAGCCCATGACAAGTGCAGAATCTCTGGCTCCTAAGGAATTTACTCACCTTCTGGGCAAACTGTACAATTTCATGACTTCAGACCTATTTTGTGAGAAGCAGGACGAGTGTACCTCCATTTTGATGTGTTTTTTATGGCTGTGGAGTGAGAATTGCGGCCGCGGCAGCAAAATAAACACGCTTGGTCTAGTGAATCCAAAAGGCTCCGCACGCATCTAGTGATGACGTCACACGCTGTAGCGTGAGTCAGGCTGAAAAAGGCAGAAAACTTCATGTTGCTCCAAGCGAAATTGTGCAAAAACGGTAGGAAATAGCAAAAGGGAGTGAATACAACATTTGTAGCAGACACGTTGCTGAACATTTTAAAGCAAAAATGAGGTCTGTAGGTGAAAGTATGCAGAAGTTATAAGGGTGAGAAGGTGTTATAGCTGTATCTCCATTCATTTCTAATGGAACAAATTTTGCAGAAAAAGTGAAATATTGCAAAAAGTATAAATGGTAGAAAGGTGAAAAGTACTAGCAATAATGTCCTGAAGGAGTGCATTAGTATAAAGTTTGAATGGTTGAAATAGCACAAAGTGGTAAGGAGTTGAAAAGGGCCAAAAAAGGTACGGAAGAATAATAATAAAAATAATAATAATAACTAGAAAAATTGCATTTCCTTGCAGAAAATGCGTGGAAATGCTGAGTGCTGAAAGCTGAAAAAGCAATGCAAAACTGCCAATAAAAAATGGAGGAAGGTATAAACGGAAAAACTGTAGAAAAGGTGGAGTAGAAGAAGAAGAAATTGTATGAATGGAAGAATTGTAGTATAGCTGGAGGTAAATTAGTTGGATTAATGTACAAATTGTCTGATAGCCTAAGTGAAAAATGTATATGATTGATGTGAATAAACAGAACTGACATGGATAATTGAATTTGAAAAACAAATGCCTTTAAACAATGTGTAACAATGTTCCTATTAAATGTACAAATAGTAAAACAGATTTTTGCAGTCTGCAGCATCCAACCATAGTAACTTGAGAATGCAGAACAGCACCATCTATTGCCCTGCTTCAGTTACTGCCCTACATCTGAATGCAGAAAGTATGAAACAGCTGAAGTTAAATTAATTGTATGAATGTAGAAAGTATAGAAAAGAAAAGCAGAAGTAGAAGAAAAAGAAGAAGTTAGTATGTTAAAAGAGTTAAAGACAAGAACTGTAACAACAAAGTTCATATTGGGGCTGTATTTTCTACTGACAGAGAGACAGTATTGCACACATGGAAACAGTGTGTGTGTGTGTGTGTGTGTGTGTGTGTGTGTGTGTGTGTGTGTGTGCCCGCGCGCGCGCGCGGCCGAGCCCGTGCGTGTGCATATGCGTGTGTGATCGAAGCACACAGCCCATGACAAGTGCAGAATCTGACAGAGACAGTAAGAGAGAAAGAGAGACAGTACTGCACTCATGGAAACAGTGTGTGTGTATGTGTGTGTGCCCGCGCGCGCACGAGCGGCCAAGTCCGTGCGTGTGCGATCGAAGCACACAGCCCATGACAAGTGCAGAATCTGACAGAGAGATAGTAAGAGAGACAATAATGCACTCATGGAAACAGTGTGTGTGTGTGTGTGTGTGTGTGTGTGTGTGTGTGTGTGTGTGTGTGTGTGTGTGTGTGTGTGTGCCCGCGCGCGCACGAGCGGCCGAGTCCGTGCGTGTGCATGTGCGTGTGCGATCGAAGCACACAGCCCATGACAAGTGCAGAATCTCTGGCTCTGAAGGAATGTACTCACCTCCTGGGCAAGCTGTACAATTTCATGACTTCAGACCGATTTTGTGAGAAGCAGGACGAGTGTACCTCCATTTTGATGTGTTTTTTATGGCTGTGGAGTGAAAATTGCGGCCGCAGCAGCAAAATAATCATGCTTGGTCTAGTGAATCCAAAAGGCCCCGCCCGCATCTAGTGATGACGTAACACGCTGTAGCGTGAGTCAGGCTGAAAGAGGGAGAAAACTTCATGTTGCTCCAAGCGAAATTGTGCAAAAACGGTAGGAAATAGCAAAAAGGAGTGAATACAACATTTGTAGCAGACACGTTGCTGAACATTTTAAAGCAAAAATGAGGTCTGTAGGTGAAAGTATGCAGAAGTTATAAGGGTGAGAAGGTGTTATAGCTGTATCTCCATTCATTTGTAATGGAACAAATTTTGCAGAAAAAGTGAAATATTGCAAAAAGTATAAATGGTAGAAAGGTGAAAAGTAATAGCCGTAATGTCCTGAAGGAGTGCATTAGTATAAAGTTTGAATGGTGAAAATAGCACAAAGTGGTGAGGAGTTGAAAAGGGCCAAAAAAGGTACGGAAGAATAATAATAACTAGAAAAATTGCATTTCCTTGCAGAAAATGCGTGGAAATGCTGAGTGCTGAAAGCTGAAAAAGCAATGCTAAACTGCTAATAAAACATGGAGAAAGGTATAAATGTTAAAGCTGTTGAAGGGGTGAAAAAGAAATATAAGTTGGATAATTGTTTAATTGGTTGAAGGACAAATAGTATGAATATGCTCTATAAAAGGAAATTTTATTCATGCTGAAAGAGGCTAGAAAAATGTCTCAAATTGCACAAAGTTTGAATGAAGAAGGAAATTGCCTTAAAAGGCAGGAAGGTGAGAGGTGGCATAAGTTTAAGTTGTAGTACTAGAAGTAGTATGATAAGAGGTCAAGTCGTGATACTAGTAGTCATGTCAGCAGTAGAAGTAGTTTGAGAATAAAAGAAGTATAAGTCAAAGTAGAGAAAGTAGAAATAGGAGCAATAGCAGTTGAAGTAGAGGGGAAAGTACTAGTTTAATTGACATTAGCAGTAGTTCTAGTACTTGAGGTATGATTTTGTTTGAAGGATGGAATAATGCATAAATATTAAAACTAATTTAAAACAGGGAAATTTTAAATTATCAAAAGTCCTCAAGTATCAGAAAGTTTTGAAGTATTAGAAAGGTTTGAATCAGTTTGAATGAGTTTAAATTAGTTTGAAAAATTAAATGATAAATCATCACTGACTGACTTTTAAAATGTGAAAAATTTAAATGAATAACAATCCTAAATACACCCAATAATGTCCTCAATGAGCTTAAATTTCAAAGCCCTGAATGGTTTCTGTAGGTCAAAGGTCATGTGAGGAGATTGGGGCTGAAGTTTTTTCCAACGCTCTAGGAAAGGGTTTTAAGTGTCATCCCAATTGCTATGTGTACTGAGCCTGGCTTCATGTGTCTCATATGGCCACTAGAAGCAGCTTTCCAGTCAGCTGTGTGTCTCCAGGTGCACTAATTGGTTGCCATGGGGACCTTGGATGCATAACTATAGCAGGAGAAAGAAGGCCTTGAAGCTAAAGAAACAGGACTCCAAGTAGGCCCTGACGCTCACCCTCTGTATTAATGTGTTCAGCAGAGTCTTGTGTTCTCACAAGCTCCTTATGAATATATACAATTTATTATCACAATCCTCAAAACACCCCATAATATCTTCAATGAGCTGAATTTTTCAAGCCCAGAATGGTTTCTGTAGCTCAAAGTTTGTGGGTGGAGATAGGTGGTGAAGCAGACACATATTAACTGTGTGTACAAGCAGCTGAACTGCAAGGTGGACCTCAAAAAGCAACAAGTACAAGAATGTGTGTGCGTGTGTGTGTGTGTCTCGTTAATGACTGCATCCTAAACAGCTGTGAGATCAAAGGCAAATCACTAACCTACTGTTTGACTGAGAGGTGCTGAACTGCAGTGAATTTCAGCCTGTGAACTTCTTCACATAGCGTGATTTCCTTAAGTCCCAGAATGAAAATAAGAACATCGTACGAATCCTCCGTCCTTCATGAACACAATGATGTGTTTTTCATGTCTGTACTTCGAAAAATGTGGCCACAACAGCGAGTTAAAAAAGTCTGAGCCTGAGTGGGGATAAGGATTTTCTTGGAGAAGAAATACATTAGGTCTAATGGGGAGAGATTTCCACCTATTTGGACAGTTGGTCACCTGCTGGCCAAGGGGTAGGATTTAATGATTTGAAACCTCTTTTGTGAGAAGCAGGACACATATACCTCCATTTTGATGTATTATTTGTGTCAGTGGAGTGAGATTTGTGGGCGTGGGAGCGATATATTCGAGCGAGGTTCTGTCGATCAGAGACGAGGTCTGCACTCTAGCTGATGACATCATCACTCTAAACTCTCCAATACACACCCATTATAAAGCTTGAAATTTGCTGAAAACCACAAGTTGCTTAAAGCTAAATTGTGGAAAAACTGTAAGAGATATCAAAAAACTGAGTACAACTGTAATAGTCGACAAGTGAATGAACATTTTAAAGCAAAAATGAGGTCTCTAGGTGAAAGTATGCTGAAGTTATAAGGTCTAGAAGGTGGAAGAATAAAAGGAAGGAGTGGAAGATTTCCCCATTGACTTCAATGTTAAAATTTTTGCACAAAAAGTTAAAAAAAACAAAAAGTATAAAAGGTAGAAAGGTAAAAAATACAAGCACACATGTCCTGAAGGAGTGGAATAGTTAAAAGTTTGAACGGTTGAAATCGGACAAAGTTTGAAGGAGGAGAAGCGGTCCAAAGAAACGTATGGGGAGAGTGTTAAGTATAATACTAGAAAAATTGCATTTCCTTGCAGAAAATGCGTGGAAATGCTGAGTGCTGAAAGCTGAAAAAGCAATGCTAAACTGCTAATAAAACATAGAGAAATGTATAAATGTTAAAGCTGTTGAAGGGGTGTAAAAGAAATGTAAGTTGGATAATTGATTAATTGGTTGAAGGACAAATAGTATGAATATGCTCTATAAAATGAAATTTTATTCATGCTGAAAGAGGCTAGAAAAATGTCTAAAATTGCACAAAGTTTGAATGAAGAAGGAAATTGCCTTAAAAGGCAGGAAGGTGAGAAGTGGCATAAGTTTAATTTTTTATGTATTAGAAAGGTTTGAATCAGTTTGAATCAGTTCAAATTAGTTTGAAAAATTAAATGATAAATCATCACTGAGTGACTTTAAAATGTGAAAAATTTAAATGAATATAAATCCTGAATACACCCCATAATGTCCTCATTGAGCTTAAATTTTAAAGCCCTGAATGGTTTCTGTAGGTCAAAGGTCATGTGAGGAGATAGGGGCTGAAGTTTTTTCAAGCGCTCTAGGAAAGGGTTTTAAGTGTCATCCCCAGTGCTATGTGTACTGAGCCTGGCTTCATGTGTCTCATATGGCCATTAGAAGCAGCTTTCCAGTCAGCTGTGTGTCTCCAGGTGCACAAGTTGGTTGCCATGGGGACCTTGGATGCATAACTATAGCAGGAGAAAGAAGGCTTGAAGCTAAGGAAACAGGACTCCAAGTAGGCCCTGACGCTCATCCTCTGTATCTATTCCTGATAAGGAGCTTGTGAGAACACAAGACTCTGCTGAACACATTAATACAATTTATTATCACAATCCTCAAAACACCCCATAATATCTTCAATGAGCTGAATTTTTGAAGCCCAGAATGGTTTCTGTAGCTCAAAGTTTGTGGGTGGAGATAGGTGGTGAAGCAGACACATATTAACTGTGTGTACAAGCAGCTGAACTGCAAGGTGGACCTCAAAAAGCAACAAGTACAAGAATGTGTGTGTGTGTGTGTGTGTGTGTGTCTCGTTAATGACTGCATCCTAAACAGCTGTGAGATCAAAGGCAAATCACTAACCTACTGTTTGACTGAGAGGTGCTGAACTGCAGTGAATTTCAGCCTGTGAACTTCTTCACATAGCGTGATTTCCTTAAGTCCCAGAATGAAAATAAGAACATCGTACGAATCCTCCGTCCTTCATGAACACAATGATGTCTTTTTCATGTCTGTACTTCGAAAAATGTGGCCACAACAGCGAGTTAAAAAAGTCTGAGCCTGAGTGGGGATAAGGATTTTCTTGGAGAAGAAATACATTAGGTCTAATGGGGAGAGATTTCCGCCTATTTGGACAGTTGGTCACCTGCTGGCCAAGGGGTAGGATTTAATGATTTGAAACCTCTTTTGTGAGAAGCAGGACACATATACCTCCATTTTTATGTATTTTTTATGGCTGTGGAGTGAGATTTGTGGGCGTGGGAGCGATATATTTGAGCGAGGTTCTGTCGATCAGAGACGAGGTCTGCACTCTAGCTTTTCAAATCATCACTCTAGCCTCTCCAATACACCCCTATTATAAAGCCTGAAATTTGCTGAAAACCACAAGTTGCATAAAGCTAAATTGTGGAAAAACTGTAAAAGATAGCACAAAGAGGTTAATACAACATCAATAGTCGACAAGACAATGAACATTTTAAAGCAAAAATGAGGTCTCTAGGTGAAAGTATGCTGAAGTTATAAGGTCTAGAAGGTGGACGAATAACAGGAAGAATTGAAAGATTTCCCCATTCATTTCTATGGGAAAAAAAGTTTGGCACAAAAAGTGAAAAATAATAAAAAGTATAAAGGGTAGAAAAAAGAAAAGTAATAGCCATCATGTCCTGAAGGAGTGGAATCGTTTAAAGTTTGAACGGTTGAAATCGGACAAAGTTTGAAGGAGGAGAAGCGGTCCAAAGAAACGTATGGGGAGAGTGTTAAGTATAATACTAGAAAAATTGCATTTCCTTGCAGAAAATGCGTGGAAATGCTGAGTGCTGAAAGCTAACAAAGCAATGCTAAACTGCTAATAAAACATGGAGAAAGGTATAAATGTTAAAGCTGTTGAAGGGGTGAACAGAAATATAAGTTGGATAATTGATTAATTGGTTGAAGGACAAATACTATGAATATGCTCTATAAAAGGAAATTTTATTCATGCTGAAAGAGGCTAGAAAAATGTCTCAAATTGCACAAAGTTTGAATGAAGAAGGAAATTGCCTTAAAAGGCAGGAAGGTGAGAAGTGGCATAAGTTTAAATTGTAGTACTAGAAGTAGCATGATAAGAAGTCAAGTCGTGATACTAGTAGTCATGTCAGCAGTAGAAGTAGATTGAGAATAAAAGAAGTATAAGTCAAAGTAGTAAAGAAAGTAGAAATAGGAGCAATAGCAGTTGAAGTAGAGGGGAAAGTTCTAGTTTAATTGACATTAGGAGTAGTTGTCGTACTTGAGGTAGGATTTTGTTTGAATGATGGAGTAATGCATAAATATTAAAACTAATTTAAAACAGGGAAATTTTAAATTATCAAAAGTCCTCAAGTATCAGAAAGTTTTGAAGTATTAGAAAGGTTTGAATCAGTTTGAATGAGTTTAAATTAGTTTGAAAAATTAAATGATAAATCATCACTGACTGACTTTTAAAATGTGAAAAATTTAAATGAATAACAATCCTAAATACACCCAATAATGTCCTCAATGAGCTTAAATTTCAAAGCCCTGAATGGTTTCTGTAGGTCAAAGGTCATGTGAGGAGATAGGGGCTGAAGTTTTTTCCAACGCTCTAGGAAAGGGTTTTAAGTGTCATCCCAATTGCTATGTGTACTGAGCCTGGCTTCATGTGTCTCATATGGCCACTAGAAGCAGCTTTCCAGTCAGCTGTGTGTCTCCAGGTGCACAAATTGGTTGCCATGGGGACCTTGGATGCATAACTATAGCAGGAGAAAGAAGGCTTGAAGCTAAGGAAACAGGACTCCAAGTAGGCCCTGACGCTCACCCTCTGTATATATTCATAAGGAGCTTGTGAGAACACAAGACTCTGCTGAACACATTAATACAATTTATTATCACAATCCTCAAAACACCCCATATTATCTTCAATGAGCTGAATTTTTGAAGCCCAGAATGGTTTCTGTAGCTCAAAGTTTGTGGGTGGAGATAGGTGGTGAAGCAGACACATATTAACTGTGTGTACAAGCAGCTGAACTGCAAGGTGGACCTCAAAAAGCAACAAGTACAAGAAGGTGTGTGTGCGTGTGTGTGTGTGTGTGTCTCGTTAATGACTGCATCCTAAACAGCTGTGAGATCAAAGGCAAATCACTAACCTACTGTTTGACTGAGAGGTGCTGAACTGCAGTGAATTTCAGCCTGTGAACTTCTTCACATAGCGTGATTTCCTTAAGTCCCAGAATGAATATAAGAACATCGTACGAATCCTCCGCCCTTCATGAACACAATGATGTGTTTTTCATGTCTGTACTCCGAAAAATGAGGCCACAACAGCGAGTTAAAAAAGTCTGAGCCTCAGTGGCGATAAGGATTTTCTTGGAGAAGAAATACATTAGGTCTAATGGGGAGAGTTTTTCGCTATTTGGACAGTTGGTCACCTGCTGGCCAAGGGGTAAGATTTAATGATTTGAAACCTCTTTTGTGAGAAGCAGGACACATATACCTCCATTTTGATGTATTTTTTATGGGTGTGGAGTGAGATTTGTGGGCATGGGAGCGAAATATTCGAGCGAGGTTCTGTTGATCAGAGAGGAGGTCTGCACTCTAGCTTTTCAAATCATCACTCTAGCCTCTCCAATACACCCCTATTATAAAGCCTGAAATTTGCTGAAAACCACAAGTTGCATAAAGCTAAATTGTGGAAAAACTCTAAAAGATATCACAAAAAGGTTAATACAATATCAATAGTCGACAAGACAATGAACATTTTAAAGCAAAAATGAGGTCTGTAGGTGAAAGTATGCTGAAGTTATAAGGCTTAGAAGGTGGACGAATAACAGGAAGAATTGAAAGATTTCCCCATTCATTTCTATGGGAAAAAAAGTTTGGCACAAAAAGTGAAAAATAATAAAAAGTATAAAGGGTAGAAAAGAGAAAAGTAATAGCCATCATGTCCTGATGGAGCGGAATAGTTTAAAGTTTGAACGGTTGAAATCGGACAAAGTTTGAAGGAGGAGAAGCGGTCCAAAGAAACATATGGGGAGAGTGTTAAGTATAATACTAGAAAAATTGCATTTCCTTGCAGAAAATGCGTGGAAATGCTGAGTGCTGAAAGCTGAAAAAGCAATGCTAAACTGCTAATAAAACATGGAGAAAGGTATAAATGTTAAAGCTGTTGAAGGGATGAGAAAGAAATGTAAGTTGGATAATTGATTAATTGGTTGAAGGACAAATAGTATGAATATGCTCTATAAAAAGAAATTTTATTCATGCTGAAAGAGGCTAGAAAAATGTCTAAAATTGCACAAAGTTTGAATGAAGAAGGAAATTGCCTTAAAAGGCAGGAAGGTGGGAAGTGGCATCAGTTTAATTTTTTAAGTATTAGAAAGGTTTGAATCAGTTTGAATCAGTTCAAATTAGTTTGAAAAATTAAATGATAAATCATCACTGAGTAACTTTTAAATGTGAAAAATCTAAATGAATATAAATCCTAAATACACCCCATAATGTCCTCAATGAGCTTAAATTTTAAAGCCCTGAATGGTTTCTGTAGGTCAAAGGTCATGTGAGGAGATAGGGGCTGAAGTTTTTTCAAGCGCTCTAGGAAAGGGTTTTAAGTGTCATCCCCAGTGCTATGTGTACTAAGCCTGGCTTCATGTGTCTCATATGGCCATTAGAAGCAGCTTTCCAGTCAGCTGTGTGTCTCCAGGTGCACAAATTAGTTGCCATGGGGACCTTGGATGCATAACTATAGCAGGAGAAAGAAGGCTTGAAGCTAAGGAAACAGGGCTCCAAGTAGGCCCTGGCACTCATCGTCTGTATATATTCATGATAAGGAGCTTGTGAGAACACAAGACTCTGCTGAACACATTAATACAATTTATTATCACAATCCTCAAAACACCCCATAATATCTTCAATGAGCTGAATTTTTGAAGCCCAGAATGGTTTCTGTAGCTCAAAGTTTGTGGGTGGAGATAGGTGGCGAAGCAGACACATATTAACTGTGTGTACAAGCAGCTGAACTGCAAGGTAGACCTCATAAAGCAACAAGTACAAGAATGTGTGTGTGTGTGTGTGTGTCTCGTTAATGACTGCATCCTAAACAGCTGTGAGATCAAAGGCAAATCACTGACCTACTGTTTGAATGAGAAGCAGCTGAACTGCAGAGGATTTAGAGGCTCTAAACTTCTTCACATAGCGTGATTTCCTTAAGTCACAGAATGAAAATAAGAACATCGTACGAATCCTCCGCCCTTCATGAACACAATGATGTCTTTTTCATGTCTGTACTTCGAAAAAAGAGGCCACAACAGCGAGTTAAAAAAGTCTGAGCCTGAGCGATGATCCGGATTTTCTTGGAGAAAAATAACATTATGGTCAATGGGAGAGATTTCCGCCTTCCTTGGACAGTTGGTCACCTGCTGGCCAAGGGGTACGATTTAATGATTTGAAACCTCTTTTGTGAGAAGCAGGACACATATACCTCCATTTTGATGTATTATTTATGGCTGTGGAGTGAGATTTGTGGGCGTGGGAGCGATATATTCGAGCGAGGTTCTGTCGATCAGAGACGGGGTCTGCACTCTAGCTGATGACATCATCACTCTAAGCTCTCCAATACACACCCATTATAAAGCTTGAAATTTGCTGAAAACCACAAGTTGCTTAAAGCTAAATTGTGGAAAAACTGTAGGAGATAGCACAAAAAAGTCAATACAGCATATTTGGAGGAGAAGATTGTGAACATTTTAAAGCCAAAATTAGGTCTGTAGGTGAAAGTACGCTGAAGTTATAAGGCTGAGAAGGTGGAGGAGTAAAAGGTAGAATTTGAAGATTTCCCCATTCATTTCAATGGGAAAATTTTTTGCACAAAAAGTCAAAAATATCAAAAAGTATAAGGGGTAGAAAAGAAAAAAGTAATAGCCATAATGTCCTGAAGGAGTGGAATAGTTTAAAGTTTGAACGGTTGAAATCGGACAAAGTTTGAAGGAGGAGAAGCGTTGCAAAAAAGGGACGGAAGAATAATAATAATAAGTTTAATAAAGAAACAGGAGAATAACAATAAGTGGAAATGCCTATCAGCATTTCCACTTAACTAGAAAAATTGCATTTCCTTGCAGAAAATGCGTGGAAATGCTGAGTGCTGAAAGCTGAAAAAGCAATGCAAAACTGCTAATAAAACATGGAGAAAGGTATAAATGTTAAAGCTGTTGAAGGGGTGAACAGAAATATAAGTTGGATAATTGATTAATTGGTTGAAGGACAAATAGTATGAATATGCTCTATAAAAGGAAATTTTATTCATGCTGAAAGAGGCTAGAAAAATGTCGAAAATTGCACAAAGTTTGAATGAAGAAGGAAATTGCCTTAAAAGGTAGGAAGGTGAGAAGTGGCATAAGTTTAAATTGTAGTACTAGAAGTAGTATTATAAGAAGTCAAGTCGTGATACTAGTAGTCATGTCAGCAGTAGAAGTAGATTGAGAATAAAAGAAGTATAAGTCAAAGTAGTAAAGAAAGTAGAAATAGGAGCAATAGCAGTTGAAGTAGAGGGGAAAGTACTAGTTTAATTGACATTAGCAGTAGTTGTCGTACTTGAGGTAGGATTTTGTTTGAATGATGGAGTAATGCATAAATATTAAAACTAATTTAAAACAGGGAAATTTTAAATTATCAAAAGTCCTCAAGTATCAGAAAGTTTTGAAGTATTAGAAAGGTTTGAATCAGTTTGAATGAGTTTAAATTAGTTTGAAAAATGAAATGATAAATCATCACTGACTGACTTTTAAAATGTGAAAAATTTAAATGAATAACAATCCTAAATACACCCAATAATGTCCTCAATGAGCTTAAATTTCAAAGCCCTGAATGGTTTCTGTAGGTCAAAGGTCATGTGAGGAGATAGGGGCTGAAGTTTTTTCCAACGCTCTAGGAAAGCGTTTTAAGTGTCATCTCAATTGCTATGTGTACTGAGCCTGGCTTCATGTGTCTCATATGGCCACTAGAAGCAGCTTTCCAGTCAGCTGTGTGTCTCCAGGTGCACAAATTGGTTGCCATGGGGACCTTGGATGCATAACTATAGCAGGAGAAAGAAGGCTTGAAGCTAAAGAAACAGGACTCCAAGTAGGCCCTGACGCTCACCCTCTGTATATATTCATAAGGAGCTTGTGAGAACACAAGACTCTGCTGAACACATTAATACAATTTATTATCACAATCCTCAGAACACCCCATAATATCTTCAATGAGCTGAATTTTTGAAGCCCAGAATGGTTTCTGTAGCTCAAAGTTTGTGGGTGGAGATAGGTGGTGAAGCAGACACATATTAACTGTGTGTACAAGCAGCTGAACTGCAAGGTGGACCTCAAAAAGCAACAAGTACAAGAATGTGTGTGCGTGTGTGTGTGTGTGTGTCGTTAATGACTGCATCCTAAACAGCTGTGAGATCAAAGGCAAATCACTAACCAACTGTTTGACTGAGAGGTGCTGAACTGCAGTGAATTTCAGCCTGTGAACTTCTTCACATAGCGTGATTTCCTTAAGTCCCAGAATGAAAATAAGAACATCGTACGAATCCTCCGTCCTTCATGAACACAATGATGTGTTTTTCATGTCTGTACTTCGAAAAATGAGGCCACAACAGCGAGTTAAAAAAGTCTGAGCCTGAGCGATGATCCGGATTTTCCTGGAGAAAAATAACATTATGGTCAATGGGAGAGATTTCCGCCTTTTTTGGACAGTTGGTCACCTGCTGGCCAAGGGGTACGATTTAATGATTTGAAACCTCTTTTGTGAGAAGCAGGACACATATACCTCCATTTTGATGTATTATTTGTGTCAGTGGAGTGAGATTTGTGGGCGTGGGAGCGATATATTCGAGCGAGGTTCTGTCGATCAGAGACGAGGTCTGCACTCTAGCTGATGACATCATCACTCTAAACTCTCCAATACACACCCATTATAAAGCTTGAAATTTGCTGAAAACCACAAGTTGCTTAAAGCTAAATTGTGGAAAAACTGTAAAAGATATCAAAAAACTGAGTACAACTTTAATAGTCGACAAGTGAATGAACATTTTAAAGCAAAAATTAGGTCTCTAGGTGAAAGTATGCTGAAGTTATAAGGTCTAGAAGGTGGAAGAGGAAAAGGTAGATTTTAAGATTTCCCCATTCATTTTTAATGGTACAAATTTTGCACAAAAAGTTAAAAAAAACAAAAAGTATAAAGGGTAGAAAGGAAAAAAATAGACGCCATAATGTCCTGAATGAGTGGAATAGTTTAAAGTTTGAACGGTTGAAATCGGACAAAGTTTGAAGGAGGAGAAGCGGTCCAAAAATCGGCGGAAGAATAATAATAAGTTTAATAAAGAAACAGGAGAATAACAATAAGTGGAAATGCTTAATCAGCATTTCCACTTAACTAGAAAAATTGCATTTCCTTGCAGAAAATGCGTGGAAATGCTGAGTGCTGAAAGCTAACAAAGCAATGCTAAACTGCTAATAAAACATGGAGAAAGGTATAAATGTTAAAGCTGTTGAAGGAGTGAGAAAGAAATATAGGTTGGATAACTGTTAAATTGGATGAAGGACAAATAGTATGAATATGCTCTATAAAAGGAAATTTTATTCATGCTGAAAGAGGCTAGAAAAATGTCTAAAATTGCACAAAGTTTGAATGAAGAAGGAAACTGCCTTAAAAGGCAGGAAGTTGAGAAGTGGCATAAGTTTAAGTTGTAGTACTAGAAGTAGTATAGGAGGTCAAGTCGTGATACTAGTAGTCATGTCAGCAGTAGAAGTAGTTTGAGAATAAAAGAAGTATAAGTCACAATAGTAGAGAAAGTAGAAATAGGAGCAATAGCAGTTGAAGTAGAGGGGATAGTACTAGTTTAATTGACATTAGCGGTAGTTGTCGTACTTGAGGTAGGATTTTGTTTGAAGGATAGAGTAATGCATAAATATTAAAACTTATTTCAAACAGGGAAAATTTAAATAATTAAAAATCCTCAAGAATCAGAAAGTTTTCAAGTATTAGAAAGGTTTGAATCAGTTTGAATGAGTTTAAATTAGTTTGAAAAAATAAATGATAAATCATCACTTAGTGACTTTAAAATGTAAAAAATTTAAATGAATATAAATCCTAAATACACCCCATAATGTCCTCAATGAGCTTAAATTTTAAAGCCCTGAATGGTTTCTGTAGGTCAAAGGTCATGTGAGGAGATAGGGGCTGAAGTTTTTTCAAGCGCTCTAGGAAAGGGTTTTAAGTGTCATCCCCAGTGCTATGTGTACTGAGCCTGGCTTCATGTGTCTCATATGGCCATTAGAAGCAGCTTTCCAGTCAGCTGCGTGTCTCCAGGTGCACAAGTTGGTTGCCATGGGGACCTTGGATGCATAACTATAGCAGGAGAAAGAAGGCTTAAAGCTAAGGAAACAGGACTCCAAGTAGGCCCTGACGCTCATCGTCTGTATATATTCATGATAAGGAGCTTGTGAGAACACAAGATTTTGCTGAACACATTAATACAATTTATTATCACAATCCTCAAAACACCCCATAATATCTTCAATGAGCTGAATTTTTCAAGCCCAGAATGGTTTCTGTAGCTCAAAGTTTGTGGGTGGAGATAGGTGGTGAAGCAGACACATATTACCTGTGTGTACAAGCAGCTGAACTGCAAGGTAGACCTGACAATGCAACAAGTACAAGAATGTGTGTGTGTGTGTGTGTGTGTGTGTGTGTGTGTGTGTGTCTCGTTAATGATTGCATCCTAAACAGCTGTGAGATCAAAGGCAAATCACTGACCTACTGTTTGAATGAGAAGCAGCTGAACAGCAGAGGTTTTGAAGCCTGTGAACTTCTTCACATAGCGTGATTTCCTTAAGTCCCAGAATGAAAATAAGAACATCGTACGAATCCTCCGGCCTTCATGAACACAATGATGTCTTTTTCATGTCTGTACTCCGAAAAATGTGGCCACAACAGCGAGTTAAAAAAGTCTGAGCCTGAGTGGGGATAAGGATTTTCTTGGAGAAGAAATACATTAGGTCTAATGGGGAGAGATTTCCGCCTTCCTTGGACAGTTGGTCACCTGCTGGCCAAGGGGTACGATTTAATGATTTGAAACCTCTTTTGTGAGAAGCAGGACACATATACCTCCATTTTGATGTATTATTTGTGTCAGTGGGGTGAGATTTGTGGGCGTGGGAGCGATATATTCGAGCGAGGTTCTGTCGATCAGAGACGAGGTCTGCACTCTAGCTGATGACATCATCACTCTAAACTCTCCAATACACACCCATTATAAAGCTTGAAATTTGCTGAAAACCACAAGTTGCTTAAAGCTAAATTGTGGAAAAACTGTAAGAGATATCAAAAATCTGAGTACAACTGTAATAGTCGACAAGTGAATGAACATTTTAAAGCAAAAATGAGGTCTCTAGGTGAAAGTATGCTGAAGTTATAAGGTCTAGAAGGTGGAAGAATAAAAGGAAGGAGTGGAAGATTTCCCCATTGACTTCAATGTTAAAATTTTTGCACAAAAAGTTAAAAAAAACAAAAAGTATAAAAGGTAGAAAGGTAAAAAATACAAGCACACATGTCCTGAAGGAGTGGAATAGTTTAAAGTTTGAACGGTTGAAATCGCACAAAGTTTGAAGGAGTTGAAAAGCGACAAAAAACGGCGGAAGAATACTAATAATAATAATAAAGAAACAGGAGAATAACAATAAGTGGAAATGCCTATCAGCATTTCCACTTAACTAGAAAAATTGCATTTCCTTGCAGAAAATGCGTGGAAATGCTGAGTGCTGAAAGCTGAAAAAGCAATGCTAAACTGCTAATAAAACATGGAGAAAGGTATAAATGTTAAAGCTGTTGAAGGGGTGAACAGAAATATAAGTTGGATAATTGATTAATTGGTTGAAGGACAAATAGTATGAATATGCTCTATAAAAGGAAATTTTATTCATGCTGAAAGAGGCTAGAAAAATGTCGAAAATTGCACAAAGTTTGAATGAAAAAGGAAATTGCCTTAAAAGGCAGGAAGGTGAGAAGTGGCATAAGTTTAAATTGTAGTACTAGAAGTAGTATTATAAGAAGTCAAGTCGTGATACTAGTAGTCATGTCAGCAGTAGAAGTAGATTGAGAATAAAAGAAGTATAAGTCAAAGTAGTAAAGAAAGTAGAAATAGGAGCAATAGCAGTTGAAGTAGAGGGGAAAGTTCTAGTTTAATTGACATTAGCAGTAGTTGTCGTACTTGAGGTAGGATTTTGTTTGAATGATGGAGTAATGCATAAATATTAAAACTAATTTAAAACAGGGAAATTTTAAATTATCAAAAGTCCTCAAGTATCAGAAAGTTTTGAAGTATTAGAAAGGTTTGAATCAGTTTGAATGAGTTTTAAGTGTCATCCCAATTGCTATGTGTACTGAGCCTGGCTTCATGTGTCTCATATGGCCACTAGAAGCAGCTTTCCAGTCAGCTGTGTGTCTCCAGGTGCACAAATTGGTTGCCATGGGGACCTTGGATGCATAACTATAGCAGGAGAAGAAGGCTTGAAGCTAAAGAAACAGGACTCCAAGTAGGCCCTGACGCTCACCCTCTGTATATATTCATAAGGAGCTTGTGAGAACACAAGACTCTGCTGAACACATTAATACAATTTATTATCACAATCCTCAAAACACCCCATAATATCTTCAATGAGCTGAATTTTTCAAGCCCAGAATGGTTTCTGTAGCTCAAAGTTTGTGGGTGGAGATAGGTGGTGAAGCAGACACATATTAACTGTGTGTACAAGCAGCTGAACTGCAAGGTGGACCTCAAAAAGCAACAAGTACAAGAATGTGTGTGCGTGTGTGTGTGTGTGTCTCGTTAATGACTGCATCCTAAACAGCTGTGAGATCAAAGGCAAATCACTAACCTACTGTTTGACTGAGAGGTGCTGAACTGCAGTGAATTTCAGCCTGTGAACTTCTTCACATAGCGTGATTTCCTTAAGTCCCAGAATGAATATAAGAACATCGTACGAATCCTCCGCCCTTCATGAACACAATGATGTGTTTTTCATGTCTGTACTCCGAAAAATGAGGCCACAACAGCGAGTTAAAAAAGTCTGAGCCTCAGTGGCGATAAGGATTTTCTTGGAGAAGAAATACATTAGGTCTAATGGGGAGAGTTTTTCGCTATTTGGACAGTTGGTCACCTGCTGGCCAAGGGGTAAGATTTAATGATTTGAAACCTCTTTTGTGAGAAGCAGGACACATATACCTCCATTTTGATGTATTTTTTATGGGTGTGGAGTGAGATTTGTGGGCATGGGAGCGAAATATTCGAGCGAGGTTCTGTTGATCAGAGAGGAGGTCTGCACTCTAGCTTTTCAAATCATCACTCTAGCCTCTCCAATACACCCCTATTATAAAGCCTGAAATTTGCTGAAAACCACAAGTTGCATAAAGCTAAATTGTGGAAAAACTCTAAAAGATATCACAAAAAGGTTAATACAATATCAATAGTCGACAAGACAATGAACATTTTAAAGCAAAAATGAGGTCTGTAGGTGAAAGTATGCTGAAGTTATAAGGCTTAGAAGGTGGACGAATAACAGGAAGAATTGAAAGATTTCCCCATTCATTTCTATGGGAAAAAAAGTTTGGCACAAAAAGTGAAAAATAATAAAAAGTATAAAGGGTAGAAAAGAGAAAAGTAATAGCCATCATGTCCTGATGGAGCGGAATAGTTTAAAGTTTGAACGGTTGAAATCGGACAAAGTTTGAAGGAGGAGAAGCGGTCCAAAGAAACATATGGGGAGAGTGTTAAGTATAATACTAGAAAAATTGCATTTCCTTGCAGAAAATGCGTGGAAATGCTGAGTGCTGAAAGCTGAAAAAGCAATGCTAAACTGCTAATAAAACATGGAGAAAGGTATAAATGTTAAAGCTGTTGAAGGGATGAGAAAGAAATGTAAGTTGGATAATTGATTAATTGGTTGAAGGACAAATAGTATGAATATGCTCTATAAAAGAAAATTTAATTCATGCTGAAAGAGGCTAGAAAAATGTCTAAAATTGCACAAAGTTTGAATGAAGAAGGAAACTGCCTTAAAAGGCAGGAAGGTGAGAAGTGGCATAAGTTTAAGTTTTTAAGTATTAGAAAGGTTTGAATCAGTTTGAATCAGTTCAAATTAGTTTGAAAAATTAAATGAGAAATCATCACTGAGTGACTTTAAAATGTGAAAAATCTAAATGAATATAAATCCTAAATACACCCCATAATGTCCTCAATGAGCTTAAATTTTAAAGCCCTGAATGGTTTCTGTAGGTCAAAGGTCATGTGAGGAGATAGGGGCTGAAGTTTTTTCAAGCGCTGTAGGAAAGGGTTTTAAGTGTCATCCCCAGTGCTATGTGTACTGAGCCTGGCTTCATGTGTCTCATATGGCCATTAGAAGCAGCTTTCCAGTCAGCTGTGTGTCTCCAGGTGCACAAATTGGTTGCCATGGGGACCTTGGATGAATAACTTTAGCAGGAGAAAGAAGGCTTGAAGCTAAGGAAACAGGAATCCAAGTAGGCCCTGACGCTCATCCTCTGTATATATTCATGATAAGGGGCTTGTGAGAACACAAGATTTTGCTGAACACATTAATACAATTTATTATCACAATCCTCAAAACACCCCATAATATCTTCAATGAGCTGAATTTTTCAAGCCCAGAATGGTTTCTGTAGCTCAAAGTTTGTGGGTGGAGATAGGTGGTGAAGCAGACACATATTAACTGTGTGTACAAGCAGCTGAACTGCAAGGTGGACCTCAAAAAGCAACAAGTACAAGAATGTGTGTGCGTGTGTGTGTGTGTGTCTCGTTAATGACTGCATCCTAAACAGCTGTGAGATCAAAGGCAAATCACTAACCTACTGTTTGACTGAGAGGTGCTGAACTGCAGTAAATTTCAGCCTGTGAACTTCTTCACATAGCGTGATTTCCTTAAGTCCCAGAATGAAAATAAGAACATCGTACGAATCCTCCGTCCTTCATGAACACAATGATGTGTTTTTCATGTCTGTACTTCGAAAAATGAGGCCACAACAGCGAGTTAAAAAAGTCTGAGCCTGAGCGATGATCCGGATTTTCTTGGAGAAAAATAACATTATGGTCAATGGGAGAGATTTCTGCCTTCCTTGGACAGTTGGTCACCTGCTGGCCAAGGGGTACGATTTAAGGATTTGAAACCTCTTTTGTGAGAAGCAGGACATATATACCTCCATTTTGATGTATTATTTATGGCTGTGGAGTGAGATTTGTGGGCGTGGGAGCGATATATTCGAGCGAGGTTCTGTCGATCAGAGACGAGGTCTGCACTCTAGCTGATGACATCATCACTCTAAACTCTCCAATACACACCCATTATAAAGCTTGAAATTTGCTGAAAACCACAAGTTGCTTAAAGCTAAATTGTGGAAGAACTGTAAAAGATATCAAAAAACTGAGTACAACTCTAATAGTCGACAAGTGAATGAACATTTTAAAGCAAAAATGAGGTCTCTAGGTGAAAGTATGCTGAAGTTATAAGACTTTGAAGGTGGAAGAAAAAAAGGAAGAAGTGGAAGATTTCCCCATTGACTTCAATGTTAAAATTTTTGCACAAAAAGTTAAAAATATCAAAAAGTATAAAGGGTAGAAGAGTGAAAAGTAATAGCCATCATGTCCTGAAGGAGTGGAATAGTTTAAAGTTTGAACGGTTGAAATCGGACAAAGTTTGAAGGAGGAGAAGCGCGGCAAAAAACGGCGGAAGAATAATAAGAAGAATAAAGAAACAGGAGAATAACAATAAGTGGAAATGCTTAATCAGCATTTCCACTTAACTAGAAAAATTGCATTTCCTTGCAGAAAATGCGTGGAAATGCTGAGTGCTGAAAGCTGAAAAAGCAATGCTAAACTGCTAATAAAACATGGAGAAAGGTATAAATGTTAAAGCTGTTGAAGGAGTGAAAAAGAAATATAATTTGGATAACTGTTAAATTGGTTGAAGGAAAATATTGTGTAAGTTTGCTCTATAAAAGGAAATTTTATTCATGCTGAAAGAGGCTAGAAAAATGTCTAAAATTGCACACAGTTTGAATGAAGAAGGAAATTGCCTTAAAAGGCAGGAAGGTGAGAAGTGGCATAAGTTTAAGTTGTAGTACTAGAAGTAGTATGATAAGAGGTCAAGCCGTGATACTAGTAGTCATGTCAGCAGTAGAAGTAGATTGAGAATAAAAGTATAAGTCAAAGTAGTAGAGAAAGTAGAAATAGCAGCAATAGCAGCAGTAGAGAAAGTAGAAATAGGAGCAATAGCAGTTGAAGTAGAGGGGAAAGTACTTGTTTAATTGACATTAGCAGTAGTTGTCGTACTTGAGGTAGGATTTTGTTTGAAGGATGGAATAATGCATAAATATGAAAACTAATTTAAACAGGGAAAATTTAAATAATGAAAAATCCTCAAGAATCAGAAAGTTTTTAAGTATTAGAAAGGTTTGAATCAGTTTGAATGAGTTTCAATTAGTTTGAAAAAATAAATGATAAATCATCACTGAGTGACTTTAAAATGTGAAAAATTTAAATGAATATAAATCCTAAATACACCCCATAATGTCCTCAATGAGCTTAAATTTTAAAGCCCTGAATGGTTTCTGTAGGTCAAAGGTCATGTGAGGAAATAGGGGCTAAAGTTTTTTCAAGCGCTCTAGGAAAGGGTTTTAAGTGTCATCCCCAGTGCTATGTGTACTGAGCCTGGCTTCATGTGTCTCATATGGCCATTAGAAGCAGCTTTCCAGTCAGCTGTGTGTCTCCAGGTGCACAAGTTGGTTGCCATGGGGACCTTGGATGCATAACTATAGCAGGAGAAAGAAGGCTTAAAGCTAAGGAAACAGGACTCCAAGTAGGCCCTGACGCTCATCCTCTGTATATATTCATAAGGAGCTTGTGAGAACACAAGACTCTGCTGAACACATTAATACAATTTATTATCACAATCTTCAAAACACCCCATAATATCTTGAATGAGCTGAATTTTTGAAGCCCAGAATGGTTCCTGTGGCTCAAAGTTTGTGGTTGGAGATAGGTGGTGAAGCAGACACATATTAAATGTGTGTACAAGCAGCTGAACTGCAAGGTAGACCTCACAAAGCAACAAGTACAAGAATGTGTGTTTGTGTGTGTGTGTGTGTGTCTCGTTAATGATTGCATCCTAAACAGCTGAAAGATCAAAGCCATGAACTGACCTATTGTTTGAATGGAGAAGCTGCTGAACTGCAGTGAATTAAGGGTTCTGAACTTCTTCACATAGCACGATTTCCTTAAGTCCCAGAATGAAAATAAGAACATCGTACAAATCCTCCGCCCTTCATGAACACAATGATGTGTTTTTCATGTCTGTACTCCGAAAAATGTGGCCACAACAGCGAGTTAAAAAAGTCTGAGCCTGAGTGGCGATAAGGATTTTCTTGGAGAAAAAATACATTAGAGCCAATGGGGAGAGATTTCCGCCTATTTGGACAGTTGGTCACCTGCTGGCCAAGGGGTAAGATTTAATGATTTGAAACCTCTTTTGTGAGAAGCAGGACACATATACCTCCATTTTGATGTATTTTTTATGGCTGTGGAGTGAGATTTGTGGGCGTGGGAGCGATATATTCGAGCGAGGTTCTGTCGATCAGAGACGAGGTCTGCACTCTAGCTTTTCAAATCATCACTCTAGCCTCTCCAATACACCCCTATTATAAAGCCTGAAATTAGCTGAAAACCACAAGTTGCATAAAGCTAAATTGTGGAAAAACTGTAAAAGATAGCACAAAAAGGTTAATACAACATCAATAGTCGACAAGACAATGAACATTTTAAAGCAAAAATGAGGTCTCTAGGTGAAAGTATGCTGAAGTTATAAGGCTTAGAAGGTGGACGAATAACAGGAAGAATTGGAAGATTTCCCCATTCATTTCTATGGGAAAAAAAGTTTGGCACAAAAAGTGAAAAATAATAAAAAGTATAAAGGATAGAAAAGAGAAAAGTAATAGCCATCATGTCCTGAAGGAGTGGAATCGTTTAAAGTTTGAACGGTTGAAATCGGACAAAGTTTGAAGGAGGAGAAGCGGTCCAAAGAAACGTATGGGGAGAGTGTTAAGTATAATACTAGAAAAATTGCATTTCCTTGCAGAAAATGCGTGGAAATGCTGAGTGCTGAAAGCTGAAAAAGCAATGCTAAACTGCTAATAAAACATGGAGAAAGGTATAAATGTTAAAGCTGTTGAAGGGGTGAAAAAGAAATATAAGTTGGATAATTGTTTAATTGGTTGAAGGACAAATAGTATGAATATGCTCTATAAAAGGAAATTTTATTCATGCTGAAAGAGGCTAGAAAAATGTCTCAAATTGCACAAAGTTTGAATGAAGAAGGAAATTGCCTTAAAAGGCAGGAAGGTGAGAGGTGGCATAAGTTTAAGTTGTAGTACTAGAAGTAGTATGATAAGAGGTCAAGTCGTGATACTAGTAGTCATGTCAGCAGTAGAAGTAGTTTGAGAATAAAAGAAGTATAAGTCAAAGTAGAGAAAGTAGAAATAGGAGCAATAGCAGTTGAAGTAGAGGGGAAAGTACTAGTTTAATTGACATTAGCAGTAGTTCTAGTACTTGAGGTATGATTTTGTTTGAAGGATGGAATAATGCATAAATATTAAAACTAATTTAAAACAGGGAAATTTTAAATTATCAAAAGTCCTCAAGTATCAGAAAGTTTTGAAGTATTAGAAAGGTTTGAATCAGTTTGAATGAGTTTAAATTAGTTTGAAAAATTAAATGATAAATCATCACTGACTGACTTTTAAAATGTGAAAAATTTAAATGAATGACAATCCTAAATACACCCAATAATGTCCTCAATGAGCTTAAATTTCAAAGCCCTGAATGGTTTCTGTAGGTCAAAGGTCATGTGAGGAGATAGGGGCTGAAGTTTTTTCCAACGCTCTAGGAAAGGGTTTTAAGTGTCATCCCAATTGCTATGTGTACTGAGCCTGGCTTCATGTGTCTCATATGGCCACTAGAAGCAGCTTTCCAGTCAGCTGTGTGTCTCCAGGTGCACTAATTGGTTGCCATGGGGACCTTGGATGCATAACTATAGCAGGAGAAAGAAGGCCTTGAAGCTAAAGAAACAGGACTCCAAGTAGGCCCTGACGCTCACCCTCTGTATTAATGTGTTCAGCAGAGTCTTGTGTTCTCACAAGCTCCTTATGAATATATACAATTTATTATCACAATCCTCAAAACACCCCATAATATCTTCAATGAGCTGAATTTTTCAAGCCCAGAATGGTTTCTGTAGCTCAAAGTTTGTGGGTGGAGATAGGTGGTGAAGCAGACACATATTAACTGTGTGTACAAGCAGCTGAACTGCAAGGTGGACCTCAAAAAGCAACAAGTACAAGAATGTGTGTGCGTGTGTGTGTGTGTCTCGTTAATGACTGCATCCTAAACAGCTGTGAGATCAAAGGCAAATCACTAACCTACTGTTTGACTGAGAGGTGCTGAACTGCAGTGAATTTCAGCCTGTGAACTTCTTCACATAGCGTGATTTCCTTAAGTCCCAGAATGAAAATAAGAACATCGTACGAATCCTCCGTCCTTCATGAACACAATGATGTGTTTTTCATGTCTGTACTTCGAAAAATGTGGCCACAACAGCGAGTTAAAAAAGTCTGAGCCTGAGTGGGGATAAGGATTTTCTTGGAGAAGAAATACATTAGGTCTAATGGGGAGAGATTTCCACCTATTTGGACAGTTGGTCACCTGCTGGCCAAGGGGTAGGATTTAATGATTTGAAACCTCTTTTGTGAGAAGCAGGACACATATACCTCCATTTTGATGTATTATTTGTGTCAGTGGAGTGAGATTTGTGGGCGTGGGAGCGATATATTCGAGCGAGGTTCTGTCGATCAGAGACGAGGTCTGCACTCTAGCTGATGACATCATCACTCTAAACTCTCCAATACACACCCATTATAAAGCTTGAAATTTGCTGAAAACCACAAGTTGCTTAAAGCTAAATTGTGGAAAAACTGTAAGAGATATCAAAAAACTGAGTACAACTGTAATAGTCGACAAGTGAATGAACATTTTAAAGCAAAAATGAGGTCTCTAGGTGAAAGTATGCTGAAGTTATAAGGTCTAGAAGGTGGAAGAATAAAAGGAAGGAGTGGAAGATTTCCCCATTGACTTCAATGTTAAAATTTTTGCACAAAAAGTTAAAAAAAACAAAAAGTATAAAAGGTAGAAAGGTAAAAAATACAAGCACACATGTCCTGAAGGAGTGGAATAGTTAAAAGTTTGAACGGTTGAAATCGGACAAAGTTTGAAGGAGGAGAAGCGGTCCAAAGAAACGTATGGGGAGAGTGTTAAGTATAATACTAGAAAAATTGCATTTCCTTGCAGAAAATGCGTGGAAATGCTGAGTGCTGAAAGCTAACAAAGCAATGCTAAACTGCTAATAAAACATGGAGAAAGGTATAAATGTTAAAGCTGTTGAAGGAGTGAGAAAGAAATATAGGTTGGATAACTGTTAAATTGGATGAAGGACAAATAGTATGAATATGCTCTATAAAAGGAAATTTTATTCATGCTGAAAGAGGCTAGAAAAATGTCTAAAATTGCACAAAGTTTGAATGAAGAAGGAAACTGCCTTAAAAGGCAGGAAGTTGAGAAGTGGCATAAGTTTAAGTTGTAGTACTAGAAGTAGTATAGGAGGTCAAGTGGTGATACTAGTAGTCATGTCAGCAGTAGAAGTAGTTTGAGAATAAAAGAAGTATAAGTCACAATAGTAGAGAAAGTAGAAATAGGAGCAATAGCAGTTGAAGTAGAGGGGATAGTACTAGTTTAATTGACATTAGCGGTAGTTGTCGTACTTGAGGTAGGATTTTGTTTGAAGGATAGAGTAATGCATAAATATTAAAACTTATTTCAAACAGGGAAAATTTAAATAATTAAAAATCCTCAAGAATCAGAAAGTTTTCAAGTATTAGAAAGGTTTGAATCAGTTTGAATGAGTTTAAATTAGTTTGAAAAAATAAATGATAAATCATCACTTAGTGACTTTAAAATGTAAAAAATTTAAATGAATATAAATCCTAAATACACCCCATAATGTCCTCAATGAGCTTAAATTTTAAAGCCCTGAATGGTTTCTGTAGGTCAAAGGTCATGTGAGGAGATAGGGGCTGAAGTTTTTTCAAGCGCTCTAGGAAAGGGTTTTAAGTGTCATCCCCAGTGCTATGTGTACTGAGCCTGGCTTCATGTGTCTCATATGGCCATTAGAAGCAGCTTTCCAGTCAGCTGCGTGTCTCCAGGTGCACAAGTTGGTTGCCATGGGGACCTTGGATGCATAACTATAGCAGGAGAAAGAAGGCTTAAAGCTAAGGAAACAGGACTCCAAGTAGGCCCTGACGCTCATCGTCTGTATATATTCATGATAAGGAGCTTGTGAGAACACAAGATTTTGCTGAACACATTAATACAATTTATTATCACAATCCTCAAAACACCCCATAATATCTTCAATGAGCTGAATTTTTCAAGCCCAGAATGGTTTCTGTAGCTCAAAGTTTGTGGGTGGAGATAGGTGGTGAAGCAGACACATATTACCTGTGTGTACAAGCAGCTGAACTGCAAGGTAGACCTGACAATGCAACAAGTACAAGAATGTGTGTGTGTGTGTGTGTGTGTGTGTGTGTGTGTGTGTCTCGTTAATGATTGCATCCTAAACAGCTGTGAGATCAAAGGCAAATCACTGACCTACTGTTTGAATGAGAAGCAGCTGAACAGCAGAGGTTTTGAAGCCTGTGAACTTCTTCACATAGCGTGATTTCCTTAAGTCCCAGAATGAAAATAAGAACATCGTACGAATCCTCCGGCCTTCATGAACACAATGATGTCTTTTTCATGTCTGTACTCCGAAAAATGTGGCCACAACAGCGAGTTAAAAAAGTCTGAGCCTGAGTGGGGATAAGGATTTTCTTGGAGAAGAAATACATTAGGTCTAATGGGGAGAGATTTCCGCCTTCCTTGGACAGTTGGTCACCTGCTGGCCAAGGGGTACGATTTAATGATTTGAAACCTCTTTTGTGAGAAGCAGGACACATATACCTCCATTTTGATGTATTATTTGTGTCAGTGGAGTGAGATTTGTGGGCGTGGGAGCGATATATTCGAGCGAGGTTCTGTCGATCAGAGACGAGGTCTGCACTCTAGCTGATGACATCATCACTCTAAACTCTCCAATACACACCCATTATAAAGCTTGAAATTTGCTGAAAACCACAAGTTGCTTAAAGCTAAATTGTGGAAAAACTGTAAGAGATATCAAAAACTGAGTACAACTGTAATAGTCGACAAGTGAATGAACATTTTAAAGCAAAAATGAGGTCTCTAGGTGAAAGTATGCTGAAGTTATAAGGTCTAGAAGGTGGAAGAATAAAAGGAAGAGTGGAAGATTTCCCCATTGACTTCAATGTTAAAATTTTTGCACAAAAAGTTAAAAAAAACAAAAAGTATAAAAGGTAGAAAGGTAAAAAAAATACAAGCACACATGTCCTGAAGGAGTGGAATAGTTTAAAGTTTGAACGGTTGAAATCGCACAAAGTTTGAAGGAGTTGAAAGCGGACAAAAAACGGCGGAAGAATATAATAATAATAATAAAGAAACAGGAGAATAACAATAAGTGGAAATGCCTATCAGCATTTCCACTTAACTAGAAAAATTGCATTTCCTTGCAGAAAATGCGTGGAAATGCTGAGTGCTGAAAGCTGAAAAAGCAATGCTAAACTGCTAATAAAACATGGAGAAAGGTATAAATGTTAAAGCTGTTGAAGGGGTGAACAGAAATATAAGTTGGATAATTGATTAATTGGTTGAAGGACAAATAGTATGAATATGCTCTATAAAAGGAAATTTTATTCATGCTGAAAGAGGCTAGAAAAATGTCGAAAATTGCACAAAGTTTGAATGAAAAAGGAAATTGCCTTAAAAGGCAGGAAGGTGAGAAGTGGCATAAGTTTAAATTGTAGTACTAGAAGTAGTATTATAAGAAGTCAAGTCGTGATACTAGTAGTCATGTCAGCAGTAGAAGTAGATTGAGAATAAAAGAAGTATAAGTCAAAGTAGTAAAGAAAGTAGAAATAGGAGCAATAGCAGTTTAAGTAGAGGGGAAAGTTCTAGTTTAATTGACATTAGCAGTAGTTGTCGTACTTGAGGTAGGATTTTGTTTGAATGATGGAGTAATGCATAAATATTAAAACTAATTTAAAACAGGGAAATTTTAAATTATCAAAAGTCCTCAAGTATCAGAAAGTTTTGAAGTATTAGAAAGGTTTGAATCAGTTTGAATGAGTTTAAATTAGTTTGAAAAATGTAATGATAAATCATCACTGACTGACTTTTAAAATGTGAAAAATTTAAATGAATAACAATCCTAAATACACCCAATAATGTCCTCAATGAGCTTAAATTTCAAAGCCCTGAATGGTTTCTGTAGGTCAAAGGTCATGTGAGGAGATAGGGGCTGAAGTTTTTTCCAACGCTCTAGGAAAGGGTTTTAAGTGTCATCCCAATTGCTATGTGTACTGAGCCTGGCTTCATGTGTCTCATATGGCCACTAGAAGCAGCTTTCCAGTCAGCTGTGTGTCTCCAGGTGCACAAATTGGTTGCCATGGGGACCTTGGATGCATAACTATAGCAGGAGAAGAAGGCTTGAAGCTAAAGAAACAGGACTCCAAGTAGGCCCTGACGCTCACCCTCTGTATATATTCATAAGGAGCTTGTGAGAACACAAGACTCTGCTGAACACATTAATACAATTTATTATCACAATCCTCAAAACACCCCATAATATCTTCAATGAGCTGAATTTTTCAAGCCCAGAATGGTTTCTGTAGCTCAAAGTTTGTGGGTGGAGATAGGTGGTGAAGCAGACACATATTAACTGTGTGTACAAGCAGCTGAACTGCAAGGTGGACCTCAAAAAGCAACAAGTACAAGAATGTGTGTGTGTGTGTGTGTGTGTGTGTGTCTCGTTAATGACTGCATCCTAAACAGCTGTGAGATCAAAGGCAAATCACTAACCTACTGTTTGACTGAGAGGTGCTGAACTGCAGTGAATTTCAGCCTGTGAACTTCTTCACATAGCGTGATTTCCTTAAGTCCCAGAATGAAAATAAGAACATCGTACGAATCCTCCGTCCTTCATGAACACAATGATGTGTTTTTCATGTCTGTACTCCGAAAAATGAGGCCACAACAGCGAGTTAAAAAAGTCTGAGCCTGAGCGATGATCCGGATTTTCTTGGAGAAAAATAACATTATGGTCAATGGGAGAGATTTCGCCTATTTGGACAGTTGGTCACCTGCTGGCCAAGGGGTACGATTTAATGATTTGAAACCTCTTTTGTGAGAAGCAGGACACATATACCTCCATTTTGATGTATTTTTTATGGTGTGGAGTGAGATTTGTGGGCGTGGGAGCGATATATTCGAGCGAGGTTCTGTCGATCAGAGACGAGGTCTGCACTCTAGCTTTTCAAATCATCACTCTAGCCTCTCCAATACACCCCTATTATAAAGCCTGAAATTTGCTGAAAACCACAAGTTGCATAAAGCTAAATTGTGGAAAAACTGTAAAAGATAGCACAAAAAGGTTAATACAATATCAATAGTCGACAAGACAATGAACATTTTAAAGCAAAAATGAGGTCTGTAGGTGAAAGTATGCTGAAGTTATAAGGCTTAGAAGGTGGACGAATAACAGGAAGAATTGAAAGATTTCCCCATTCATTTCTATGGGAAAAAAAGTTTGGCACAAAAAGTGAAAAATAATAAAAAGTATAAAGGGTAGAAAAGAGAAAAGTAATAGCCATCATGTCCTGATGGAGCGGAATAGTTTAAAGTTTGAACGGTTGAAATCGGACAAAGTTTGAAGGAGGAGAAGCGGTCCAAAGAAACATATGGGGAGAGTGTTAAGTATAATACTAGAAAAATTGCATTTCCTTGCAGAAAATGCGTGGAAATGCTGAGTGCTGAAAGCTGAAAAAGCAATGCAAAACTGCCAATAAAAAATGGAGGAAGGTATAAACGGAAAAACTGTAGAAAAGGTGGAGTAGAAGAAGAAGAAATTGTATGAATGGAAGAATTGTAGTATAGCTGGAGGTAAATTAGTTGGATTAATGTACAAATTGTCTGATAGCCTAAGTGAAAAATGTATATGATTGATGTGAATAAACAGAACTGATATGGATAATTGAATTTGAAAAACAAATGCCTTTAAACAATGTGTAACAATGTTCCTATTAAATGTACAAATAGTAAAACAGATTTTAGCAGTCTGCAGCATCCAACCATAGTAACTTGAGAATGCAGAACAGCACCATCTATTGCCCTGCTTCAGTTACTGCCCTACATCTGAATGCAGAAAGTATGAAACAGCTGAAGTTAAATTAATTGTATAAATGTAGAAAGTATAGAAAAGAAAAGCAGAAGTAGAAGAAAAAGAAGAAGTTAGTATGTTAAAAGAGTTAAAGACAAGAACTGTAACAACAAAGTTCATATTGGGGCTGTATTTTCTACTGACAGAGAGACAGTATTGCACACATGGAAACAGTGTGTGTGTGTGTGTGTGTGTGTGTGTGTGTGTGTGTGTGTGTGTGTGTGTGTGTGTGTGTGTGCCCGCGCGCGCGCGGCCGAGCCCGTGCGTGTGCATATGCGTGTGTGATCGAAGCACACAGCCCATGACAAGTGCAGAATCTGACAGAGACAGTAAGAGAGAAAGAGACACAGTAATGCACTCATGGAAACAGTGTGTGTGTATGTGTGTGTGCCCGCGCGCGCACGAGCGGCCAAGTCCGTGCGTGTGCGATCGAAGCACACAGCCCATGACAAGTGCAGAATCTGACAGAGACAGTAAGAGAGAAAGAGACACAGTAATGCACTCATGGAAACAGTGTGTGTGTATGTGTGTGTGCCCGCGCGCGCACGAGCGGCCAAGTCCGTGCGTGTGCGATCGAAGCACACAGCCCATGACAAGTGCAGAATCTCTGGCTCTGAAGGAATGTACTCACCTCCTGGGCAAGCTGTACAATTTCATGACTTCAGACCGATTTTGTGAGAAGCAGGACGAGTGTACCTCCATTTTGATGTGTTTTTTATGGCTGTGGAGTGAAAATTGCGGCCGCAGCAGCAAAATAATCATGCTTGGTGTAGTGAATCCAAAAGGCCCCGCCCGCATCTAGCGGTGACGTAACATCTGACGTCACACGCTGTAGCGTGAGTCAGGCTGAAAAAGGCAGAAGACTTCATGTTGCTCCAAGCGAAATTGTGCAAAAACGGTAGGAAATAGCAAAAAGGAGTGAATACAACATTTGTAGCAGACACGTTGCTGAACATTTTAAAGCAAAAATGAGGTCTGTAGGTGAAAGTATGCAGAAGTTATAAGGGTGAGAAGGTGTTATAGCTGTATCTCCATTCATTTGTAATGGAACAAATTTTGCAGAAAAAGTGAAATATTGCAAAAAGTATAAATGGTAGAAAGGTGAAAAGTAATAGCCGTAATGTCCTGAAGGAGTGCATTAGTATAAAGTTTGAATGGTGAAAATAGCACAAAGTGGTGAGGAGTTGAAAAGGGCCAAAAAAGGTACGGAAGAATAATAATAATAAAGAAATAGTAGAATAACAACTAGAAAAATTGCATTTCCTTGCAGAAAATGCGTGGAAATGCTGAGTGCTGAAAGCTGAAAAAGCAATGCTAAACTGCTAATAAAACATGGAGAAAGGTATAAATGTTAAAGCTGTTGAAGGGGTGAAAAAGAAATATAAGTTGGATAATAGTTTAATTGGTTGAAGGACAAATAGTATGAATATGCTCTATAAAAGGAAATTTTATTCATGCTGAAAGAGGCTAGAAAAATGTCGAAAATTGCACAAAGTTTGAATGAAGAAGGAAACTGCCTTTAAAGGCAGGAAGGTGAGAAGTGGCATAAGTTTAAGTTGTAGTACTAGAAGAAGTATGATAAGAAGTCAAGTCGTGATACTAGTAGTCATGTCAGCAGTAGAAGTAGATTGAGAATAAAAGAAGTATAAGTCAAAGTAGTAAAGAAAGTAGAAATAGTAGCAATAGCAGCAGTAGAGAAAGTAGAAATAGGAGCAATAGCAGTTGAAGTAGAGGGGAAAGTTCTAGTTTAATTGACATAAGTAGTTGTAGTACTAGAGGTAGGATTTTGTTTGAAGGACGGATTAATGCATAAATATTAAAAAATAATATAAAACAGGGAAAATTTTATTAATTAAAAATCCTCAAGTATCAGACAGTTTTTAAGTATTAGAAAGGTTTGAATCATTTTGAATGAGTTTAAATTAGTTTGAAAAATTAAATGATAAATTATCACTGAGTGACTTTAAAATGTGAAACATTTAAATGAATATAAATCCTAAATACACCCCATATTGTCCTCAATGAGCTTAAATTTTAAAGCCCTGAATGGTTTCTGTAGGTCAAAGGTCATGTGAGGAGATAGGGGCTGAAGGTTTTTCAAGCGCTCTAGGAAAGGGTTTTAAGTGTCATCCCCAGTGCTATGTGTACTGGACTGGCTTCATGTGTCTCATATGGCCATTAGAAGCAGCTTTCCAGTCAGCTGTGTGTCTCCAGGTGCACAAATTGGTTGCCATGGGGACCTTGGATGAATAACTATAGCAGGAGAAAGAAGGCTTGAAGCTAAGGAAACAGGACTCCAAGTAGGCCCTGACGCTCATCCTCTGTATAAATTCATAAGGAGCTTGTGAGAACACAAGATTTTGCTGAACACATTAATACAATTTATTATCACAATCCTCAAAACACCCCATAATATCTTCAATGAGCTGAATTTTATAAGCCCAGAATGGTTTCTGTAGCTCAAAGTTTGTGGGTGGAGATAGGTGGCGAAGCAGACACATATTAACTGTGTGTACAAGCAGCTGAACTGCAAGGTAGACCTCATAAAGCAACAACTACAAGAATGTGTGTGTGTGTGTGTGTGTGTGTGTGTGTCTCATTAATGACTGCATCCTAAACAGCTGTGAGATCAAAGGCAAATCACTGACCTACTGTTTGAATGAGAAGCAGCTGAACTGCAGAGGATTTAGAGGCTCTAAACTTCTTCACATAGCGTGATTTCCTTAAGTCCCAGAATGAAAATAAGAACATCGTACGAATCCTCCGCCCTTCATGAACACAATGATGTCTTTTTCATGTCTGTACTCCGAAAAATGTGGCCACAACAGCGAGTTAAAAAAGTCTGAGCCTGAGTGGCGATAAGGATTTTCTTGGAGAAAAAATACATTAGAGCCAATGGGGAGAGATTTCCGCCTATTTGGACAGTTGGTCACCTGCTGGCCAAGGGGTAAGATTTAATGATTTGAAACCTCTTTTGTGAGAAGCAGGACACATATACCTCCATTTTGATGTATTTTTTATGGCTGTGGAGTGAGATTTGTGGGCGTGGGAGCGATATATTCGAGCGAGGTTCTGTCGATCAGAGACGAGGTCTGCACTCTAGCTTTTCAAATCATCACTCTAGCCTCTCCAATACACCCCTATTATAAAGCCTGAAATTAGCTGAAAACCACAAGTTGCATAAAGCTAAATTGTGGAAAAACTGTAAAAGATAGCACAAAAAGGTTAATACAACATCAATAGTCGACAAGACAATGAACATTTTAAAGCAAAAATGAGGTCTCTAGGTGAAAGTATGCTGAAGTTATAAGGCTTAGAAGGTGGACGAATAACAGGAAGAATTGGAAGATTTCCCCATTCATTTCTATGGGAAAAAAAGTTTGGCACAAAAAGTGAAAAATAATAAAAAGTATAAAGGATAGAAAAGAGAAAAGTAATAGCCATCATGTCCTGAAGGAGTGGAATCGTTTAAAGTTTGAACGGTTGAAATCGGACAAAGTTTGAAGGAGGAGAAGCGGTCCAAAGAAACGTATGGGGAGAGTGTTAAGTATAATACTAGAAAAATTGCATTTCCTTGCAGAAAATGCGTGGAAATGCTGAGTGCTGAAAGCTGAAAAAGCAATGCTAAACTGCTAATAAAACATGGAGAAAGGTATAAATGTTAAAGCTGTTGAAGGGGTGAAAAAGAAATATTAGTTGGATAATGGTTTAATTGGTTGAAGGACAAATAGTATGAATATGCTCTATAAAAGGAAATTTTATTCATGCTGAAAGAGGCTAGAAAAATGTTTAAAATTGCACAAAGTTTGAATGAAGAAGGAAACTGCCTTAAAAGGCAGGAAGGTGAGAAGTGGCATAAGTTTAAGTTGTAGTACTAGAAGTAGTATGATAAGAGGTCAAGTCGTGATACTTGTAGTCGTGTCAGCAGTAGAAGTAGTTTGAGAATAAAAGAAGTATAAGTCAAAATAGTAGAGAAAGTAGAAACAGTAGCAATAGCAGTTGAAGTAGAGAAAGTAGAAATAGGAGCAATAGCAGTTGAAGTAGAGGGGAAAGTTCTAGTTTAATTGACATTAGCAGTAGTTGTCGTACTTGAGGTAGGATTTTGTTTGAATGATGGAGTAATGCATAAATATTAAAACTAATTTAAAACAGGGAAAATTTTAATTATCAAAAGTCCTCAAGTATCAGAAAGTTTTGATTAGAAAGGTTTGAATCAGTTTGAATGAGTTTAAATTAGTTTCAAAAATTAAATGATAAATCATCACTGACTGACTTTTAAAATGTGAAAAATTTAAATGAATAACAATCCTAAATACACCCCATAATGTCCTCAATGAGCTTAAATTTCAAAGCCCTGAATGGTTTCTGTAGGTCAAAGGTCATGTGAGGAGATAGGGGCTGAAGTTTTTTCCAACGCTCTAGGAAAAGGTTTTAAGTGTCATCCCAATTGCTATGTGTACTGAGCCTGGCTTCATGTGTCTCATATGGCCACTAGAAGCAGCTTTCCAGTCAGCTGTGTGTCTCCAGGTGCACAAATTGGTTGCCATGGGGACCTTGGATGCATAACTATAGCAGGAGAAAGAAGGCTTGAAGCTAAAGAAACAGGACTCCAAGTAGGCCCTGACGCTCACCCTCTGTATATATTCATAAGGAGCTTGTGAGAACACAAGACTCTGCTGAACACATTAATACAATTTATTATCACAATCCTCAAAACACCCCATAATATCTTCAATGAGCTGAATTTTTGAAGCCCAGAATGGTTTCTGTAGCTCAAAGTTTGTGGGTGGAGATAGGTGGTGAAGCAGACACATATTAACTGTGTGTACAAGCAGCTGAACTGCAAGGTAGACCTCATAAAGCAACAACTACAAGAATGTGTGTGCGTGTGTGTGTGTGTGTCTCGTTAATGACTGCATCCTAAACAGCTGTGAGATCAAAGGCAAATCACTGACCTACTGTTTGAATGAGAAGCAGCTGAACTGCAGAGGATTTAGAGGCTCTAAACTTCTTCACATAGCGTGATTTCCTTAAGTCCCAGAATGAAAATAAGAACATCGTACGAATCCCCCGTCCTTCATGAACACAATGATGTGTTTTTCATGTCTGTACTCCGAAAAATGAGGCCACAACAGCGAGTTAAAAAAGTCTGAGCCTGAGCGATGATCCGGATTTTCTTGGAGAGAAATAACATTACAGTCAATGGGAGAGATTTCCGCCTTTTTTGGACAGTTGGTCACCTGCTGGCCAAGGGGTACGATTTAATGATTTGAAACCTCTTTTGTGAGAAGCAGGACACATATACCTCCATTTTGATGTATTATTTATGTCAGTGGAGTGAGATTTGTGGGCGTGGGAGCGATATATTCGAGCGAGGTTCTGTCGATCAGAGACGAGGTCTGCACTCTAGCTGATGACATCATCACTCTAAACTCTCCAATACACACCCATTATAAAGCTTGAAATTTGCTGAAAACCACAAGTTGCTTAAAGCTAAATTGTGGAAGAACTGTAGAAGATATCAAAAAACCGAGTACAACTGTAATAGTCGACAAGTGAGTGAACATTTTAAAGCAAAAATGAGGTCTCTAGGTGAAAGTATGCTGAAGTTATAAGGTCTAGAAGGTGGAAGAAAAAAAGAAAGAAGTGGAAGATTTCCCCATTGACTTCAATGTTAAAATTTTTGCACAAAAAGTTAAAAAAATCAAAAAGTATAAAGGGTAGAAAAGAGAAAAGTAATAGCCATAATGTCCTGAAGGAGTGGAATAGTTTAAAGTTTGAACGGTTGAAATCGGACAAAGTTTGAAGGAGGAGAAGCGTTGCAAAAAAGGGACGGAAGAATAATAATAATAATAAGTTTAATAAAGAAACGGGAGAATAACAATAAGTGGAAATGCCTATCAGCATTTCCACTTAACTAGAAAAATTGCATTTCCTTGCAGAAAATGCGTGGAAATGCTGAGTGCTGAAAGCTGAAAAAGCAATGCTAAACTGCTAATAAAACATGGAGAAAGGTATAAATGTTAAAGCTGTTGAAGGGGTGAGAAAGAAATGTAAGTTGGATAATTGATTAATTGGTTGAAGGACAAATAGTATGAATATGCTCTATAAAAGAAAATTTTATTCATGCTGAAAGAGGCTAGAAAAATGTCTAAAATTGCACAAAGTTTGAATGAAGAAGGAAATTGCCTTAAAAGGCAGGAAGGTGAGAAGTGGCATAAGTTTAAATTGTAGTACTAGAAGTAGTATGATAAGAAGTCAAGTCGTGATACTAGTAGTCATATCAGCAGTAGAAGTAGATTGAGAATAAAAGAAGTATAAGTCAAAGTAGTAAAGAAAGTAGAAATAGGAGCAATAGCTGTTGAAGTAGAGGGGAAAGTTCTAGTTTAATTGACATTAGCAGTAGTTGTCGTACTTGAGGTAGGATTTTGTTTGAATGGAGTAATGCATAAATATTAAAACTAATTTAAAACAGGGAAATTTTAAATTATCAAAAGTCCTCAAGTATCAGAAAGTTTTGAAGTATTAGAAAGGTTTGAATCAGTTTGAATGAGTTTAAATTAGTTTGAAAAATTAAATGATAAATCATCACTGACTGACTTTTAAAATGTGAAAAATTTAAATGAATAACAATCCTAAATACACCCAATAATGTCCTCAATGAGCTTAAATTTCAAAGCCCTGAATGGTTTCTGTAGGTCAAAGGTCATGTGAGGAGATAGGGGCTGAAGTTTTTTCAACGCTCTAGGAAAGGTTTTAAGTGTCATCCCAATTGCTATGTGTACTGAGCCTGGCTTCATGTGTCTCATATGGCCACTAGAAGCAGCTTTCCAGTCAGCTGTGTGTCTCCAGGTGCACAAATTGGTTGCCATGGGGACCTTGGATGCATAACTATAGCAGGAGAAAGAAGGCTTGAAGCTAAAGAAACAGGACTCCAAGTAGGCCCTGACGCTCACCCTCTGTATATATTCATAAGGAGCTTGTGAGAACACAAGACTCTGCTGAACACATTAATACAATTTATTATCACAATCCTCAAAACACCCCATAATATCTTCAATGAGCTGAATTTTTGAAGCCCAGAATGGTTTCTGTAGCTCAAAGTTTGTGGGTGGAGATAGGTGGCGAAGCAGACACATATTAACTGTGTGTACAAGCAGCTGAACTGCAAGGTAGACCTCATAAAGCAACAAGTACAAGAATGTGTGTGTGTGTGTGTGTGTGTGTGTGTCTCGTTAATGACTGCATCCTAAACAGCTGTGAGATCAAAGGCAAATCACTGACCTACTGTTTGAATGAGAAGCAGCTGAACTGCAGAGGATTTAGAGGCTCTAAACTTCTTCACATAGCGTGATTTCCTTAAGTCCCAGAATGAAAATAAGAACATCGTACGAATCCTCCGTCCTTCATGAACACAATGATGTCTTTTTCATGTCTGTACTCCGAAAAATGTGGCCACAACAGCGAGTTAAAAAAGTCTGAGCCTGAGTGGGGATAAGGATTTTCTTGGAGAAGAAATACATTAGGTCTAATGGGGAGAGATTTCCGCCTATTTGGACAGTTGGTCACCTGCTGGCCAAGGGGTAAGATTTAATGATTTGAAACCTCTTTTGTGAGAAAGCAGGACACATATACCTCCATTTTGATGTATTTTTTATGGGTGTGGAGTGAGATTTGTGAGCGTGGGAGCGATATATTCGAGCGAGGTTCTGTCGATCAGAGACGAGGTCTGCACTCTAGCTTTTCAAATCATCACTCTAGCCTCTCCAATACACCCCTATTATAAAGCCTGAAATTTGCTGAAAACCACAAGTTGCTTAAAGCTAAATTGTGGAAAAACTGTAAAAGATAGCACAAAAAGGTTAATACAATATCAATAGTCGACAAGACAATGAACATTTTAAAGCAAAAATGAGGTCTCTAGGTGAAAGTATGCTGAAGTTATAAGGCTTAGAAGGTGGACGAATAACAGGAAGAATTGAAAGATTTCCCCATTCATTTCTATGGGAAAAAAAGTTTGGCACAAAAAGTGAAAAATAATAAAAAGTATAAAGGGTAGAAAAAAGAAAAGTAATAGCCATCATGTCCTGAAGGAGTGGAATCGTTTAAAGTTTGAACGGTTGAAATGGGACAAAGTTTGAAGGAGGAGAAGCGGTCCAAAGAAACGTATGGGGAGAGTGTTAAGTATAATACTAGAAAAATTGCATTTCCTTGCAGAAAATGCGTGGAAATGCTGAGTGCTGAAAGCTAACAAAGCAATGCTAAACTGCTAATAAAACATGGAGAAAGGTATAAATGTTAAAGCTGTTGAAGGGGTGAACAGAAATATAAGTTGGATAATTGATTAATTGGTTGAAGGACAAATAGTATGAATATGCTCTATAAAAGGAAATTTTATTCATGCTGAAAGAGGCTAGAAAAATGTCTCAAATTGCACAAAGTTTGAATGAAGAAGGAAATTGCCTTAAAAGGCAGGAAGGTGAGAAGTGGCATAAGTTTAAATTGTAGTACTAGAAGTAGTATGATAAGAAGTCAAGTCGTGATACTAGTAGTCATGTCAGCAGTAGAAGTAGATTGAGAATAAAAGAAGTATAAGTCAAAGTAGTAAAGAAAGTAGAAATAGGAGCAATAGCAGTTGAAGTAGAGGGGAAAGTTCTAGTTTAATTGACATTAGCAGTAGTTGTCGTACTTGAGGTAGGATTTTGTTTGAATGATGGAGTAATGCATAAATATTAAAACTAATTTAAAACAGGGAAATTTTAAATTATCAAAAGTCCTCAAGTATCAGAAAGTTTTGAAGTATTAGAAAGGTTTGAATCAGTTTGAATGAGTTTAAATTAGTTTGAAAAATTAAATGATAAATCATCACTGTCTGACTTTTAAAATGTGAAAAATTTAAATGAATAACAATCCTAAATACACCCAATAATGTCCTCAATGAGCTTAAATTTCAAAGCCCTGAATGGTTTCTGTAGGTCAAAGGTCATGTGAGGAGATAGGGGCTGAAGTTTTTTCCAACGCTCTAGGAGAGGGTTTTAAGTGTCATCCCAATTGCTATGTGTACTGAGCCTGGCTTCATGTGTCTCATATGGCCACTAGAAGCAGCTTTCCAGTCAGCTGTGTGTCTCCAGGTGCACAAATTGGTTGCCATGGGGACCTTGGATGCATAACTATAGCAGGAGAAAGAAGGCTTGAAGCTAAGGAAACAGGACTCCAAGTAGGCCCTGACGCTCACCCTCTGTATATATTCATAAGGAGCTTGTGAGAACACAAGATTTTGCTGAACACATTAATACAATTTATTATCACAATCCTCAAAACACCCCATAATATCTTCAATGAGCTGAATTTTTCAAGCCCAGAATGGTTTCTGTGGCTCAAAGTTTGTGGGTGGAGATAGGTGGTGAAGCAGACACATATTAACTGTGTGTACAAGCAGCTGAACTGCAAGGTAGACCTCACAAAGCAATGAGTACAAGAATGTGTGTGCGTGTGAGTGTGTGTGTCTTGTTAATGACTGCATCCTAAACAGCTGTGAGATCAAAGGCAAATCACTGACCTACTGTTTGAATGAGAAGCAGGTGAACTGCAGAGGATTTGAAGCCTGTGAACTTCTTCACATAGCGTGATTTCCTTAAATCCCAGAATGAAAATAAGAACATCGTACGAATCCTCCGTCCTTCATGAACACAATGATGTGTTTTTCATGTCTGTACTTCGAAAAATGAGGCCACAACAGCGAGTTAAAAAAGTCTGAGCCTGAGCGATGATCCGGATTTTCTTGGAGAAAAATAACATTATGGTCAATGGGAGAGATTTCCGCCTTTTTTGGACAGTTGGTCACCTCCTGCCCAAGGGGTACGATTTAATGATTTGAAACCTCTTTTGTGAGAAGCAGGACACATATACCTCCATTTTGATGTATTATTTGTGTCAGTGGAGTGAGATTTGTGGGCGTGGGAGCGATATATTCGAGCGAGGTTCTGTCGATCAGAGACGAGGTCTGCACTCTAGCTGATGACATCATCACTCTAAACTCTCCAATACACACCCATTATAAAGCTTGAAATTTGCTGAAAACCACAAGTTGCTTAAAGCTAAATTGTGGAAAAACTGTAACAGATATCAAAAAACTGAGTACAACTATAATAGTCGACAAGTGAATGAACATTTTAAAGCAAAAATGAGGTCTCTAGGTGAAAGTATGCTGAAGTTATAAGGTCTAGAAGGTGGAAGAATAAAAGGAAGGAGTGGAAGATTTCCCCATTGACTTTAATGTTAAAATTTTTGCACAAAAAGTTAAAAAAAACAAAAAGTATAAAAGGTAGAAAAGTAAAAAGTACAAGCAAACATGTCCTGAAGGAGTGGAATAGTTTAAAGTTTGAACGGTTGAAATCGCACAAACTGGGAAGGAGTTGAAAGCGGACGAAAAACGGCGGAAGAATAATAAGTTTAATAATAATAATAATAATAATAAAGAAACAGGAGAATAACAATAAGTGGAAATGCCTATCAGCATTTCCACTTAACTAGAAAAATTGCATTTCCTTGCAGAAAATGCGTGGAAATGCTGAGTGCTGAAAGCTGAAAAAGCAATGCTAAACTGCTAATAAAACATGGAGAAAGGTATAAATGTTAAAGCTGTTGAAGGGGTGAACAGAAATATAAGTTGGATAATTGATTAATTGGTTGAAGGACAAATAGTATGAATATGCTCTATAAAAGGAAATTTTATTCATGCTGAAAGAGGCTAGAAAAATGTCGAAAATTGCACAAAGTTTGAATGAAGAAGGAAATTGCCTTAAAAGGCAGGAAGATGAGAAGTGGCATAAGTTTAAATTGTAGTACTAGAAGTAGTATGATAAGAAGTCAAGTCGTGATACTAGTAGTCATGTCAGCAGTAGAAGTAGATTGAGAATAAAAGAAGTATAAGTCAAAGTAGTAAAGAAAGTAGAAATAGGAGCAATAGCAGTTGAAGTAGAGGGGAAAGTACTAGTTTAATTGACATTAGCAGTAGTTGTCGTACTTGAGGTAGGATTTTGTTTGAATGATGGAGTAATGCATAAATATTAAAACTAATTTAAAACAGGGAAATTTTAAATTATCAAAAGTCCTCAAGTATCAGAAAGTTTTGAAGTATTAGAAAGGTTTGAATCAGTTTGAATGAGTTTAAATTAGTTTGAAAAATTAAATGATAAATCATCACTGACTGACTTTTAAAATGTGAAAAATTTAAATGAATAACAATCCTAAATACACCCAATAATGTCCTCAATGAGCTTAAATTTCAAAGCCCTGAATGGTTTCTGTAGGTCAAAGGTCATGTGAGGAGATAGGGGCTGAAGTTTTTTCCAACGCTCTGGGAAAGCGTTTTAAGTGTCATCCCAATTGCTATGTGTACTGAGCCTGGCTTCATGTGTCTCATATGGCCACTAGAAGCAGCTTTCCAGTCAGCTGTGTGTCTCCAGGTGCACAAATTGGTTGCCATGGGGACCTTGGATGCATAACTATAGCAGGAGAAAGAAGGCTTGAAGCTAAAGAAACAGGACTCCAAGTAGGCCCTGACGCTCACCCTCTGTATATATTCATAAGGAGCTTGTGAGAACACAAGACTCTGCTGAACACATTAATACAATTTATTATCACAATCCTCAAAACACCCCATAATATCTTCAATGAGCTGAATTTTTGAAGCCCAGAATGGTTTCTGTAGCTCAAAGTTTGTGGGTGGAGATAGGTGGTGAAGCAGACACATATTAACTGTGTGTACAAGCAGCTGAACTGCAAGGTGGACCTCAAAAAGCAACAAGTACAAGAATGTGTGTGCGTGTGTGTGTGTGTGTGTGTCGTTAATGACTGCATCCTAAACAGCTGTGAGATCAAAGGCAAATCACTAACCAACTGTTTGACTGAGAGGTGCTGAACTGCAGTGAATTTCAGCCTGTGAACTTCTTCACATAGCGTGATTTCCTTAAGTCCCAGAATGAAAATAAGAACATCGTACGAATCCTCCGTCCTTCATGAACACAATGATGTGTTTTTCATGTCTGTACTTCGAAAAATGAGGCCACAACAGCGAGTTAAAAAAGTCTGAGCCTGAGCGATGATCCGGATTTTCCTGGAGAAAAATAACATTATGGTCAATGGGAGAGATTTCCGCCTTTTTTGGACAGTTGGTCACCTGCTGGCCAAGGGGTACGATTTAATGATTTGAAACCTCTTTTGTGAGAAGCAGGACACATATACCTCCATTTTGATGTATTATTTGTGTCAGTGGAGTGAGATTTGTGGGCGTGGGAGCGATATATTCGAGCGAGGTTCTGTCGATCAGAGACGAGGTCTGCACTCTAGCTGATGACATCATCACTCTAAACTCTCCAATACACACCCATTATAAAGCTTGAAATTTGCTGAAAAACACAAGTTGCTTAAAGCTAAATTGTGGAAAAACTGTAAAAGATATCAAAAAACTGAGTACAACTTTAATAGTCGACAAGTGAATGAACATTTTAAAGAAAAAATTAGGTCTCTAGGTGAAAGTATGCTGAAGTTATAAGGTCTAGAAGGTGGAAGAGGAAAAGGTAGATTTTAAGATTTCCCCATTCATTTTTAATGGTACAAATTTTGCACAAAAAGTTAAAAAAAACAAAAAGTATAAAGGGTAGAAAGGAAAAAAATAGACGCCATAATGTCCTGAATGAGTGGAATAGTTTAAAGTTTGAACGGTTGAAATCGGACAAAGTTTGAAGGAGGAGAAGCGGTCCAAAAATCGGCGGAAGAATAATAATAAGTTTAATAAAGAAACAGGAGAATAACAATAAGTGGAAATGCTTAATCAGCATTTCCACTTAACTAGAAAAATTGCATTTCCTTGCAGAAAATGCGTGGAAATGCTGAGTGCTGAAAGCTGAAAAAGCAATGCTAAACTGCTAATAAAACATGGAGAAAGGTATAAATGTTAAAGCTGTTGAAGGGGTGAAAAAGAAATATAAGTTGGATAATAGTTTAATTGGTTGAAGGACAAATAGTATGAATATGCTCTATAAAAGGAAATTTTATTCATGCTGAAAGAGGCTAGAAAAATGTCTAAAATTGCACAAAGTTTGAATGAAGAAGGAAACTGCCTTTAAAGGCAGGAAGGTGAGAAGTGGCATAAGTTTAAGTTGTAGTACTAGAAGAAGTATGATAAGAAGTCAAGTCGTGATACTAGTAGTCATGTCAGCAGTAGAAGTAGATTGAGAATAAAAGAAGTATAAGTCAAAGTAGTAAAGAAAGTAGAAATAGTAGCAATAGCAGCAGTAGAGAAAGTAGAAATAGGAGCAATAGCAGTTGAAGTAGAGGGGAAAGTTCTAGTTTAATTGACATAAGTAGTTGTAGTACTAGAGGTAGGATTTTGTTTGAAGGACGGATTAATGCATAAATATTAAAAATAATATAAAACAGGGAAAATTTTATTAATTAAAAATCCTCAAGTATCAGACAGTTTTTAAGTATTAGAAAGGTTTGAATCATTTTGAATGAGTTTAAATTAGTTTGAAAAATTAAATGATAAATTATCACTGAGTGACTTTAAAATGTGAAACATTTAAATGAATATAAATCCTAAATACACCCCATAATGTCCTCAATGAGCTTAAATTTTAAAGCCCTGAATGGTTTCTGTAGGTCAAAGGTCATGTGAGGAGATAGGGGCTGAAGGTTTTTCAAGCGCTCTAGGAAAGGGTTTTAAGTGTCATCCCCAGTGCTATGTGTACTGAGCCTGGCTTGATGTGTCTCATATGGCCATTAGAAGCAGCTTTCCAGTCAGCTGTGTGTCTCCAGGTGCACAAATTGGTTGCCATTGGGACCTTGGATGAATAACTATAGCAGGAGAAAGAAGGCTTGAAGCTAAGGAAACAGGACTCCAAGTAGGCCCTGACGCTCATCCTCTGTATAAATTCATAAGGAGCTTGTGAGAACACAAGATTTTGCTGAACACATTAATACAATTTATTATCACAATCCTCAAAACACCCCATAATATCTTCAATGAGCTGAATTTTTCAAGCCCAGAATGGTTTCTGTAGCTCAAAGTTTGTGGGTGGAGATAGGTGGTGAAGCAGACACATATTATCTGTGTGTACAAGCAGGTGAACTGCAAGGTAGACCTGACAATGCAACAAGTACAAGAATGTGTGTGTGTGTGTGTGTCTCATTAATGACTGCATCCCTAACAGCTGTGAGATCAAAGGCAAATCACTGACCTACTGTTTGAATGAGAAGCAGCTGAACTGCAGAGGATTTAGAGGCTCTAAACTTCTTCACATAGCGTGATTTCCTTAAGTCCCAGAATGAAAATAAGAACATCGTACGAATCCTCCGTCCTTCATGAACACAATGATGTCTTTTTCATGTCTGTACTCCGAAAAATGTGGCCACAACAGCGAGTTAAAAAAGTCTGAGCCTGAGTGGGGATAAGGATTTTTTTGGAGAAGAAATACATTACGGTCAATGGGAGAGATTTCTGCCTTTTTTGGACAGTTGGTCACCTGCTGGCCAAGGGGTACGATTTAATGATTTGAAACCTCTTTTGTGAGAAGCAGGACACATATACCTCCATTTTGATGTATTTTTTATGGGTGTGGAGTGAGATTTGTGGGCGTGGGAGCGATATATTCAAGCGAGGTTCTGTCGATCAGAGAGGAGGTCTGCACTCTAGCTTTTCAAATCATCACTCTAGCCTCTCCAATACTGCCCCATTATAAAGCCTGAAATTTGCTGAAAACCACAAGTTGCATAAAGCTAAACTGTGGAAAAACTGTAAAAGATAGCACAAAGAGGTTAATACAACATCAATAGTCGACAAGACAATGAACATTTTAAAGCAAAAATGAGGTCTCTAGGTGAAAGTATGGTGAAGTTATAAGGCTTAGAAGGTGCACGAATAACAGGAAGAATTGGAAGATTTCCCCATTCATTTCTATGGGAAAAAAGTTTGGAACAAAAAGTGAAAAATAATAAAAAGTACAAAGGATAGAAAGGAAAAAAATACAAGCACACATGTCCTGATGGAGTGGAATAGTTTAAAGTTTGAACGGTTGAAATCGGACAAAGTTTGAAGGAGGAGAAGCGGTCCAAAGAAACGTATGGGGAGAGTGTTAAGTATAATACTAGAAAAATTGCATTTCCTTGCAGAAAATGCGTGGAAATGCTGAGTGCTGAAAGCTGAAAAAGCAATGCTAAACTGCTAATAAAACATGGAGAAAGGTATAAATGTTAAAGCTGTTGAAGGGGTGAAAAAGAAATATAAGTTGGATAATAGTTTAATTGGTTGAAGGACAAATAGTATGAATATGCTCTATAAAAGGAAATTTTATTCATGCTGAAAGAGGCTAGAAAAATGTCTAAAATTGCACAAAGTTTGAATGAAGAAGGAAACTGCCTTTAAAGGCAGGAAGGTGAGAAGTGGCATAAGTTTAAGTTGTAGTACTAGAAGAAGTATGATAAGAAGTCAAGTCGTGATACTAGTAGTCATGTCAGCAGTAGAAGTAGATTGAGAATAAAAGAAGTATGAGTCAAAGTAGTAAAGAAAGTAGAAATAGGAGCAATAGCAGCAGTAGAGAAAGTAGAAATAGGAGCAATAGCAGTTGAAGTAGAGGGGAAAGTACTAGTTTAATTGACATAAGTAGTTGTAGTACTAGAGGTAGGATTTTGTTTGAAGGACGGATTAATGCATAAATATTAAAAATAATATAAAACAGGGAAAATTTTATTAATTAAAAATCCTCAAGTATCAGACAGTTTTTAAGTATTAGAAAGGTTTGAATGAGTTTAAATTAGTTTGAAAAATTAAATGATAAATCATCACTGAGTGACTTTAAAATGTGAAAAATGTAAATGAATATAAATCCTAAATACACCCCATAATGTCCTCAATGAGCTTAAATTTTAAAGCCCTGAATGGTTTCTGTAGGTCAAAGGTCATGTGAGGAGATCGGAGCTGAAGTTTTTTCAAGCGCTCTAGGAAAGGGTTTTAAGTGTCATCCCCAGTGCTATGTGTACTTAGCCTGGCTTCATGTGTCTCATATGGCCATTAGAAGCAGCTTTCCAGTCAGCTGTGTATCTCCAGGTGCACAAATTGGTTGCCATGGGGACCTTGGATGCACAACTTTGGCAGGAGAAAGAAGGCTTGAAGCTAAGGAAGCAGGACTCCAAGTAGGCCCTGACGCTCATCCTCTGTATCTATTCCTGATAAGGAGCTTGTGAGAACACAAGACTCTGCTGCACACATTAATACAATTTGTTATCACAATCCTCAAAACACCCCATAATATCTTCAATGAGCTGAATTTTTCAAGCCCAGAATGGTTTCTGTAGCTCAAAGTTTGTGGGTGGAGATAGGTGGCGAAGCAGACACATATTAACTGTGTGTACAAGCAGCTGAACTGCAAGGTAGACCTCATAAAGCAACAAGTACAAGAATATGTGTGTGTGTGTGTGTGTGTCTCGTTAATGACTGCATCCTAAACAGCTGTGAGATCAAAGGCAAATCACTGACCTACTGTTTGAATGAGAAGCAGCTGAACTACAGAGGATTTAGAGGCTCTAAACTTCTTCACATAGCGTGATTTCCTTAAGTCACAGAATGAAAATAAGAACATCGTACGAATCCTCCGCCCTTCATGAACACAATGATGTCTTTTTCATGTCTGTACTTCGAAAAATGAGGCCACAACAGCGAGTTAAAAAAGTCTGAGCCTGAGCGATGATCCAGATTTTCTTGGAGAAAAATAACATGACGGTCAATGGGAGAGATTTCCGCCTTCTTTGGACAGTTGGTCACCTGCTGGCCAAGGGGTACGATTTAATGATTTGAAACCTCTTTTGTGAGAAGAAGGACACATATACCTCCATTTTGATGTATTATTTATGGCTCTGGAGTGAGATTTGTGGGCGTGGGAGCGATATATTCGAGCGAGGTTCTGTCGATCAGAGACGGGGTCTGCACTGTAGCTGATGACATCATCACTCTAAACTCTCCAATACACACCCATTATAAAGCTTGAAATTTGCTGAAAACCACAAGTTGCTTAAAGCTAAATTGTGGAAAAACTGTAGGAGATAGCACAAAAAAGTCAATACAGCATATTTGGAGGAGAAGATTGTGAACATTTTAAAGCAAAAATTAGGTCTGTAGGTGAAAGTACGCTGAAGTTATAAGGCTGAGAAGGTGGAGGAGTAAAAGGTAGAATTTGAAGATTTCCCCATTCATTTCAATGGGAAAATTTTTTGCACAAAAAGTCAAAAATATCAAAAAGTATAAGGGGTAGAAAAGAAAAAAGTAATAGCCATAATGTCCTGAAGGAGTGGAATAGTTTAAAGTTTGAACGGTTGAAATCGGACAAAGTTTGAAGGAGGAGAAGCGTTGCAAAAAAGGGACGGAAGAATAATAATAAGTTTAATAAAGAAACGGGAGAATAACAATAAGTGGAAATGCCTATCAGCATTTCCACTTAACTAGAAAAATTGCATTTCCTTGCAGAAAATGCGTGGAAATGCTGAGTGCTGAAAGCTGAAAAAGCAATGCTAAACTGCTAATAAAACATGGAGAAAGGTATAAATGTTAAAGCTGTTGAAGAGGTGAAAAAGAAATATAAGTTGGATAATTGATTAATTGGTTGAAGGACAAATAGTATGAATATGCTCTATAAAAGGAAATTTTATTCATGCTGAAAGAGGCTAGAAAAATGTCGAAAATTGCACAAAGTTTGAATGAAGAAGGAAATTGCCTTAAAAGGCAGGAAGGTGAGAAGTGGCATAAGTTTAAATTGTAGTACTAGAAGTAGTATGATAAGAAGTCAAGTCGTGATACTAGTAGTCATGTCAGCAGTAGAAGTAGATTGAGAATAAAAGAAGTATAAGTCAAAGTAGTAAAGAAAGTAGAAATAGGAGCAATAGCAGTTGAAGTAGAGGGGAAAGTTCTAGTTTAATTGACATTAGGAGTAGTTGTCGTACTTGAGGTAGGATTTTATTTGAATGATGGAGTAATGCATAAATATTAAAACTAATTTAAAACAGGGAAATTTTAAATTTCCTCAAGTATCAGAAAGTTTTGAAGTATTAGAAAGGTTTGAATCAGTTTGAATGAGTTTAAATTAGTTTGAAAAATTAAATGATAAATCATCACTGACTGACTTTTAAAATGTGAAAAATTTAAATGAATAACAATCCTAAATACACCCAATAATGTCCTCAATGAGCTTAAATTTCAAAGCCCTGAATGGTTTCTGTAGGTCAAAGGTCATATGAGGAGATAGGGGCTGAAGTTTTTTCCAACGCTCTAGGAAAGCGTTTTAAGTGTCATCCCAATTGCTATGTGTACTGAGCCTGGCTTCATGTGTCTCATATGGCCACTAGAAGCAGCTTTCCAGTCAGCTGTGTGTCTCCAGGTGCACAAATTGGTTGCCATGGGGACCTTGGATGCATAACTATAGCAGGAGAAAGAAGGCTTGAAGCTAAAGAAACAGGACTCCAAGTAGGCCCTGACGCTCACCCTCTGTATATATTCATAAGGAGCTTGTGAGAACACAAGACTCTGCTGAACACATTAATACAATTTATTATCACAATCCTCAAAACACCCCATAATATCTTCAATGAGCTGAATTTTTGAAGCCCAGAATGGTTTCTGTAGCTCAAAGTTTGTGGGTGGAGATAGGTGGTGAAGCAGACACATATTAACTGTGTGTACAAGCAGCTGAACTGCAAGGTGGACCTCAAAAAGCAACAAGTACAAGAATGTGTGTGTGTGTGTGTCTCGTTAATGACTGCATCCTAAACAGCTGTGAGATCAAAGGCAAATCACTAACCTACTGTTTGACTGAGAGGTGCTGAACTGCAGTGAATTTCAGCCTGTGAACTTCTTCACATAGCGTGATTTCCTTAAGTCCCAGAATGAAAATAAGAACATCGTACGAATCCTCCGTCCTTCATGAACACAATGATGTCTTTTTCATGTCTGTACTTCGAAAAATGTGGCCACAGCAGCGAGTTAAAAAAGTCTGAGCCTGAGTGGGGATAAGGATTTTCTTGGAGAAGAAATACATTAGGTCTAATGGGGAGAGATTTCCGCCTATTTGGACAGTTGGTCACCTGCTGGCCAAGGGGTAGGATTTAATGATTTGAAACCTCTTTTGTGAGAAGCAGGACACATATACCTCCATTTTGATGTATTTTTTATGGCTGTGGAGTGAGATTTGTGGGCGTGGGAGCGATATATTCAGGCGAGGTTCTGTCGATCAGAGACGAGGTCTGCACTCTAGCTTTTCAAATCATCACTCTAGCCTCTCCAATACACCCCTATTATAAAGCCTGAAATTTGCTGAAAACCACAAGTTGCATAAAGCTAAATTGTGGAAAAACTGTAAAAGATAGCACAAAGAGGTTAATACAACATCAATAGTCGACAAGACAATGAACATTTTAAAGCAAAAATGAGGTCTCTAGGTGAAAGTATGCTGAAGTTATAAGGTCTAGAAGGTGGAGGAATAACAGGAAGAATTGAAGATTTCCCCATTCATTTCTATGGGAAAAAAGTTTGGCACAAAAAGTGAAAAATAATAAAAAGTATAAAGGGTAGAAAAGAGAAAAGTAATAGCCATCATGTCCTGATGGAGTGGAATAGTTTAAAGTTTGAACGGTTGAAATCGGACAAAGTTTGAAGGAGGAGAAGCGGTCCAAAGAAACGTATGGGGAGAGTGTTAAGTATAATACTAGAAAAATTGCATTTCCTTGCAGAAAATGCGTGGAAATGCTGAGTGCTGAAAGCTGAAAAAGCAATGCTAAACTGCTAATAAAACATGGAGAAAGGTATAAATGTTAAAGCTGTTGAAGGAGTGAAAAAGAAATATAAGTTGGATAATTGTTTAATTGGTTGAAGGACAAATAGTATGAATATGCTCTATAAATGGAAATTTTATTCATGCTGAAAGAGGCTAGAAAAATGTCTAAAATTGCACAAAGTTTGAATGAAGAAGGAAATTGCCTTAAAAGGCAGGAAGGTGAGAAGTGGCATAAGTTTAAGTTGTAGTACTAGAAGTAGTTTGATAAGAGGTCAAGTTGTGATTCTAGTAGTCATGTCAGCAGTAGAAGTAGATTGAGAATAAAAGAAGTATAAGTCAAAGTAGTAAAGAAAGTAGAAATAGTAGCAATAGCAGCAGTAGAGAAAGTAGAAATAGGAGCAATAGCAGTTGAAGTAGAGGGGAAAGTTCTAGTTAAATTGACATAAGTAGTTGTAGCTCTAGAGGTAGGATTTTGTTTGAAGGACGAATTAATGCATAAATATTAAAACTAATATAAAACAGGGAAAATTTTATTAATTAAAAATCCTCAAGTATCAGAAAGTTTTGAAGTATTAGAAAGGTTTGAATCATTTTGAATGAGTTTAAATTAGTTTGAAAAATTAAATGATAAATCATCACTGAGTGACTTTAAAATGTGAAACATTTAAATGAATATAAATCCTAAACACACCCCATAATGTCCTCAATGAGCTTAAATTTTAAAGCCCTGAATGGTTTCTGTAGGTCAAAGGTCATGTGAGGAGATAGGGGCTGAAGTTTTTTCTAGCGCTCTAGGAAAGGGTTTTAAGTGTCATCCCAAGTGCTATGTGTACTGAGCCTGGCTTCATGTGTCTCATATGGCCATCAGAAGCAGCTTTCCAGTCAGCTGTGTGTCTCCAGATGCACTAATTGGTTGCCATGGGGACCTTGGATGCATAACTATAGCAGGAGAAAAAATTGAAGCTAAGGAAACAGGACTCCAAGTAGGCCTTGACGCTCATCCTATGTATATATTAATGATAAGGAGCTTGTGAGAACACAAGACTCTGCTGAACACATTAATACAATGTATTATCACAATCCTCAAAACACCCCATAATATCTTCAATGAGCTGAATTTTTGAAGCCCAGAATGGTTTCTGTAGCTCAAAGTTTGTGGGTGGCGATAGGTGGTGAAGCAGACACATATTAACTGTGTGTACAAGCAGCTGAACTGCAAGGTGGACCTCAAAAAGCAACAAGTACAAGAATGTGTGTGCGTGTGTGTGTGTGTGTCTCGTTAATGACTGCATCCTAAACAGCTCTGAGATCAAAGGCAAATCACTAACCTACTGTTTGACTGAGAGGTGCTGAACTGCAGTGAATTTCAGCCTGTGAACTTCTTCACATAGCGTGATTTCCTTAAGTCCCAGAATGAAAATAAGAACATCGTACGAATCCTCCGTCCTTCATGAACACAATGATGTGTTTTTCATGTCTGTACTCCGAAAATGTGGCCACAACAGCGAGTTAAAAAAGTCTGAGCCTGAGTGGGGATAAGGATTTTCTTGGAGAAAAATACATTAGGTCAATGGGGAGAGATTTCCGCCTATTTGGACAGTTGGTCACCTGCTGGCCAAGGGGTAAGATTTAATGATTTGAAACCTCTTTTGTGAGAAGCAGGACACATATACCTCCATTTTGATGTATTTTTTATGGGTGTGGATTGAGATTTGTGAGCGTGGGAGCGATATATTCGAGCGAGGTTCTGTCGATCAGAGACGAGGTCTGCACTCTAGCTGATGACATCATCACTCTAAACTCTCCAATACACACCCATTATAAAGCTTGAAATTTGCTGAAAACCACAAGTTGCTTAAAGCTAAATTGTGGAAAAACTGTAAAAGATAGAAAAAACTGAGTACAACTATAATAGTCGACAAGTGAATGAACATTTTAAAGCAAAAATGAGGTCTCTAGGTGAAAGTACGCTGAAGTTATAAGGCTGAGAAGGTGGAGGAGTAAAAGGTAGAATTTGAAGATTTCCCCATTCATTTCAATGGGAAAATTTTTTGCACAAAAAGTCAAAAATATCAAAAAGTATAAGGGGTAGAAAGAAAAAAAATACACGCAATAATGTCCTGAAGGAGTGGAATAGTTTAAAGTTTGAATGGTTGAAATCGGACAAAGTTTGAAGGAGGAGAAGCGGTCCAAAAAAGGGACGGAAGAATAATAATAAGTTTAATAAAGAAACAGGAGAATAACAATAAGTGGAAATGCCTATCAGCATTTCCACTTAACTAGAAAAATTGCATTTCCTTGCAGAAAATGCGTGGAAATGCTGAGTGTTGAAAGCTGAAAAAGCAATGCTAAACTGCCAGTAATAAATGGAGAAGGTATAAATGAAAAAACTGTTAAAGGGGTGAAGTGTTATAAGTAGAAGTTGTATGAATGTTTCAACCGTAACAGAACTGAAGAAGAAGATGATGAAAAAGAGATGAGATGTATGGATGTAAAAACACTGGGAGAGGTAAACCAGTAGCTGTATGAATATTCAAATTGCTAAAGAACTGAACTTGAACATTACAGAAAATATGGTAAAGAATTTTTAAGATAGCTGAAAAGGCCTTCATGTTGGAAGAAGTAGAAATGAATGTAGATGAGAAAATTGAATACATTACTCAAATATTTTTAATGTAAAATTTGAATCAACTTGAAAATTCAAATTGAGTTTTTACATAAGTAAAACCAAAACAAAGAAAAAAAGAAAAATATTTTTGTCAATTCTTTAACATTTTTTGAGCAATGAAATGATTAATCATAAAATATTAAAATAATAATAAAAAAAAAACATCAAAACATAAACACACAAAGAAACAGTGTTCCATAGTGCCTTAAATGAAATTATAAACAATTTGTTTGTGAACAGGTTTTGGAAGCAGAAATCTTTACATGGGTGACCAATCTGTCTCTTAAGCTTAAGGTTTTAAGATTGTAGTTGCTGTGGTTGTTGATGGACAAAGGTATCACATTTTCAGTTGTTTCTAAAATTGTTTAGTCCAATCATTAAAGGCTCTTCACACAGTTGTTAGACTGAGGCTAACACCCCATTATTTACTGGATTCAAACTCCAGCAGCCCTGTACCCACATTCACCTCTTTTCTTGTGTTTTCGGATTACTAAGCCTTAACAAAAGTTGGCTCATAAAATTTGTCATGGCCCATTGAGCCAAGTCCTGTGTTGTGGGCTTTAAAAACAGACCTTGAAATTTGATTTCAAAGTCTGATACAGGACTGTTATGTGTGTTTTTAAGGGTTTAGATTAGCCTAAGACTAAGTTCGCACATCTGAAAAACCTTTATACCTATACATTAAAAAAAAAAATGAAAATTGTGACTTGAGAGTTATAAAAAAAATTGTTACTAAAACCGGTCAGCAGTATTACAAAGTATTGCAAAGTTATCCAGGCTTGTGGAAATATACAGGCAAAGTAAGGTGAAAGGCATATGAATTAAATACGGCATTGTAGTATTTTTTAAAGCTAACTGCAGTGAAATGTGGGCCCTCTCATGTAGAAAAAAAAGAAAATTATAGAATAATAAATGATTATAATAATAAAATTAAATGATATGAAACTGAAACATTAAACAAAATCTAAAATGATCAGATTAAAAAGTAGATTTGATAACTTGAAATAAATTGATTTAATGTATTGGTCCACCTTACCACCAAAAGGCTTTTCACAGTAGACCAAGGCTAGTACTGTCATCAGCTCATTGTAGTGGACTGACAATCTGGTCAGCAAAAATAACTCAGCAGTTTACTGTACAGTGTAGTACAGAAGTCTTTTACAGAAATTATTATTATTTTTTTTTAATTAAATCTAAATTTAAAATTTAAAATAATGTGGAGGGTAAGGTAGAGAATGCAAATGCAAAAGGTGCAAAGTTATCCAGGCTTGTGGAAATATACAGGCAAAGTAAGGTGAAAGGCGTATGAATTAAATATGGCACTGAAGTATTTTTTATAGCATGTATTGGTCCACCTTACCACCCAAAAGGCTTTTCACAGTAGTTAGACCAAGGCTAATACTGTCACCAGCTCATTGTAGTGGACTGACAATCTGGTCAGCATTTTAGATCCCAGTGTTTTCTTATCCAAACATTCACACTACTTGTCTTACTGAAATGCTGGGTTGTCTTCACATTGATAGTTTCTTTTTAAAAAGTTTTCTACTATGGAGAATTACATTTTAAGGATAAGCATAAAAACTTTGTTCCTCTATGAAATCCCTTCACACAGCTTGTTTAACCAAGCCCTGTGTTTGAGGATTGTGACGACAACCTTCAGCAGGGATTGTTTCACACTGTAGTGCTGGGATCACTGCTGTCCAAAATATTAGCCCAAGACTAAGCACACGTGAAAAATTTCAGTGTACCTACCAGCTGAAACCCAAAGTACATCATTTATTTCTAAAACACGACTTCTCTTGTAGGTAAATTTGAGGGATATGGTGAGCATATTAAAGTGAGAAATTCAGCTGCCTGCAACAACTGAAGTAACTGGTATTTTTTCCCTTCATCAGTGTTGGTCATCTTTTGATATAAGGACAGATACACAGTAAAAGGGGAAGAAAACACTAAAATAAAATAGAACAAATAAAGTCCAAGAAACATAAAGGAAACTTAAAATATTAACAGATATTGACAACCGATCACTTAATGTAGAAAACAGGATTCAAAACAATACAAGAGTAATAGTTGTCCTGTCCTGAAGACAATCAGTCAGTTCCTCATGTGAGTACTGTGTTCTGTCTGGGCACTTTTTTTCAAAACCAAAAGCAGAGCCCGGTACAGTTCAGAGTGAAGGTTTAGAGTGAGGTAATGATTTGACCTTTGACCTGTGGTTGTAGAATCGCTGTGTGCAGTTATCAGTGTTCGAGTTGACAGCATCATTGGAGTTAGAGGCAGGAGGAGGAGAGGTCTGAAAAAAACAAACAAAATCCCCTTCACTTTAACTATGTAATCCTGTGCTAACAGTAATTCTGTGCTTTTCTATGTTGGTCAAACATGGTTATTGTTATGGGGCAAGGAAATACACCGTTACCTCAGGGAAACTTTAAAGCTGCAGTAGAGATAAACTGATGATCTGAATGTGATGACATCTGCTGCAGCTTGCTTCACAGGACTGCAGGACTTGAAGGATCACCATTAGTAGGACTCTGCTGAGCTGCACTAGCTACACCGTGGATGAACAGACAGTGACTTGAAGTGGGAGAATGTAGCTGGTTCAAAACAGGAAATAAACAGAAACATTTGTGTTGATAATCTGTGAAACTAAACATATTGAATAAATACACACATCATTACAATGAATACCTTCAGCACTGCAGCAGAGCAAAAAATATTTCTGTCCAGAGCAACTTCACCAGGTCTGCAGCAGCAAAGCTTCCTCACACAGAGAGGCTCAAGGCTCAGGGTGGCTGCATGATGTCTACCTTTGGTGTGTTCAGCTGCCTGAGTGTCTAAGCTGTTCTTCCTCTCTTAACTGGCTTGAAGAAGACCTGGGAGAAAACACTGCTGTTAAAGACAATGATATCAGCAGAGCTGTACAATAGCGTCACAAGCATTAATACAGCAGCTAAGATAACTAAGAATAAATAAATGAACACAAGTTCACCAAGACATTACCTTAGACTTTCTTGAAGAGGGGTTTATCTCTTGGAGGTTCAGCAGGAACGAGCCCAGTGAGTGACAGGTACTACAGCATCAGTTCTGCTTCAGCCTGGTGTCTGGTGGTCCTTGAGAGCTGCTTCAGGACATCTGGAGCACGAGCAGGTAAAACACATGTTTGTGTAGTCCATGAGAGAAGGGTCCTGGTGGGTGCTGCAGTCTCTGTCCAGCACAGCGATGATGGTTGTTGAGAGCAGCAGGGGGATGGTGTGGAGGATGTCATCTCTTCTTCACCTCCGACCAAAGACTGTGTTAAACAGCAGGTAGACTGTGTCTTTGAGTTGTCCAAAGTGATGTGTTTACTTCTGGTTGACGGTTTGATATTTTTTTTCTGCTCACAGTGAGCTAGTCAGGACAGCACTAATGGTCAGGTCAAAGATGGCAGAGACAACTGAAGAAGAAAAAAAAATAATACCCAAACAAAAGGAAACTTAGCTTTACTCTACTGTACCTACAGGTGATGTGTTTACTTTTGGTTGACAGTTTGATAATTTTTTCAGTTTACAGTGAGCTAGTCAGGATAGTACTAATGGGAATCAGGTTAAAGATGGCAGAGACAACTGAAAAAAATAATTAAATAAATAAAAAACTACCCAAAGAAAAGGAAACTTATGTTTGCCCTAGTGTACTTACAGCCACCCATGCTAAGAGAGTGGTGTAAAGTTGGTTGGAGAAAAGGGGGGTTTCAGCTGGTAGGTCACAGAACATCAGAAAGTGTGTGTTCATTAGGGAACACACACTTTCTGATGGAGGTTTTTTTTTTTTGCTGCTGTATACATTGTTGTACACAGCAGCTGAGAGTTTTGGCCTGTGCATTTATCAATCCGCACCCACCCTCCCTATGTCCAGTCAAGTCAAGTTAAATGGATTAACTTGACTTGACTGGACTTGATAAATGCACAGGCCAAAAAATAAGATTTATTACATTTGAATAGTTAAAAATTGTACTACCTGAAAATGTTGAAATTAAGCCATAAAAAAATTTTTTGCACCAGAAAATTTTAAATTGCTAAGAAAATTTCAATCTGTACTAATAAAAATATAGACATAACATTAGCCACAACTTCTCTGGTTTGTCTTTCCCTTCAGAGCAGTTTCCCTTTATGACCTGAAATGACACAGTGAGTGGGATTGTGGTTACTATAGCAGGTCTGCAGGATACCTGAGGCAAGACATTGCTGCAGATGTGAGTTAAATGGATTAACTTGTCTGGACATAAGTGCAAAGGCCAAATATCATAACTTTTAACATTCAAATAGCTGAAAATTGTACAACCTGAAAAATGTTGCCTTTCTAAAAAATTCCGCCATCATTTTTTTTTTTTTTTGCATTCAAAAACTTACAATCACCAAACACCAAATGGGCACTGAAAATATAAGCAGAACATCAGCTAAACCCTCTGTAGTTTGTCTTTTCCTTCAGAGCAGTTTCCTCTATGACCTGTTGGATGAAATGACACAGTAAGTGGCGTTGTGGTAACTGTAGTACGTCTGCATGATACCTGAGGAGAGACATAGCTGAGGTTGTGAGATGAAGATCAGGTCCAGCAGTGTGTTCTTGTCCGTTGTAGCAGCAGTGATCAGTTGACCATATCCCTTGGACTGAAAGAAATCCAAAATTGGCTTACTTGCATTAGAAAAGAGATTCTCATTGAAGTCGCCACAGACGATGATGGGATGACAGTCCATGATCTCAAGTGAGTCCAGAAGGCTTCCCAGATTGGACAGGAATGATGGCACACTGTAGTCTGGAGGTCTGTACACAGCTGCAATCAGAGCACTTACAGGAGATTCAACCTTCAAAGCCACAAACTCGAGGTCAGTCACATTATTCAGGTACTGTTTCTCCACAACCTGCAAATGGTTTTTCACATAAACAGCGACTCCACCACCTCCTTTACTGGCCATCTGTGGAAAGTTAGTGTAGGACAAATGTCTGTTGCGTTTGAACATGGTGTAGCCCTCAAACTGGAGACTGTCTGCCACAAAGGAGCCCTGTAGGTGAGTTTCTGTCAGACACAAAACATCTGCAAGACACAGTTCATGATGGCTTTTGATGTCATTCACATGAGCAGGTAATCCTTCGGTGTTGTGATGAATGATGCTCACAGTGTCCTGTCTGCTGAGAGAATGCTGGATCTGGAGAAAAGGCATGAGGTGATCAAAGTTAGCTTGCGTCATGGTCTCCAAAGATACAGTGACTGCAGGGTTAGCATGGATTTTACTCTCATCCAAATCAAGCATGTACAGTCCGCTGAGAGAGGTCACTCGACTGATAGCTACGTAGGCCATGCCGGGCTCAAAAATGTGCTTCAGAGAGACAACAGCAGATTTTCTGGTCATACCTTGAACCTTGTGTATCGTGCATGCAAAGGCAAGTTTCACAGGAAACTGTCTGCGTACCACTCCTTTCTGTTGCAGAGCCTCCTCAGATCTCTCGATGTACACAAGATTGTCTCCTCGAGTACGATAGCTCCTGCCAGCTGTTTCATCATCCATCCTGAGACCAAGCATAGTGACAAGAGCAGAACCGTTGTTTTCAGAGCTTATGAGACGGCCTACTGTAGCAAATGATCCGTTCACCAATCCTTGAGACACATCAATGTTTCTGGTAAGCATGACTCTAGCACCTACTGCAACATCTAGTGTGTCAGGTAGATCATTTCTGCTTCCATGACATGGTGCACCTTGTCTTTTCATGTGTCCAGTGTGTGGGTCCTTTTTAAAGTCGTCTGCATCAATGGTGGTGATATCAGAATGGAGCAGAGATAGTGTAGCAGAGTTGTGTGCTGCGACTTGTTTGTTTGTAGCAAAAATGTGCAGGACATCAGAGGGACACCGTTGTGGTTCAGTGACACGCTGTGACAGCAGAGCTCTGTCAGCTTCAGAAATCTCATCTGACCTTGTTTTCACACGGAGTCTGTTCAGCATCTCGGCAAAAGTTTTGTCATCCTTTCTGTCGCATGATCTCATCTAAAGTGATCACCTGGAAGTTGTCTCTCCAGAGGTCAAGCTCACTTGGATCATAGACACAGAGTGGTTTGGACTGTCGCACAGGCGGTAGCTGGTAAAAGTCTCCCACAGCAATGACTGACATTCCTCCAAAGGGTCTGTGGCTGCCTTTAATCTGTTTCAGTCTCATATCCACATAAGCAAACAGAGGCTTCGACACCATGGAGATTTCATCAATGATGATGATTTCAGCGTTTAAAAGCTCACACCTGATTTCATCAAGTTGGTTCCCAAGACCTTGAAAAGGAGGTTTCAAACTTCTGGGCAGCTTGAGGAGAGAGTGCAGTGTTGTTCCAGAGATGTTAAAGGCTGCAGTTCCGGTGAAAGCAGTCAACAGCACAGTTGGGTTTGAGATGTCAGCTTCCTCTGCACGTCTAGGTAGTGTTCTCAGAATCTTTGATGCTTCTGAATGAATGCATTTAATGAGATGTGACTTTCCAGTGCCAGCACCACCATTGATGTAGTAGAAAAACTGCTCTGGTTGTGGTCCACAGACTCGTTTTTGCACCAGTCTCTCACTGCATAGAACACACACGCCTGTTTCTGGTTCAGACTCTGATACATTTGTCGTAACTGTGTGGGATCGATTGTAGGGGGCTCTCTCATGACTCTGGCCTCTGTAGCAGCATTTGATTGTCTGCTGTAATCCGGTACATCCTCTTGGACATTTTCACACTGTCTGGCGTCCAGTTCATCGATACACTCCAACCTCACCAGTTCAGATTCAGGTGCCAAATTACACCATTCATCGACCACACCTCTGTTCTGTTCAAAGTCCTCGAGAGCAGAGTCAATTTCCTCACTGTTTTTTTCATATCTCTCTCTGTTTCTTTTCACAATGAGTTTCACACTCAGGGGTCGGTCAGAATACGGCAGCTGAACCACACCTCTCTCATAGAATGACTCATATGTGGGAAAATATGGTCTTTTCAGCTCATCGTCTGATCTGTATGGAAGATACAGTCTAAGCAATGTGCCGTAAAACTGCTCAGGGTATTTCTCTTTGGATATGCGGCGATACCTGATGACAGCAGCGTTGTCACTTTCTCGTCTCTGTATGAAGCCTAGTTCATTCAGCAAAGGTACCACTTTCTTGCCCTTGGTCTGTTGTCCATACACCAGTCTGCAGGTAGAAGCAAAATCAGCCATGCACATCTCTTCAAACTCTGGTGTTTCAGGTCTGGATTTGTACTTGTCTGTTAAGGATGTCATCCACACATTCAAGCTGTCTGGTGTTGTGTTGTCAAGGCTTGACACAGGCAGACTCATTTTCACTGGGTTGTCATCAGTTGGGACAAAAACCACACTGCGTGAACTCTTTTTCATGTTCAGTGAAGTCACTCGGGCAACAGCTTCTTGTGCTGATACTTCTCGCTTTTTGGAATACGCCTGCATGACCGCTTTCATTTCATCACATTCATTGACACATTCTCTGTCGGAGTTCTGAATGAGTGTTTGCAGGTACTGGCTCACAGAGTTCTCACTTTTACACATGTACGTACATATGTAATGGATCAGACTGTAGTAGCTGAGAATGAACTGCACATCAATGTTTGCATCCCAAGCTTTGAGCAGGTGAGGGTTGTAGGTGTTTACCCAGCAGTCTTTTGGCTCACGCTTCAGAATGATGTTGCTGGACTGACTCATCACATTCATGTGTTTCTCATACTCATCAGCGGTTAAGTCACAGACGGACAGGAGCTGTTGAAAACTCATGGATTCAGTTTGTGTCTCATTCAGCAGCTGATTCAGTGGTGCAAGTTTCTCTTTGGCTCTCTTAAGTCTCTCTGACTCCTCATCATCACCCACAGGTCTTGTTATCATTGTCTGTCTGGAGGGTGGTTTTGGGAATCCAAATCGGCATCCAGAACTTGCACTTTTGAAACATGTCTTTGAGTGGTTCTTACTGTGTATTTGCACTTCTTTGACCTTTTTGTACAGTTCAGGCTGTTTATTTGGGTCAGGGAGCTGAGCAGAGATGTGTTTGGACACAAAGTCACACACAGTTTTGTCAGAGTCTCTCTCAAACACAGGTGCACCTTCTACCCACAAAAGACCATGTATATGAGGACTTCCCCTGTGCTGAAACTCGAGACGCCAAAAGAAGTCAAAAACTTTGCCCAGGGGTTGTGCAGGAGACATGATCAGATCTCTGTACAGTGCTTCAACACGCTTATCAAACATGCGCATCGTTGTCACAGGATTGCTTCTCAGAATGTCACACTTTGTGGACCAGTCGAGCTCTTCAAAATTCACCTCCTCACCTTGTTGTGATTTTATTGCAATAATCACCTCAGGCCAACGCATTTCTGCTGCAGAAAATGTGACAAAGAAAGTAGGACTGCCCAACTGTCTGATCATAGCAAACAGATCTTTTATAGTTTTGTCCCAGTAGGCTGGTGTTCCTCTGAGCGGCTGCATAAATCTGATAGCATCTCTGTTTCTCACCAGTCTCTCCACTTCATATTTGTCTCTCAACATTCTGGATGTTATTTTACGTCCGTCTCTGGTGAAAGGTTTGCCTTTGCGTAACTGTATGGACATGCTGGAGGTAGCCAAGTGTATTTCAGTCACAAACTGTGCAAAGAACAGGTAGTTGGTATCTTTGGCAAAGCGATCATCAACACCAAAGAGCCTTGCTTTAAAATAACTACTGGGTGATAGTTTCATTGGTCTGTTTTCATCCAGTGTATTCTCACCAGTGGGAAACTGAACAGGAAACGCCATGGCCTCTAGTTTGGGAGTTTTGAAAAAACTGACTGGATTGTTTCTCTCTGCTGGAGCTACTGAGTATGTAGAGTCACTGAAACACAATATCTCCTCAGAAACATCCCGTGGCTGAAGGCACGACTCCAAAACAACACCACCATTAGATATGTCTGCATCATGTTGTTGTGTCTGATCATCATTGTCCTGGGTCTGACTTTTATCACACAGCTCTGTGTTTTCATCCTCAGTTTCAACATTAGTTTCAGCCTCATACATGGCAGCAGCCTCAATTCTATCAATTTCCATCAAATCCTCATCATCATAGTCGTCATCATTCATTGTGTTTTCATCATCATCATCCTCATCCTCATCACCATCATCAGGAAGTGTGGGGTCACATAACTCCTCCTCATCTCTAATAGTGATGTCTTCATACTGGGGGTGTATCTCTTTCAGTTTATGCAGGGCCTGCACTAGCTTGGACCAGGTAACAGTCTGAAACAGATGGTGACCTCTGTAACTCAAACGTCTCTTCAGTTTTACTCTCATCACCTGAGATTCATTTCTCAATCTGGGTAGAGCCTGAATTGTTTCCTGGACTTCAGAGGGAACACATACAACATTACCATGTATAGCTCTCTGTCTGCCTTTGGGAAGAGGAATGATTTTGGCAAATGTTATGCACTTTGCTATCAGATGTCTCTCCAGTATGTTGAGGTCACACAGCTCAGGTGGTATGTCAGCAAGCTCCAAGTTGTTTGCTATGGCAAGTTTGGGCATAGATCCATTTTTCAGATGGTCATGGCAGGTGTGACAAATCCACTCAGTCTTTCTCTCATCAGGGACAGTGCACTGATTTCTGTAGTCATCGTTACATCATGGACGTACTGACCTTTGAGACAAGCTGAAACCATTATTGGATTTTTCACATAGTTGGACCTCTTGCACTTTTGCACCTGGTTTGGAAATGAGGCTTTGTGACAAACTGTGCAAACATGGGTGGGACCAGCTTTAATGTGTGAACGGAAATCATTTATGGCACTTTCAATAAGTGGGTTTTCACTCTCTCTGTCAGTCTCATGTGCTTGTTTACTTATCCGTTTGTATTTCTTTGATATTTTCAACGCACATCTGATTTTATGCTTTGTCCTGTATGCAAGATTTGTCTTATACCTGTCTCGCATCATTTGTCTCATCAGCTGTCTGTGTCGGTCATGGAATATTTCATCATTTGCATATCGATGATTAACATAGGATCGCTTTCTCTGTCGGAAATTAATGTCCACTGAATATTTTTTCCTGAAATAGTCTTTCTTTCTGCCTTTGAAATCAACATTTTCTCTGTATTTCCTTGTGATATATTCTTTTTGTCTGCCTTTAAATTCAACATTTTCTTTGTATTTTTTAGTGAAATATTCTTTTTGTCTGCCTTTGAATTCAACATTTTCTCTGTATTTTTTAGTGATATAGTCTTTTTGCTTTAGTCTGAAGTCTGTGCTTTCTCTGTATTTAGTTGTGATCTCTTTTCTTTTCTTTGTCTGTATTTCAGGATTGACTGAATAGTTTTTACTTGAATAAGACTTTTTCTTTGCTTTGTATGTTTCATTCTTAGCATACTTCTCTCTCTCTTTCTTGTTTTTATCTTTTTTCTTTTGTGATGTCTTTTCAGATCTCATTAGTCTCCTCTTAAATTTCTTTTTTTGCTGTTTGTTCAATTTTGACAGTTTAGTGGAGATGTCATGGATAACTTTGTCACTAGCAACAGGGATCGTTATCAATGGTTGTGTCAAATTTGATTGTGTCTGTTGAGTTTCCTCTATTGTGACAGAATTATTGTTGATTTGACCTGGTTGATGAGCTTGAGTTTCCATCAAAGTTGAGGCTTTCTGTGAGTGTCATCACTTACAGTAGTGTTCATCTCTGGAGTGAGAGATTCAGGACCAGTTAATGTGACAGAACACTGGCTGAAGTCGATCAGTGGTTCTGGTTCAGTTTCCATGTCATGTTCAGTGTTTTCACGGACATCAGCGTTCATCTGTGGAGCACTTGTGTCATCATTTATCACAGTGGTTGTTACAGAGGGACTTGTGGACGGACTTTCTGTGGCTGGGATAACATCACTTGGGTTCACATCACAGAACACAACTGGCTTGAGCTCATAGCGACAGGACTCTGCTGTGCCCAATATATGGTGATACCTGATGAGCCTGTGAATCATGTCACTGAGTCGTGTGAATGTTACCATGACAGCGGTACCAGGAGTAGGTGTGGCCTTAAGCAGAGGCAAACCGTTAGCTGTCCGAGCATGTGGATCAAAGAAACCGTACCTGCCATCTCTGGTTCTGAAAACTGCAATGCACAGCGAAGTCATTAGCAGCAAAGCATACTGCACATCTGTTAATAAGCAGCTCAGTCCTGAAATGAGGTCCAGAAAGGTATCAACAGCTCCGGGATCCGGATCTCCAAACGTACCGTATCTAGACAGCTGTAACATGTCAACAGTCTGCATGTGTCTGCGTGCAGGAACCTGGTTAGGGAGCTCATCGGTTGTCAGATGGGCGTGATCAACAGTTTTTCTGATTTCTCTGTACATCACATCACCTTTATCCAAAACACGGTCCAGGTCTGCTCTGGTGATGTGTTCGTTCTCATACAGGAATGCTAGAAATGTCAGTGAGTTACAGGTGCACTGCTGGTTCCTGGATTGGCCGTATTTCAGAGACGCTTGGCTGCGTGACGCACAGACGTTTTGTTCACCTGACTGATTAACAGAGTTAACATTTCTTACCCGAGAAGAGCCTGATACAGACTGATAATTACTGTGGTTTCCCTTCTTAACAGTGTCTGGATATATCTGACCAGAGTTGGACGGACCGGCAGTACGTGACACACTAGGAAGTTTTCTCTTTACCATGTCTGCATATGTTACCTGTTGTACACCTGGATCATTGGTTTCACCTCTGCGGTTTACCTGTTTAATGTTAGACGGACCTGCTGCAGGTGACTCACTTACACGTCTCCTCTTAAGCAATTCTGCATGGGATACCTGTAGTTGACATGACGCATTTTCACCTCCCTGTTTCACAGCATCACATACTTCAGACCTCTTTACCTCTCCACTGCTCTGAGGAACACCATCTGCTTTTACACGGTCAATGTCATGTAACCTCTGCCAGCGCTGGCTTGCAACCTGTGACTTCTTACTCTTCCTCGGCATTTTAGCTGTTCTTTCACAACAATGTGTTTATACAACAATTTAAAGTTAATGATAAGCAGCAGTATAGGCAAAAACGCTTTATTTCTTCAAGAGAGATTGTTATTCAACAGCTCTTATAGTCTCCAAAACATGTAATTTATAACTGTGTGTATACCAACAATAGCTTATCAAATGTTTTCTAAGGAAATCCTAGGCAAGACTAAATAAATGTTTTAAGAAAAAACACAAATCAACAACAATTTTTAAATCTTAGAACTTTGTGCTTGAAATAATATCTAACTGAAATACTCTATATGAAACGTTTTTTTTTTCTTTCAAGACCAGGGATGCAGATGTGGTGGTGCTGATGACACTTCTTCTGGTGAAACTCTGGATCCACAGACAGGAAAGGAAAACCTAGAACAACAATGAGACTTTTGCAGTATTAGGGCTTTTTCCAATACAGTGGTTGCATTAAATGTACAGCTTTTCAGAAGTTTGGTTTCTCAAAAAAAGGGTTGATTGTTTACAAAGGTTTCTCAAAAAAGGTGGCTTGTTAAAATAGGTCTCAAAAAGATTTATTGCAAAGGGGTCTCAAAAGATTTATTGCAAAGGTGTCTCAAATGATTTGTTGCAAAGGGGTCTCAAATGATTTGTTGCAAAGGGGTCTCAAATGATTTGTTGCAAAAGGGTCTCAAATGATTTGTTGCAAAAGGTCTCAAAGATTTATTGCAATAGGTCTCAAAGATTTGTTTCAATAGGTCTCAAAGATTTGTTTCAATGGTATCAAAGATTTGTTTCAAGGATTGTATTAGTAGCCAGAGTGGGATAGAAGGGGGATAGAAAGGCAGAGTGGCTTTTCAATCAGAAAGAGTGGTAGAGGAGACAGGAAAGTCAGAGGGACCAAAATGATAGGGGAGAGTGGGGAGACTGGACAGGATACCTGTAAGACACAATGGAAAAAAACATTAATCTTTTTTTATTAAAGAAATAAAATTAAATGATCCAACATCCACCCAAAGCTAATGAGATTATAATGTACTTTTACTCAATCCACCAAGTGGCTGTCCTCAACTATACATCTATCAAAAGTCAAGTTGAGTCAAAAGCTGGAAGTGACCATTGTCTTGTTCGATAACCCTTCAATCAAATTAATGACTAAAAATACAGTGTTCATAAGAGATAATTGAAAATGAAGAACATTATTTATCCCCTAAGGGTAATTCAATTGTCTGTAGTCTCACTTGTCATGTCTCAAAAAGTCATCTACTATTTAAATTGTAGAGTCTGATGGCTGTGGGTACAAAAGATCTTATGAGTCTTTCTGTCCTGCAGCAGAGAGAGGAGCCGTCCACCACCATAGGCCTTTCGGTCCACCAAGGTGTTGTGAAGTGGGTGAGCCATATTCTTTAGAATAGCCTCCACCTTCCTCACAGTACATCTCTCCACCACATCCTCCAACGAGTCCAACTTGAATCCAACCACAGAACCAGCCTTTTTAAATTTAGGACCTCAAAGTATTTTACAAAAGTTTCTATTATCCCTGCGCATTTTAGACTCTTTATTTTAAGTTCCCTCTATAATGTTTATAACCATGTCCTGGTAAGCAGTAGAAACAATGGATTACTCTGCTGATAAAATATGATGTGTTTTGGAAAATGTAATTTCCTTTACCGTGTTTTAAGTATTCCTACAATGTAATAAGTTATAATGAGGCCAAGCAGCTCCATAAGCTGTAAACAGAAGCATGCAAAGTACCTTAGAAGGATATACACATTTCTAAACTGAGGATTAAATGAATAATAACATAAATCAATGGGGGCATAGATAATGATTGTCTATTCCATATTAAGGAACATTAAATTTGATTTTTTTTCTAATATAAGAGCTGCACAAAGGAGGTAATCACATTCAATTAGTAATTATTTGGATTTTCATGATTAAAAAATTACAACTCCACAATTTAATAGTAACAAATTGCTTTCCAGTGATTGGAAATAAAATGCAAATAAGTGTATTGCATATCACATTTAACCTGTTCATTTCCAACTGTGAATATTACATTATCAAAGGGGAAAAAAAGTTAAGTTTGGACATGATGAGGGGTCCATAATGTATTGAATAAAGGCACCCTGCGTTATTCATGAAAATGTCATTCCTGTGTGAACTTACGTCGAGTCGCCACAAAACGGTCTGCACTTGGAGACAGGATAGAGTTGGCAAGAAGGAAAATGGAAAAAAAAGAGACAAGAGATTTTTAGTTTAGTTGTACAAAACCAGCACATCTCACTGCATTGTCGTTTCAATTGTAATCAGCCTGCAAAATTATTTCTATTTGGTTCTGCTTTAGTTTAAATAAAGTGTTTTTTTAAAATGGTTTGTGTTACAATGAGAATGTGCTGCAGTTTGTCAAATAAGGACATAGTGTCAGGTTTTTACATGATGTGTTGTAAAAAGTGTCAGTGTTACTTTATTTGTGAACTTACAGCTGAATCGCCAACAGTGAACAGGGCCCGCAGCAAAGATAGCGTTGAGGAGTTCAGAGGAGGGAAAAGATAGAGGGACAAAAAAATAAAATTTAGTTGCTCTCTTAGCTTGTAAAAATGTTTGTTAAAATGGAGAGAAATGCACAAACACAATGAAGGACCGCTTTACTTTTTAATTTCTTATGTAATTGAGGTGAAATACGCAACACTGAAATGTCATTATAAACTGCAGAGAAAAATGTAACACTTAATTGATTGCTTAATAAGTATATACAAGTGTAAACTTACACTTCAGAGTTGGTAGGGAATTTCACACAGGTCAGAGGACAAGATGATGCAGGAGGAGGGGGAGAGGGAAGAAAAGAGTTTTTTATTACACTCAAAAGAGACGCCCTCACAGCTCACTTCATTCAAAGTAATGATTATTATCAAAGTAATAGTAATTATCTGAATGATTTTCCCACTTAATTATTGTCAAAATTAAGATTCAGACTTTCCCATCAAGTTAAAATGTTTAAAATAAATGAATTTAGTAGTATAGTAACATTGTTAGCTCACTGTTGTCTACTAGGAAAAAACTGTATCCCATCTATGATTTTCATATAGCATATACAACAGTGTTACAGATAAATCAACATTTCATATCAATTTAAACTCAGTATTTGAAAAATGCATCATATGTTGTACATTATCTTGAATGACATGTTGTTAAACAGGATTAAGCTAATCATTAATCCGGTTGTTTTTATTTTGTTTGTTGTCAGTCTTGGTCAAAACACTTATACTTACCAACAAATGCACTGGAGCGGATGTATCTTCTGTTTGAGACAAGAAACAATACATTAGTGTTTTATGACAGATAGCACATTAAAAACAATAGGCCTATAAAGAAAACTAACATTATTACAGTAGTTCGGCTAATTGAAAACTAAACAGCTCCAACAGATCACCTGGCTGTTAGCTGCAGCTGAAAATGTCACACATAATACATACTGTATTAAAGTATATATACCTCAGATAAAGTATCTTTGCTGTGGTGTTAGCACATCACCAATATCCAAATTAACAGCTTGTTATCAAAGGTAAATTAGGTACAGTAGACGGTGAAGTTCAGTAGCAGCCAACAAGACAGAGACAGACCAGGAGCAGGTCCACCAACTTCAAGGCAGCTAACTCTTCATCCATCAACTCAATATTAAGATAAGAACTTTATTGATCCCTAAAGGGAAATTCAACTGGAATATATTTATTAATTGGAACTTGGTATTGTTAAACATTAAATACTGAATTCATTTTATGTTTTGCAATGTAAATATCTCTATCATCCCCATCATGAATAAAACCTTCAATAATAGAGGACCATCTAGGTCCATTCTGACACATAAAAAAAGAAAAACCACTCATATTTGTGCTATACCTGGATGCTTGCTAAATGCAGCCTATATTTTAATACATCTACAATGGCTGATAACAAGTGACCAGGAGCTAAACAGCTGACGTCTCCAGACCAATTCCCCAGCAATGACTCAGTCATAGTAATGAACTGAACCTGTAGCAATGGCGCTAGCGTCATTAGTTAGCTAGTTAGTCAGTCAATACTTGACAATATGAGTATTCTTGTCAGTCCCACTGTCAGTAAACTCCACAGCCTGTACATCATTTGGCATGCTTTATAGTACCGCAGCGGCTTACATATTCACTTTACTTTGTGCTCAGCTGGCTAATGATTCAGCCTCACAGCTGACGGCATGTTAGCTTTAGCGTTAGCTCGACGCTAGCGGCGCTAGCTCGACGCTAGCGGCGCTAACTCGACGCTAAAAGCGTTAGCGTATGCTTTTTCAACTCATTATCTCGACCACTTCGATCATGAATGAACTCTTCATTGATTATAACACAAACCAGTGCCATTTGAAACGTTAAATCACCGTTTGAAGTGTTCAGAAGTTAGAGAGACTGTGCTCTGACTCACCTTCGTCGAGGTCGGAGAAGGATAGCGCGAGCCACCGGTGGGTCACGGTATTAATGTTTGAGGCGTTCAGGGACACTCGGAAATGTCAGACTTCGCACGACGGAAAGGCAGTGGTTCAATCAATTCACTTTAATTGTTTTCTAGTACTAATAGTAGCAAGACTAGTTGAAGTAGAAGTGATGTAAGTAGTAGTTGTAGAAGTGGAAGTGGGATTTTGTTTGAAGAATTGAAATATGCATGAATAGTAAAAATGATTTAAAGTGGGGAAAATATAACCAATAAAAAATCCTAAAGTATTAGAAAGGTTTTCAGAAGGTTTGAATAAGAGTGAGTTTAAATTTATTAGAAGAATTGAATAATGCATAAATAATGAGAATGATTTTAAATTAAGGACAATTTAAATGAATAGAAATCCTCTGTAGACTCCATAATGTCCTCAATGAGCAGAATTTTTGAAGCCCAAAATATGTCTGTATCTCAAAGTTTGTGAGAGAAGATAGGTGGTGAAGCAGACACATGGTCAAAGTGTGTTCAGGTCGCATAGACAGAGAGAGACTCATGCATGCACATATTTGTCTGTGTGTACTTGAAGGTCTCATAGAGAGCAAGGAGGCTGAAGCACACACATTGGCTGAGTGTGTGTGTCTCATTAATGACTGCATCCTTAACAGCTGTGAGATCAAAGGCAAATCACTGACCTACTGTTTGAATGAGAAGCAGCTGAACACAGAGGATTTGAAGCCTGTGAACTTCTTCACATAGCACGATTTCCTTAAGTCCCAGAATGAAAATAAGAACATCGTACGAATCCTCCGTCCTTCATGAACACAATGATGTGTTTTTCATGTCTGTACTTCGAAAAATGAGGCCACAACAGCGAGTTAAAAAAGTCTGAGCCTGAGCGATGATCCGGATTTTCTTGGAGAAAAATAACATTACGGTCAATGGGAGAGATTTCCGCCTTCCTTGGACAGTTGGTCACCTGCTGGCCAAGGGGTACGATTTAATGATTTGAAACCTCTTTTGTGAGAAGCAGGACACATATACCTCCATTTTGATGTATTATTTATGGCTGTGGAGTGAGATTTGTGGGCGTGGGAGCGATATATTCGAGCGAGGTTCTGTCGATCAGAGACGGGGTCTGCACTCTAGCTGATGACATCATCACTCTAAACTCTCCAATACACACCCATTATAAAGCTTGAAATTTGCTGAAAACCACAAGTTGCTTAAAGCTAAATTGTGGAAAAACTGTAAAAGATATCAAAAAACTGAGTACAACTGTAATAGTCGACAAGTGAATGAACATTTTAAAGCAAAAATGAGGTCTCTAGGTGAAAGTATGCTGAAGTTATAAGGTCTAGAAGGTGGAAGAATGAAAGGAAGAAGTTGAAGATTTCCCCATTGACTTCAATGTTAAAATTTTTGCACAAAAAGTTAAAAAAAACAAAAAGTATAAAGGGTAGAAAGAAAAAAAATAGACGCAATAATGTCCTGAAGGAGTGGAATAGTTTAAAGTTTGAACGGTTGAAATCGGACAAAGTTTGAAG